CCCAGAATTGAACAGTGTATTATAAACCCAATTAAATCGTTAAATCATCAGCTCGTTGCTCGTTGCAGCTGCTGTTTGACACTCAGTCTCCAATTAATATTTCCGTTGATGAACATTAATAAAATAGTCAGCGGTCTTTTCATCCGCCGCTCCCGCCTCCCCCCCCCCCCGCCCCCACCAACTTCCTGGGGAACACTCGGGAAGGGAGAGAGGGGGGGGTGTGTGTGTGTGTCTGTGTGAGTGTATCTGACAGCTTGGTATCTGCTGGAATCTTTCCTGTGGGTGAGCTGGAACGCGGGAGACGGAGTATCTCTCTCTTGGTCGGGCTCGGCAGTGGTGTTCGTTCCCAGATACTCTTTGCCCTTTGTCCCACGCGGTCCCATCGCTGCATTTGATCCGATGCGAGGATTATTTATTCGATACGACGCCTTATCGCGCCTTCGAGACGTCTCAAAGCGCTTCCCGGAATACACTGGCGGCAGCTAATTGTGCGCACCCCCTTACGCCGACTCCCATCTTTTCACAGGACACGCGACACGCCGGAAACTCGGTTGGCAATTGAGGGGTCTTTTTTTTAAAAAAGAAAAGACACCATAAAATGCCTTAATGGAAATGTCCTGATGGGGAGCTAACTGCTCCCTGATGCCGAGGCTGCCGTTAAGCACAAGCGCGCGCGCAGCGTCCGAGCTGGCGAATCGCTGGTAAACAGATGTTCCCTCCTTTTTGCAAAACATTCCCATTAAGCAGCGGGGATTGTAATGTTGAATCGGGATGTGCAAACCGCTGATTTCGGGGAGTAGTGGCCCTGGAAACACTGACTGACTGAGTTCCTGCGGCCGCCCCCTAATTACCGTCCAACGCCACTCCTCGATACCTTGGCTCTGAACCTTCCTGCTGCCGTTTGAGGCGATGAGTGTTTTAATTGGTAAATTATACATTTTACTGAAAACACAGACGCACACGTAGGCACAGATATACACACACATGTACACGGACATATACACACGCACACGCATACACAGTCACAGACACAAACATACTGTATATTGACACACACACACAGACACACAGACCCGCACAGATATACAAACAGACGTACAGGCAAACACGCGCGCGCGCGCACACACACACACACATGCACACGCAACCCTGCGTCCGGGCACTGACTTGGATGGCCAGACAGGTTGACCGTCATAAACACATGCATGCACACGCATTGTATGAAGGCAAACAGATGCGCACGTAAGCACAGACATAGATACAGACGTGCACACACAGATGCACGGTCACTCATTCACTCACGCATACACATGCACACACAGACATAGATATCCAGACACGCACATGCACACATATACACACACACATCTCTGCAACAGGGAACTGACGCAGGGTTTAGGTAAGGGCCCTGGCAGAGGGGGCGAGTGTTTGTGAACGAGAGTGAGAACAGAGGAGGGGAGAGGAGAGCACTTTAACCTGACAGCTGTCCGCCTGATTTACGAGGGAATGACACTAAGCAGGAAAGTTTCAGCAATTTTCTCAGTCGCTAAATCTTCCGAACGAGACACCGGTTCTGACCAAAGCTAATAGGATTCCTGAGCAGGACGGAGAGGGGGAAGGTGGTGATTTTCTGTCTGTTGGAGGGGGTTGGTGTGGGAAGCGGTGTAGGTGTGGAGCTTCGAGCTGGCGTCATTTCCATATAGTTAATCCGCCAACTGGTTGTCTTCTCTTAATAGCAGAGGCTACAGAGACAGACAGGTGCTGTCAAGATGGAGGAGGAGGACAGTGTGTGGGGGGGGGGGGGAGGAGGTGGGGTGTGGGGGTTGGGGAAGATGTAGTGAAATCAATCGCTGGATTCTCTAAACATTTCCGTTCCCTAATTACCACCCAGTTATTGCCAGAAATAATTTACCGACGACATTGGGTTAGCAAGACTGCCATCTGCGTCAGCCCGTAACTCCGCTGGTGGCAACTGATCAGTTACTTTACGCAGAGAGAGAGAAAGAGAGAGAGAGAGAGAGACACCTCATATCTCGTGCTGCGTTAGACACTCAAGTTGTCGTCGTCGTTGCTGCTGTTGTTGGATGTTGAGTCTCGGGACAAGACGAGTGAGGCTGGTAGGGGGGTGTCCCGCTTTAAATAAACAATAATAATCGTAATAATAATCCTCGCATTCAATCATGTTGTTGAGACGTCTCAAAGCGCTTCACCGGACACGCTGCAAAGTGGAGTGACTGTGCGTTTTGACGCCTGAGTAAACTCAGCTTGAAGCGAACAAGGGAAACCGCTCAGCAACTGGAGCCGAAGCCCCCAACGAAGTCCCCTCTGTGCGTGTTTGGGTGGTGGGGTGGAGTGGGGGGGGGAATAGGAGGGGAGGGGGGGAGGGAGTGCGCGGGTGTAGGAGGAGAGGGAGTGCGCAGGTGGTGGTGGTGGTGGGGGGGGGGGATGGGAGTTGGAAGGAGCTGAGACGAAGGGGTTATTGTTAATCAGTTGACAGCTGTTTCTTTCTGTGGATGTCAAACCTCCCCCCCACTCCGCTCACCTCCCCGCACCGGCTTTTGTTGGGCTCTTTTTTTAGCCCGAAGAGGCTGTTGCCGTTGACGTGAGTTGTGCCGTTGTCAGGGTGTGGAGGTGTCAGGATTAGCGAGCGAGAGACAGAGCGAGAGACAGAGCGAGAGACAGAGCGAGAGACAGAGCGAGCGAGAGAGCGAGTGAGAGAGCGAGGAGCGCCCAGCGATTGCCTTACGTACAGCTTGACGTCAGTCGGCCGGCTGCTGACACACCGAGGGTGAACTGATCGCAATCTGCTCTCACTGGAGTGAAGGCAGAAATAATGCCAATGTGAGGCGTGTTATATAAGGCGGGGAGGGGGGGGCAGGCGGGCGAGGGGGCAGGCGGGCGAAGGGGGGCGGGCGAGGGGGCGCGGGCGGGTGGGGGAGGTGGGGGTGGGGGGGTGGTATACAAATTCAAGATCTTTCGTAAAATCCCGTGTGCTATCAGCGCTGTTTCCACACCGGGTCAGGATTTAAATGCCATCCCTTTGTGGAGAGGAACACTGAATGAACTCTCTCAGAATGTGTCACCCGTCAGCAGTCACTTATCCGGTTTGGTGTTGTCGTTGAATTAGGGCTGACAATCCCCACCCAACCCCCCCCCCCCCCCCCCACTGCTCCCTCTCCCCCGCCGCCCTCCGCCCCCTTTCCCCCCTCCGCACCTCCGCCCTGAATAAAAGCATTCATTCGCCTCCAGTTTGTGGGACAAGCAATGGGAACGCTTGGCCAGACAGCGCTCTCGCTCTCGCTATCTCTCTCTCTCTCAACGGCAAGCTGTGTGGTTTTAGCCGGTTAAACTTCAGCAGTTACCCCAACGCACACTCTAGGCTCCCCCCACCACCCCCCCCCCCCACCCCCAAGCCTTGGCTCTTGCCAACCTGCGCCTAATACTCTCCGGAATTAGGTAAGTAGGAGTTGCTTCCCTCCAGGGGGAGAGAGAGAGAGAGAGAGAGAGAGTGCGCATCCCATTCCAACAAACTATCGCTGGGATTTCCTTGTGTAGTTGGGACGCATGGACTTCCCAGTTTGGTTTGAAGGCACTTAAGCAACGGCGATGGGTCTCCGCGTGTGTCAGACACCCGGCTGACCCCAGGAAAATCACTCAGAGCGCATGAGCACATGTGGAACGACGTGGCTATCAATGTGGACAGAATCCCTCAGGAATATTACTCCATATGTCAGCCCCCAACGTCAGTATCGAGGGAGCAACTTCAGGGTCAACTGGAGCTCAGGTCAGGGGATCTGAGTGCCTCCCAATCGATCCGACCTCCCCAGCCTGCGTGGGCAGTGTGTTCCTCAGTCTCTCCCTCCCTCCCCCACCCCGCCACCGCCCCCCCCACCACCCCCACCCCCTCCCACATGCACCCAAAACATTGTAAAGATTCCACGATTTACGATGTGGAAGAAGAAAGGGGTTAATAGAATAATGTTATTTATTTATTGATGTATTTATTGCAAAGTACCAAAAAAAAATCCCTCCCTTCCCCCTCTCCCCCATTGCCCCCTCTCTCTGCACGCCCCTCTTTCCTGCTCCTCCTCACCCCCACCCCCTCCCCAACTACAATGAACTCACAGCTGAGGGTCACAGACAATCAGGATACAAGACAAAGCCGCCATTGAGATCTCCTGCGTCTCTCTCTCCCTGTGTTTGTTGCACAGTTGAACTTGAAAAGTGTTTGGAGTCGAACGATAAGAATGGAGACATTATAACCCAGTGTTATAACCCCCACTTCCCCCTCCCCACCCAAGCCCCCCCACCCCACCCTGACGAGCTCAGCCTCTCCATGTCTTCAAAGGAGGTCAAGACCAGAAGTTGGACTGAAATGCTGTGCCAGATTGAAGGGCTGTGTAAGAAGGAGCCTATTGATCTGATCGCTGAGAGATATTGCTCACACTTACACAGCGCCTTTCATAGGAACATAGGAACAGCCATTCTATCAGATCGTGGCTGATCTGGACCTCAATTCCAATTACCCGCCTTTGCCCTATCTCCCTGTGGGATAATGGAGAGAGGAGGTGAGCCAAGGCAAGGCAAGGCCAAGGGATCCCGGGAGAGAGTTGCACTGAATGGCTTTGCTTCTATGATTGGGAGCCATTACATTTGGCCTTCAGCCTTTCTGCCCCCATCCTCTAGAACCCCATCCCACAGTCCCTCCGCGTCGCCCCCTCCCTTGCCTCCCTTCAAGGCCCATCTCAAGACCTTCCTTTCAGCCCGTGCCTTCGGTCACCCTCCCACCTCCAACTCCTCTCTGATCCCAACCCACAGCTCAGGCGCAAACCCCTCGGGACGTCCTCCTGACCGTGAAAGGGCGCTGTGTAAATGTAACGCGTTGTTGTTGTTGTTGCTGCTGTTGAAATGGGGGAAAGGGGAAGGATGTGGGAGAGATGAACCTGTGGTTACGTAATTTCCATGGAATTCATTTTCTCAAAAGAGTCCAACACCCAAAATTGCAGTCACACCTTTTTACTCAGCAAACACAAAGCATCTCCCGCTCTCACTGTACTGCCCACGTAGACTCCCCCCACACCCAACACAACGTCACAAACACCCGAAAGACCTGGTTCACCCTGCATCTCACTGCTTCCTCTCTTCTTCTTCTTTTTCTCTCTCTCTCTCTCTCTCTCTCTCCTCCCTCTGCACCCTCACCCCCAGCCCAACCCACCCCACCCCCTCAGGAATCCAGCGTAATCCAAACACCGCAATCAACATCCGCCCTAGCTGCCAGGCAACCATTTTGAGGCCTGGTCTGAAGAGAATCGTGGGCCTTCTGATCCAAGCAACAACCGATCCTGTTCCGTCCCCGATCACTGTACAAAATTCACAATAAATACAAATAGTTTGTTTCTCCTTCTCTCTCTCTCTCTCTCTCTCTCGCTCTCTCTCTCGCTCTCGCTCCACCTCCCGCCCTCACATTATTGAGCAGCTTTTGGCTCGGTCTTTCCTGATCTCGGATTCTTCCAGTAAGTCCGTCCGTCCGGGCCCCTGGGAGACCCTCTTCAGTCCCCGCTTGGAGTTGCTCCGTTTCAGGTTCTTGGGGGTCTTGTTGACGGTGGCCAGGGTGGTCATGTGAAAGACGTCGCGCACACTGTTCTCCGACACCTTGGAGGAACACTCAACATAGGCCACGGCCCCTATCTGCCTCGCCAGCGTGCTCCCCTGTGGGCAATAATCATCACCAGACGTCAGGCCGGGGCCCGGTCGGTAGCACCATAGCTCACCTCTCACCATCATCACCATTATCATCATCATCATCTTCATCACCACAGTAATCCTGGCCTTCGATACGGCGCCTTATCACGTCTTCGAGACGTCCCAAAGCGCTTCACAGCACTTCGGGACGTCCTCCCGACGTGAGAGTGAATTGTAAAGTGTAGCGACTGTATGTTTTGTGGGGGGGTGGGGGGGGAACGGGGGACTCGGCAGCCAATTGCAGTCGTGGATTGAGTGGCCAACCTTTTTTTTGGGGGGGTGGGGGGGTGAGGGATTATTTTCCCCTGGAAAAGTGATTCCCCAATCGACTAACAACCGGGTTCCTGCTGAGTAAACAGAGGCGGGTGGAGTAAGGAAACTTGCCCAACATTTCGCCCCCCCCTTGCCCGCCCGGGGATCAAACCCGAGTCCTCTCGCTGGCGAGGAGAGCGCTGAGCTGCGTGTAGAGCTCTCTCTCTCTCCTCCCCACACACCCCACCCCTCCCAACCCCCTACCCCCCCCCCCCAGCAATACACTGGAGCCTCAGCCAGGACCGTGAGGGGCGAGGAGGAAGAGGACGGTGAAGGGCGTGAAACGGGCCATTGGGTCGTCCGACAGAGGTCATTTGAGCGCAGCGAAACACGTGACCCGGGCTGCGCTAATTCGGGAGCTGGACAAACACGCCGGCGCTCGGCTCGGCTCCGCTCGGCTCGGCTCCCGGGTGGAAGGAAACGCCGCCTTTCAAGGAAGGGATAACCTTTCAGGGTCTTCAGGAGAACAGAGGGTCGTTTGTGTGAAACATCTGCAGTCAAAAAATCTAAACCCCGCACTCTCGCGCTCTCTCTTTCTTTCTCTCTCTCTCGCGCTGTCTTCCCCACCCCCTTGTCGCTCTCTCTCTCTCTCTCTCTCTCTCTCGCGCCCCCCTCTTTTGTCTCCTTCTCTCTCTTTCCCTCCCCCTTCCTCACCCTGCACTCTCTCTCTCTCAATCTCTCTCTCTCTTTCTCTCACTCTCCCCTCCCTATTTCTCCCCCCCCCCCCTCTCTCTCTCCTCCTCTCTCCCTTCTTTTGTCTCCTCGTTCTCTCTCTCTTTCCCTCCCTCTCGCTTTCTACCTTCTTTTATTATCTCCCCCACCCTCCCCTCTCTCTCCCTCTTTCCCTCTCTCTCTCGCGGAGGGGTACCTGCTCGTGTGTGACCGGGATGAGTCTTTGTTTGGACAGCTCTCTCAGTGTGTTCAGATCCGTCCTCATGTCGATCTTACATCCGACAACCAGCACCTTTGCGTTCGGGCAAAACTCCTGCGTCTCGCACTGCCACTGGGGACGGGGGGTGGGGGGGGTGTGGGGGTGGGGGGGAGTGGGGGAGACGGTACATTAATTACACAGAAATGATAATTATAATAATAATAATCCCTGCATTTGATACAGCGCCTGATCGCGACTTCGAGACGTCGCAAAGTGCTTCACCGTGAAGCGAATTGAGCGTATGGTCTGTGGGCGAAACACATTACATGTGTTGTTTTTATCGCACGTTCAGAATTTAGGAGAAGAGCTCGAGACACACAGCCCCAGAGAGGCAGCTTTGGGGGTGACGGGGGGGGGGGGGGGGGGGGGAGTGGTGGGGGAGTGGGAGTGAGTGAGAGAGAGAGAGAGAGAGAGAGACAGAAGGAGAGAGAGCAGGAGGCTAAGCAGTAATGATCGCCGCTAATTAACCCGGAGTAATGTGCACCTTCACCTCCCTGAGCTCCACCAGACTTTGCCGGGAGATGGTGAGAGAGCCAGTCATTGGGTTTGGCTCAGTCCCGAATAGCCTCGCGCTCTCTCTCCCCTCTCTCTCTCTCTCTCTCTCTCGCTCTCTCTCTCTCGCTCTCTCTCTCGCTGTCTCTCTCTCTCGCTGTCTCTCGCTGTCTCTCTCTGTCGCTGGTGAAGCTATTCTGTCACTGGGTTCCATCGCCTCTCACACACTTGAGGCTGTAAGTTGTCTAATGTGTCCAACGGGAGCCCTGGGCAATGAGCCATGACCTGGATACTGACCCCCCCCCCCAACCCCCCGAGCCCCCCCCCCCCCCCAGCCCCGAGCTATCCCTGCTGTTGGTTCTCATCCCGTGTTGACAGCTCGGGATCTGGGGATGAGATTAGTGTTTCCTTTCACCCCGAGGGACAGGGGCTTCGGAGCAGGGAAAGTGTCAGCGCTGGGTCAGAGGTCTCTCAGTCCTTGCCGGAGGGAGTGTGAGACCTCTGACCGCACTCTCTCCCCCTCCGCCCCCACCCCCCCCCCCCCCCGCTCCCTCACTCAGAACTCTGAGCGCTTGCAACTAGCTCCCCCCCACACAACCCCCCCCACACACAACCCCCACCCCGCACACAACCCCACCCCACACAACCCCACCCCGCACACAACCCCACCCCGCACACAACCCCACCCCCCCCCCACCCCGCACACAACACCCCCACCACCACCTGGTGGGAAAGGAAGGTTATGGGTCAGAGAGTCGCACACACACACACACCACGCACCCACGCATTCACACGCACACCCATGCACACACGCGCACACGTACGCGCATACACGCCCACACCACACGCACGCACATACACGCGCACACCGCACGTATGCACACCACACACCCACCCACGCACGCACACGCAGGGCTGAGAGTGGGAGTGAGGCGAAGCCCAGTTCTCTATCACAGTGGTTCCTCAGAGGAGAGAAAGCAGGAGGTTCATTAAACAAACTCAGAGCTCCAGAGACAGTAACACCATCTGTGCACAGAGATTATCCCAGAGAGGGGTTGGCTATTGACTTGCGCACAGTGGGGGGGCGGGCGGTGGGGGGGGGGGGGGGAAGGTCTCCTCTACTCTCACCTGTTTCCCGTGTGAAGCTTCTGCATGTTTGAGCTTTCAATCTGACTTGGATCCCGAGGGAGAACAGTGTTGGTTTTAGTGTAAAAACACGCGCCCCCCCCACCCCCACCACCACCAACCAGCCACTAGCCACTAGCCATGCTCCCCCCCCCCCCCCCCCCACTCCACTAACTCCAGACTCCAGGCATTGAGACGTCTCAACGAGGTGAGAAGGCGCTGTCTCAAATACAATGATTATTAATATTAATATCCATTCTGCGTCTCTTAAGTAAAAAAATCCTTCCAAGTGAAGTCTGGAGCTCCCGCACTTGCGCCTTCACTGAACGGACCTCTGTCCGGATAAAGCCAGCGCCGACATGACGAGACGGGAAAAGGCTGAAGAACGACCTTATTCTGTGTGGGAATAATATTTTTCTCCCCCTGTAAATTCCTCCCATTTTTAGGACGGAAAGGCAGTCTGGCTGAGTCAGACCGGGGAGGATTTCAAGAGCTCAGAGCGATCCAGAAGGGTTCTGATGCCAGACATACTGCTGGTTGGATTGCTTGACATGTTGGAGACACAGCACAAGCCAAGCCAAACACTAGATATATACGTATATATATATATATATATATATAAATATAAACCTATAAAACCAGCCCCGGAGAATTGATAGCTTCTAAATCTTGTTTTCCGAAAGCAAGTCTGTGGGAACGTTGGCCGCTCCTTTGACCCTTTCGCCGAAAGCTCTGAGACACTCAAACCCTCGCGATGAGGAACACTGTGTAAATGCGAGTGGTTGTTTATATCTTTTGGACCACACAGAGCGCCTCCTCTGACGTTGACACAACCAGTTCCCGGGCTCCGTTTGATGAGACGACGAGAACAACAACGACGACGACAACCACCACAACCTACAACCACAAGCGAGGCATTTACACAACGCCCTTCGCGTCAGGGAAGGTGCTGGACACTCAGGGATTGGATGGGCACCAACCTTCTTCAACACACTGTCCAGGGTCTCCGGTCGACTGATGTCAAAGCAGATCAGGACAGCGTCAGCATCGGGATAGGCCAGAGGCCGAACATTGTCATAGTATGCAGAGCCTGGGGTGTGGAGATGGGGGTGGTGGGGTGGGGGGAGAGAGGGGGGAGTGAGAGGGAAGGGGAGAGCGGGGGTGGGGGGGGGGGGCGGGAGAGAGGGGGAAAAAAGAAAGATTCATTAACATAGGATTTAAAGACGAACGCGGCTCTGTGCATAGCTCCTGAACAGGCAGACGGGGAGAGAGGTTTAGCGTCTCATCCGAAGGACGGCGTCTCTGACAATGCAACAGCCCCCCCACCCCACACCCCCTCTGACTCAGAGGCGAAACGCGAGTCGTTCTAGTCTGACGCAGTGGGGGGTTTTTCCCCCTCCTTTTACGACTGACCATCTCCGGATAAACCAGAGGCAGAGACAGAGCGCGTCGAACAGCTAAAGCCGTGTCCGAGGCCGGGCTCAGTCACCGGGCGACGGAGCGAAAGGGAATGTTGCCGTTTGTCCCGGTGAACGCTGAGCCCGGGGGTGGGGGGGTTTGGGGTGGGGGGGGGGGTGGTGGGGATGTGACCGTAGGCACGGGCGAAGAGGAAGGAGTGGGTGGGGTGGGGTGGGGGGGTCTCTGGTACGGACGGGTTGGCCCGAGTTGTGCTGTAACTGTGTGACATGCGCAGTTTCTAACTGAACTGTTATTCATTGAGAGCTCAGAGAGAAGCCACTCGGAGATCCAATGTGGAACAAAAGGTCAACCTCTCCCCCACACTCACTCACTCACTCACTCCCACCCCCAACCCCCACCACCGCTCCCCCCCCAACCCGGCGCTCCACAGGCCCCCACTGCCCCCCACAACCATCCCACGTGACAACGTACAAACACTTTCCGAGTAGGGCTCGAAGCACATCCTTTTCCCCCCCAAGGGAGAGAGCGAAAAGGCAAAGAGAGAGAGAGAGAGGGAGGGAGAGACAGAGCGAAACAGAGAGAGAGAGAGAGAGAAACAGGACAGAGACGGAAAGAAAGAGAGAGAAAAGGAAAGTTTTATCGAGAGGGAGGAACAGGTTCCCACTCGTTTTGCAGAGAATTGTTGACGCTTTTCGGCACTTCTTCGCGGAATAAAAGATAAAACCCTCCGGGAAAAGAAAAATCAGGGGCAAACCCCCCCCCCCCCAAGACCTCCCACCCCACTCTCCCCCCTCCCCCCTTACCCCCATCTGCCCCCCTGGAGTGTCAGAGGGAGATGCTGTCTCTCTGACTCTCTTTGGCTGCACATTCCTCCCGCAGTCAGTAACGTAGCAACTGGGGACATCAGATCAGGTCCAAATCTCTTCCATTGTACGATGGTGCGGCATAAATAATGTTGATGGTGGGGGGTGTGGGGTGTGGGGGAGAGAGAGAGAGAGAGTGGGGGGGGGAGGGGGTGGGGGGTTGGTGGGGGGGGGAGACAGCATCATGCAAATGAAACCTCTCAGCCAAGCACTGAATTATCACACACTCTGTGTGTGTGTGTGTGTGTATATGTGTGTATATGTGTGTGTATGTATGTATATGTGTGTGTGTATGTATATGTGTGTGTGTATGTGTGTGTGTGTGTGTCCATCACTCAGTCAGTCTGTCACTCACTCTAAGTCCTAACACCATCAATAACTGCAACTGAGCTCCAGCCCTGAATAGAGATTTACAACCGCTCGGGGGGGGGGGGGGAAGGGGTTCAGACCCTCATATCTGTGCCACAAACCACCCTCCTCCCCCCCCCCTCTCTAGGTCTCGCTCTCCCCACCCCCCCACCTCTCTCTCTTTCTCTCTCTATTATTCTCAGCTCTTTCTCCGCATCCCTTTGTGTTGGTTTTCTTAATCCCCTTTCTCGCTCTTTGGAACACAGGGGACAGGCAGGAGGCCATTCAGCCCCTCGAGCCTGTTCCGCCATTCCACTTAGATGGCGGCTGACCCGTACCTCAACGCCAATGGCCGGCCCCTTCGCCCGAAACGATCCCGAAGCGCACACACATGCAAACTACCCGCCGAGCCGGGCCGACACGCGGGGCGAAGGGAGGGGTGTGAGTGCAAGTTGTTGCTGTTGCTGCTGTTGTTGTTGTTGGTTTCTAGCCCTCGAATACGAAGCCACACGGGTATCGCAACGGAACAGGGCTTCGAATCCATCTCTCTCTCTCTCTCTCTCTCTCTCTCCCCCCACTCTCAACCCCCCCCCCCCCCCCCAACGCGAGCCTCGCCAACACACACACGCACATCGCAGGAATCAATCTGATTTTCTTGGCTGCCTTTCGAGACGGAAAGCCTCTGGGAGTGCGAGACTTTGGAATGGCTACACAGCACCTGAGCAGCTGAGAAGGATTTGCGTTAATAAGGGGGGGGGGGGGGGGGGAAGTGGGGAAGGAGGGGAAGATCGCAGGAGAGCTCAGCCCACATGAAAGAGAGCAATAACTCACCCCCCCCCCCCCCAGCTACAGGACACCAACCAGGCTTTGAAGTCTCCGGTTCGTTTGCAAACGAGGGTGAAAAATATCGAATAACCGCAGCACAGGGAGGTTTGGAGTCTTAAGTGCCTCACACTTCACGAGGGGACGTTTTCCTCGCTACCCCCACCCACTGCTGTCCATTCCCCCCCCACCCCCCACCCCGCCGCCCCCACCACCCCTCAACCCCCCCCGCCACGTGCAATAGATTAACAACAGGAGGTTATAGAACCGGCTGCTACATTCCCCCACAGAGGTACACACACGGTCACTTCGCTCTGCAGTGACTCCTGTGAAGCGCTTTGAGACGTCTCGAAGACGTGATAAGGCGCTGTATCGAATGCGAGGATTATAATTATTAATTATTATTATTATTATTATTATTTCTCTCTCCTCTCTCTGACTCTCTCTCTGTCTCCCTCTCTCTCTCCCTCTCCCTCTCTCTATCTCTCTCTCTATCAATGTTCTCCGTGCGCTGTTTCCGCAGAATGTAAATTGAATAATTCGGCCACAAAGACAGAGAAGATATTGTATCCACTTGTTTGGGATCGCCATTCCCAGCACTTTTCAGAAGAAAAGGTTAATTGAATTCAGCCTCGACAGTCACAGGCAGAAAATATCCTTTATCCATCACTAAAACAAAGAGCTGCTTCTGAAACACGTCCCAGAGAACGTCTCACACACACACACACAGTCACACACACACACACACAGTCACACACACACACACACTCAGTCACGCCCAACACACACAGTCTCACACACACGCAGTCACACACACACATGAACGGTCACAGACACCGTCACACGCACGCGCACACGCACACACACACACACACAGTCACGCACACACACGCAGTCACACACACAGTCACACACGCACACAGTCACGCGCGCGCACACACACACACAGTCACACACACACACAATATCCCAGCTCTGACAAACACCTGAATCGCTTAACCTCACGCCTCCTCAGAGGAGGACGCAGCCTTTTTTTTGCAGTAAAAAAAATTGTATTTGTTAATTGTGATTTTTTTTTAATGAATCCAACACACGTGTCCTCACCCGGTTTGATTCCCAGGTGGGGCAAAAGGTTGGGCCAGTTTTCCTTACCCCGCACACTTCTGTGATTTGCCGTGATTATTACCCCCGGAAAGCAATCCATCTGCCAATCGACTAACAACCAGGTTCCTAACTAACTGCTGGGTAAACAGCGGCGTGTGCGTGTGTGTGTGCGTGTGTGTGCGTGTGTGTGTGTGGAGTAAGGAAACTTGGACCAAGGTCTTTCGCCCTGACCCGCCCGGGAATCGGACCCCGAGGTCCTCTCGCTCGCGAGGCGAGGGCTGTAACCGGCTGTGGCCGCAGCGAGCGGCCGGGGGGGCAGGTGGAGCGTGACCGGTGGAAGCCCAGCTGAAGCCGGCCGAAGCCGAGCCCTTTTCAGCCTTGCGCGGCAGGAATTCAGCTCGTTCGGCTCACTGTCTGACTCCGGACATTACTTCTCACGGGAAAGGGAGTGAAAAGGACAGCGGGAAGCGACAGGACAGCTTCACGTGGTCCCCGATCCTGAGATATACAGCCAGGCAGCTCTGTACAGGGTTAACAGGACAGAGCACAGTCTGGGGCAGTGGGAAGCTCTCTCTCTCTCTCTCTCTCTCTCTCGCTCTCTCTCTCCCGGTGTCCTGGCTGACAACCCCCCCCCCTCACCCCCCTACACCCCCAAATAAAATTGCTCTTTCACTCCACGGCTGTTTGTGGGACGTCGCTGTGCGCAATTTTGCTGCCGAGTTCACTTCGTTCCACAGTGAGGGAGTAGGGAGGTGGGGTGGGGGGGGCGGGGGAGAAGCGGGGTAGGGAGTGGGGGGTTTGGGGGGGAGGGGGGTGGGGAGCTGTCGGCGTTGAGGGGGTACACACTGACAGCCCAGTGACCGGCCAGATTGGGTGACTGACAGATCGCTCGCCGACCTGACTCCAGAGAGAGAGAGAGAGAGAGAGAGGTCGCGGGGACCGTGGGGATAAAGGCAAGCGCTGTGTGAACGTAATGTGTTGTCGTTGTTGTTGAAGTGGGGGGTGGGGGGGGAGTGGGGTGGGGGGGTGGAGTGTTGAGGGAGAAGAACCTGTTGATCCGGTTAAAGAATTTCCCTCGAATTAATTTTTCTCAAAAGGGTCCAAACCCCCAATTTACTGGACAAACACAAAGCATCGCCGACTCTCTGCGCCGTACGAACAACTTTACTTATACGGTAGGTTTCCTGGGCAGAGGGGGAGGCCAAGGAGGGTGGGAGGTGAGAGATTCGGGGGCTTGTGGGGGGGGTGTGGGGTAGGGGGGGCACCAAATGCCCCCCTGTTCTCTTGTGCGCCCCCCCCCCCCCCCGTGGCCAGGTTTAGAACGTCACCGGGAGGCACCTGGTGACCACCTCGTTCGTCTCGATGTCTCACCACAATCTCACGTTCATTAAAAAAAAAGTCCTTTAGGTCATCGTTCTCATTTCAATGCCACCCCCCCCCCACCACCCCCCTCCCCCCCACCGCCCCCTCCCCCCCCTCTCTGCGGTATGGAGGGGGTTTGCAGCCCACCTTACTTAGCTCGGACGCCGCGTCCAAAACCCCCAGTCACGACGACAGAGAGGCCAACACTCCACTCCACGGCGAAGCACTTTGAGATGTTGCGTTGTGTCAAATGCAATGATTATTAAATGGGGAAACAGTAGGAGAAATGGTGGGGGTGGGGGGGGGACGGGGACGGGTGGGGGGGGAAAGAGCCGGTGATTTCAGGATGGGTCAAATGGCCACTGGATTCCCTGAGGCTGTAACTGGCTTCAGTTTTGACGACAGGAGTTTTTCACAGTTTCACACAAAAGGCCACGAGAGGATCCCAGAGGGTTGCGATGAAGAGCGGAGGCAGAGCTTCGCAGCGAGAAGGTGAAAGGAGAGTTGACACGCAACACCAGGACAAGTAACTTGCACCCCACGCCGCGGCCTTTGCCACTCACCTGATGTGTCCCACATGTTCAGCTCGATCCTCTGTTTCTCGATCTCGAAACTGGCCGTGTAGTTCTCGAAGACGGTGGATACATAACTCTACGACACACACAAATGCCATCTTAAGAGAGCTGTATAACGGTAATGATCCCGGCCTTTGACCCGGCGCCTCATCACGTCTTCGAGACGTCTCGAAGCCCTTCGCGGGAGACACTGTAAAGTGGAGTGACTGTGCATTTTGTGGGAAAAATGTGACAGCCAACTGCACGCAGCAGCGTCCCTATATACACATATTATATATTTCGCCCACAAAATACGCAGTCGATTCACTTTACAGTATATTCTGTGAAGCGCTTTGAGAGGTCTCAAACACGTGATAAGGTGCTGTATCAAATGCGAGGAGGATTATTATTATTATTTATAAGACCGACTTCGTTTTTGAGACCATAAGATCTTGTAAGAATTAAAGGGCAGGTTACAGTTCAGTGAGAAATCAGGTTTTCGGCCATAACAATAATAATAATATAATAACCCCGGCATTTGACACCGCGCCTCATCGCGTCTTCGAGACGTCTCAAAGTGCTTCACGGGATACACCGGAAAGCGAATCGACTGTGTACTTTGTGGGCGAACAGACTGAGAGGGCAATATTCCAGGGTGGGAACATCACATCTCTGCAGCGCAGAGCGGCAAAATAGAGGGATTAAAGGATTTTACGTTAAAAAAAACCCACTCAAACTCCCACAAACTTTTCCCTCAACTCCCGCAAAGTTACGGTTGTTATCCCTTTCCCAACAGACGCTGTTAGATCAGAGTCTCTGCCAAAAGCGATCCACAAATTTTTTAAATAGAAAAGCTCGTAAAACTCTTCAGTGATGAATTACAGGGGAAAAAATACATCGGAGGAACGCACTGAAGAAGGATTTTTTTTGGACGCCCCCCCCCCCCTCCCACTCCCACACACCCCACCCCCAAAAAAAAAGGCGAAATGCTTCAAAACCCGATAACCGTGACGGGTTTCGGGGGTTTCGCAAATTCTTGCATTTTTTTGGGGGGGGTAAACGCACGCGTAAGTAACGCGAGAAAAAGATATAAAGTCACCGAAGGAAGGACCTGAAGGGGAACGTCCACACCGTATCGCCTCCCCCCCCGAAAAAGAAAAGCGTTGGCTCCCGCAGTTCGCCCGCAAAACGCACAAGTCGATTCGCTTTTGCAGGGCATCGCTCCTTGACACGTCTCGGAGACGTGATCAGGCGCTGTACCAAATGCAAGGACTGTTATTACCGGTGTTATTATTGCTGTTAGGATAAGAAAAGCAGCTCAGTTTACCTCTGGGTAACAATCCTTCGCAAAAACGTGCAGCAAAGCTGTTTTCCCACACTGGGAATCACCAACCACAACAATCTTGCAGTGAGAGCTTTGCTGTTCCATGGCTGGTGTTGGGGGCTATAAGTCTGCCCTTTCCTGCATTGACAAGTAGACTTGTTTCCCTTTAATCCAGCTCTTCTCTCTCTCTCTCTCTCTCTCTCTTTCTCTCTCTTATCCTCTTCTCTCTCTTTATCCCACTCACTCACTCATTCATTCACTCACTCACTCACTCACTCACTCATTCACTCACCACTGACACTCTTCACATCCACTCTTCACATCCACTGTGCAAATGTGACTTGAGTCAGAGAGAGTGAGACACACACACTCACACACTCACTCACTGAGCTAATAGCAGTAGAGCCTCTGGTAGAGGCTACAGACACACCAATCCTGTTCCTCTGCTCTCATCGATGTGCAGAAAAGAGGTTGTTCCCTCCTCACTGCAACAGTTCACCACAATCCCCAGCAAATTAACAGCAGAAATAAAGATTAAATTGAATTAAAGCTGAACTCTCCTCCCTCCCTCTCTGTCTCTCTCACACTCACACACATCCCATCAGTTGGACATTTCTCAAGTTGCATATGTTCCCCACTTTTGTACTTTCTTTCTGATGGGTTTTTTTTTCCCCATTTTTTTAAATAGAATAGGAAAAATCCTGGGAATCCCACGTAAAAGCTGGACTGGAGGCTCTTGTATTTGGACTGGAAGGGTTTGGACAGACATTTTTACGCGTGTGTTTTTTTTTGGTTTAAGGTATTTTAAAAGGTGTTACGTCTTGTTGTTTTCGAATGGTAAAGCGCAGCGAGACGTGGAGTTTTCGAGTATGTGTATGTGTGCGCGCGTGCCTGTGAGTGTGTGTGTTGTGCACACAATGATCATAATGCTCGCATTTGATGTGGCGCCTTATCGCGTCTTCGGGGCGTCTTCAAAGCGCTTCACGGAAGTGAAGTGAATCGACTGTATATTTTGTGATGGCTGTGAGCGTGAGGACTGTATAAGCGAATGCGTGCGCGTGTGTATACGTGTGTGTGTGTGAGTGTGAGTGCGTATAGGTATATATGTGGTGTGTGATTGTGAGGACTGTATATGTGTGTGAGTGTGTGTGTGTATACATATATGCGTGTGAGTGTGTGCGCGTGTGTATGGGTGTGAGTGCGTATATGTACATATGCGGTGTGTGATTGTGAGGACTGTATATGCGTGTGAGTGTGTGTGTGTATACGTATATGCGTGTGCGTGTGTGTATGAATGTGAGTGCGTATATGTATATATGTGGTGTGTGATTGTGAGGACGGTATATGCGTGTGCGTATGTGTGAGTACGTATATGTATATATGCGGTGTGCGATTGTGAGGACTGTATATGTGTGTGTGTGTGGGGGGGGGGGCGAGAGGGGGTGGTGGGGGGGTGAGACGAAGCCCCTTGACGTTCCCTGTTGACACCCACTGTCTCAGCTCACAGCTGAGGTCTGTTTCGGAGTCGTGGAGCTTTGGGATGAAAGAAACGAGAGGTGAGAGGTTGTCATTTCCACACTTGTGTGCAAGAGGGCGTCCTTCTGTGGCCGTGGTCTCGAAGATGTTTAATATTAACATTACGGACCCAGCGTAACCGAGTTCCAGACCATCGCTCCGTCTCTACACTGGGTGGTGCTGATACACAAGGATAATATCTCAGGCTCAATCCAGCAAAGCACTGATTTATGTAATAATAATAATAATAATAATAATATAATAATAATATTCCTGGCCTTTGACACAGCGCCTTATCACGCCTTCGAGACGTCTCAAAGCGCTTCACGGGATACGCTGCAAAGCCAATTGACTGTATGTATGTTTTGCGGGCGAAACGCGGCGGCCGATTGCGCGCAGCGCCGTCCCCCCCCCACCCTCCTCCCTCCCCCACCCCACCCCACACACAAAACAGTCGCGGATTGAGTCGCCGAATTATTAATTTTTTTTTGAAGGGATTATTCCTTACCCATTGAAAAGCGATCTGCCAATCGACGAACAACAAGGCTGGGTAGACAGAGGCACACGCGCGTGTGCGTGTGCGCGTGTGTGCGCGCGTGTGTGTGTGTGCGTGCGTGTGTGTGCGTGGAGTAAGGAAACTTGCCCAACATTTCGCCCTGACCCGACCCGACCCGCCCGGAAATCGAACCCAGGTCCTCTCGCTTGCGAGGCGAGTACTCTAACCCCCGAGGCTACCGGGACGCCATGCTCGTTCGGGTTGGGAATCAGCCAACCTTTAAGAAAAATATCGGTCGCTCGACCCACGGCCGTTTCGCGGGCCGCCGCTGTCTCTGCGCGCAATCGGCCGCCGCCCTCCCGCTGCGCCCACGGAATACCGCGGCCGAGCGAATAACTGAAGTGAGCAACTTCTGTGTGTGGGGGCGAAACAGCGATCGGTTCCTTGAAACGTGCAAACCCTCCGCCGTCGGAGAAAACGCTTTCTCCTCCTGTCCGCTCCGTCGCTTGGCCCGGATGGCGGAATAAATCCCAAATGAGAGCGGCCGAGTTGAGTCGGGTTGGAGTGAATCGGGTGTTCGCCGGAAAGAAAGAATAGGAGCTCCTGGTTCCATGTTTTCAGAGAAGCCAAGAGATCTGGGAGGTTCCCAGCCTTAAGCTTGGCTTTGGTCTTGTTGATTTCAATTGAGAAATTGGACCAATTTCGATAGGGGGAGAGAGAGAGAGAGAGAGAAACACACATACACGTACGCAGACACACACACACACGCTCAGAGAGAGCATTGCCCCAAGAAATTTGCACCCAACTTCTTCTCCTCTGCCTGGGCTGTCTATTTTGGACCTCTGTCTGCGTGTTCTGTGAGTGTTGTGCCAAATAAAAAAAAAGGAGAGGATAATAAGAAAGAGGAAGAAAGGACAGGGAGAAAGGAGCGAGAGAGAGAGAGAGAGAGAGATGTCTGCAGAAGAAAGCAAGGAGTCTCAACAGGCAAAAGAAAGCAAGGAACCTCAGAAGACACAAGAAACGGTTCAGGAACAAGAGGAACCTTCTTCCTACAAAGCCATTGTGCTGTCTGGCTTTGGGGGCTATGACAAACTGAGTGTGGAGATGAAGAAGGGCGTCCCCATCCCTAAAGCTGGTGAGATCTTGGTCAGAGTCAAGGCTGGTGGCTTGAATTTTGCTGACCTGATGGCGAGACAGGGGATCTATGACAGAATGTCTTCATCTCCACCTCTGGTGCCAGGGATGGAAGCCTCTGGGGTTGTAGAAGCCATTGGGGAAGACGTGAAGGATAAGAAGGTAAGTCACCTGCACACTGAGTGATTGATTAATCTGTTGATAAATAATAATAATCCTTGCATTTAATCTTTCACCCCCCACCACACACACACACACACACACACACACACACACACACACACACACACACAAAGAATATATCGAGTCAATTCACTTTACAGTGTATTCCGTGAAGCGCTTTGAGAAGTCTTGAAGATACATCAAACGTAAGAATCACATTGTTATCGCACAGCGCCTTATCGCGTCCTCGAGACGTCTCAAAGCGCTGCTGAGGATAATAATAATAATAATAATAATCCTTGCATTTGATATAGCGCTTATACCGGAAATGTGTTGGCTGCTCTTTAGCGCGCGGTGCTGCGATCTCATTCTTCTCTCCCCACCCCACCCCACCCCACCCCCCCCAAAAAAAAAAACACACACCCTTTAAATAGCAACGTTGCAAAGCCGCAGCCCAAGTCTTGAGCAGCAAGACAAGAAGACGCTGCGAGTGACTGCACATGCGCGAGAGCAAGGAACTCGATTAACCTCCACCCTCCCGCAAGAACAAAAAATAAATCAATGTGGGTTTTAGGAATTGGGGGGGGGGGGAACTTCTCTCTCCCTCTCCCTCTCCCTCCCCCTTTGCATCAATTTAAATGGATCTGTACTACCAGCTATCTGTGATATGTTGTGTCGTGGATCATCACGGAGACGGTTGCTTTGTGACAAACCCCAGGGCGTGGAGAGCATTCAGCCGTTACTCGATCGGTCGCCCCCATCCACCCGCTCCTATCTTAGTTATTGACCACAAAAGATGTCGTCCTCGCCCGCCCCCCCCGCCCCCGCCCGCGCTTCCTCTTGCGTGACGCCGAGAGCTCTCGCCTCGCACGCCAGAGGACCCGGGTCTCGATTCACCCGGGCGGGTCGGGGCGAAACCTCTACACGCCTCCGGTCACCCAGCAGTCAGTAGGCACCCGGTTGTTGTTCGAATGGCCCGATCGCTTTTTCCGAGGGCGATAATCCCTTCTTTTAAAAAAAAACGGGACTGATAATCCGGTCACTCCATCCATGGCCGTTTGCGGGGTCGGCCGTCGCTGTGCGCAATCGGCTGCCGCGTTTCTCCCACAAAATGCACAGTCACTACACTTTACAGTATATTAAAGGGTGTGTGGGGTTTTTTTGGGGGTTGGGGTGGGGAGAGAAGAATGAGATCGCAGCACCGCGCGCTGAAGAGCAGCCAACACATTTCCGGTATATCGTCAGCAGCGCTTTGAGACGTCGCGGAGACGTGTTGAGGCGCCGTATCAAATGCGAGAGTTATTATTATTATCTCTTAAGTAAGAAACATTGTAAACTTGACCCAAATACAGTGCGTTGATAGTAAAGAGTTGCGTCTCTCTCTCTCTCTCGCTCTCGCTCTCAGGTGGGGGACAAGGTGTTTATGCTGAATCGGGGAGGGCTGTGGGCGGAGCTGGCGGTGATTCCGGCCGACAACGCCTTCCTGATGCCGGACGGGATGGGTTTTGAGGAGGCGGCAGCCATCCTGGTCAATTACGTCACCGCCTACATGATGATCTACGATTTCGGCAATCTGCAGCCAGGGCAGAGTGTGCTGGTGCACATGGCAGCCGGTAAGTCACTCACTCGCTCCCGGCTATTCCCGGCTATTCCCGGCTGAGACCACACCTATATCCAAGTCGGACCGGCCGGCCGTGGGAGGGAATGGGATTCTTCCCCCTCTCCTGCTCATATCCCTGTTCCACAACAAACATAGGAACAGGAGGAGGCCATTCAGCCCCTCGAGCCCGTTCTAAAGATCGTGGCCGGTCTGTACCTCAACCTCCATTACCCGTCTTAGCCCCACAACAGCGATAACAGCACATTTACATTTACACGGGGCTTTTCACGTCGGGAGGAAGTCCCCCAAGGATCTGGGCAATGAGGGGGTTTGCACCCGAGCTGGGGGTTGGGATCGGGATCAGGATCAGGAGGGGTGGAGGGCAGGGAGGGTGGAAGGTAAGTATGTCTCCTGCACATTAATTGGTGGTGGGAGGGTGACTGAAGTGGGTGTCGAACGACTTCTAGTCCTCGGGAGAGGGAAACACCCCCCCACCCTTGTCTGTGTGTGTGTGTTTTTCCCGTTTGTATGTTATACAGGAAAATGGATGGGCCAAGTGCCAGAACGCGCCATTTCCTCCCGTTGCAGGCAAACCGGAAACACTTTCACCGCTGATAGGGTTGAGTTGTGTCGTCCCGAGTTACTCAACTAACCTAACCCCAGAGCTGTCGTTCAAGATCGCTGCCGCCAAAAAAAAGGGGGAGAACGTTGCGGAGTCAGTGGTTAGAGAGCTCGCCTCGCAAGCGAGAGGACCTGGGTTCGATTCCCGGGAGGGTCAGGTCAGGGCGAAACATCGGGCAAGTTTCCTTACTCCCCACACGCACACACACACACGCCTCTGTTTACCCAGCAGTTAGTAGGGTTGTTAGTGGATTATCCCTCCTCCCCCCCAAAAAATAATAATAATTTCAATCCATGACTGTTTGTGGGACACTTCTGTGCCCAATTGGCTGCCGGTATTCGCCAAACCATACACTGCATTCCCCCAGATATTATTTCCTAACAGGAATCTGTCTCGTTTGTTCCTGAGAGAATCTACGCCTTCTGCTTCCGTCGTCTTGTCTGTTTCCCTGGGGATGCGACCAACTAAATACAAGTTGGTTGCATCCAACCCCTGGGGATCGCTTGCGGTTGGGTTGGGCAGTTCTCTCCATACAAGACGTTCCTCGCGTGTTAAGAGCGAGCGACGTGGGCAGGAGAATGTGATGCTTTGTTACGTTATACAGCACCAAGGCTCTTTCTCCGGCCCTGAAGTCTGCGTGCGCGTGCTTGCGTGTGCGCGCGCGTGTGTGCGAGCGAGTCCTGGAGCGAGCGTGCATGTGTGTGTGTGTGTGTGTATGTGTGCGCGTGCGCGCGTGTGTGTGAGTGAGTCCTGGAGCGAGTGTGTGTGTGTCTACGTGGGTGTGTGTGTGTGTGTGTGTGTGTGTGTCCTGGAGCGAGTGTGCATGTGTGTGCGTGTGTGTGTGTGTGAGTGCGGGTGTGAGTGATTTTATCTTGGGGTTGGGGTGGGGGCTGGGGGTGGTGGGTGTCAGCCAGGACACCGGGGAGAGAGAGAGAGAGAGAGAGAAACTCCCTTCTCTTCTCCGACAGCGCAAGGGGAGATCTTTAACACTCCCCCGGACAGGTCGCAGACGTGTAGCTCGTTTTTTTTTTAAGGTCTCGGCCCAAACCGTGAGCTCGAGGTCTCAACGGGGGACTTGAATCTGTCCGGGAGGCGAGAGGACGAGAGATTGAGCCGGGGAATCCACACCCCCTGCCCCGGGACAGCAGGTTATTGGGATTCTCGTTGCCACAGAAAGAGAGGGGGTGTTTTTTTTGTGGGTGGGACTGGACTTTTCCCCTGGAAACCTGTTGCTCAGGAATTCGGTTCATTCCAGTGCTAATCCTGTTTGCATTCGATTCTACTGTTAAGAAGCTGTTCCTGTGTGGTTTTGTGTGTGTGTGTGTGTGGTTGAGAGAAGGGGAAGGGGGAGAGGGTGGGGTTGGGGGTTGGAGAGGAAATCACTGTGAAAACTGACTTCAATTCAATTGCAACAACAACAACGCACGGGAAATTCTGTACGTTTAACTTGGTGTGTTCGGTGAATTGTCCGCATGTGTGTGTGTGTGTGTGTGTCTCACACACGTGAATACGTACACACACACACAACACACACACACACCCCCACCCCGCGTACCCCAACGTTGGCTGAGTTGCGCAGCGCCCACCGAACCGGTCACTAGACCTCCTCCACGCTCGGCGGGGATCCCTGCGGAGCTCCGCCCGACCCCCTGAATAAATAAAATAAAAGCCACGCGTCGTCGAGACGTCTCCGAGCGCTGCGCAGGAATGCACCGTGAAGCGTAGCGACCGTGCGTCTCGGCGGGCCAACGCCCAGGCCGAACGAGGTGTGCGCCAGCGCAGAGCGAAGCTTTTACCAATCGCTTCCAACTGTTTGTACGGACTTGGACAGGACGTAAGGTGAAGGAAGGTCTGTTCCAGGGATTGTGCGGTGGGTCACGAGACGGAGCTCAGCTCGGCTCAGCCTGGCCGGGAGCCACGCGAGGAGATTTATCTTGAGTTTTCCCCACAGCACGGACGCTGGTTCAAGGTCATGGGTTTGTGGCTGGTTTTGGAGGGTGGAGGGGGTGGGGGTGGGGGGGGGATGGGTGGGGGGAAGGGAGAGCAACACAAGTAGTATGAGTTACAGGTGGAATATATGACTGTGTGCGACACAGTATCAAATGCGAGGATTGATTGATTTATTTTATAATTGATGCCACTCTGCTCCCCCTCCTCCCACTCCCCCCACTTCGACCGTGCCTTTGGTTACCCTCTCACCCCCTACCCTCTCCCCCCCACTCCTGATCCCAACCACCAGCTCGGGTGCAGATCCCGGAGCGCCCAGCGCCTTGGGACGGCCTCCCGACGCGGAAGGCAGGCTCTGTGTGTACATGTCATGTGTTGTTGTTGAGATGCCGGGGGTGAGATTAACCTTTGGGGTTGGCGTTGTGCCCGCAGGTGGGGTGGGCATCGCGGCCACCCAGCTGTGTAAGCTGGTGAAGGACGTCACTGTGTTCGGCACCTCCTCCGCCTCCAAACACGAGACCATCAAGGAGAACGGAGTCAGCCACCCCATCGACTACCGCACCTTAGACTACGTGGAGGAAGTTCGCAAGATCTCGCCCAAAGGTAGGAAGGAACTGGCGATACGTGTCTATCTGCGCCGGGGCCTGTTCTCGTCCCTCCGACCCCCACGCCCACCCCCGCTGCTCCTCATGCTCCGCACCCTTCACCCTCCCCTCCACCCCACCCCCCACAATCTACTGATACGACAGTGAGGTTGGCACCCACAGTCTCCCTCAATCCACAACCTGGTTTGGAGACTCTTAGGCAACGGTGATGGGTTTCCTCGTGTCAGACACCCGGCTGACCCAACGAATAATCTCTCTCTCTCTTTCTCCCCCACCCCACACTCCGCACCCCCCCCACCCACCCCCGGGGACAGGCGTTGACATCGTACTCGACCCGCTGGGTGGAGCGGACACGGCGAAAGGGTTTCACTTGCTGAAGCCCATGGGGAAGATCATCACGTTTGGTAAGTCGCACTCACACACGCACGCCGGGCGTTTCGAAACGGCCGACCTCTGGGTCATCCCGGTCACGATCGGCGTCACTTCCTGGGTGTTTGCGAGAGCAGGAAGTGAGCTCGGCCACCTGATCGCGTGGCAATCGGCCCGTTTTGTAGCGCTCTGAATCCAAACGCGGGTTCATGGGTGGGGTGGGTGGGGGCTGGGGCTGGGGGATTGGGGGCTGCCATAATCAGTGACCCAGTGACGTGGGGGTTGGAGGGGGGGAGGGCGGTGAGGAGATGGAGGGGCGCCTTGTAATGGAACTCTACTGCAGTGAGAGCCAAATATGGCTGAACTCTGCCTAGCGCTGAGGAGGGTTTTCCTGTGTGGAAGTCTCTGAGCCGGGTCTGTTTCCCTCTCGACGTCTCCCTGGGGACTGGGGTCAAGCTTTTTATCTCCAGATGGTGTTTGACGGAACATTCCCGGCTTGGGAGTGGCCCGAGGCCGAGACTCGGAGCTCTGCTAACGGGGTTGGGAGGGGAGTGGGGGCGGGGAGAGATGGACAGGAAAGAGCCTGTGTGCCGGCCGGCCGGGGTGGGGGAGCGGGAGCGAGAGGGAGGTCACTGGACCTGAAAACCAGGCCAACAAGTTCATGCCAGAACCATAAATCATCAGCATTGTACAGTGCGGCAAGTGTTTGTAATGAGGCCAGACTGGGGACAGAGCTGGTGGGAAAACCTGGAATGGTATTCCGAGTATGTCCTGCCTCGAGGAGCTGGGATGTGACTTGCGTTCAGCTCAAGATGGAGGCAAGTGGCCTAGCCCTTCCGTTACCGACCGGCGGAACTCTCTGCCCCTACCCCCCACCCCACCCCCTCCGCCGCACCCCCATCTGCGACCTTTCACGGACCGATTATGTGATAAAATTATCAACGCGATGAAATGCGACTGTTTCAGTCACAATGATGGCCTCTGGTTAACCAGTCACTAATAAATCACCAAGATCTCTCACTTGGTTTTGTTTCTGTCTCTCTCTCTCTCTCTCTCTCGTCTTTCTTTTTCTCTGTCTGTCTGTCGTCTGTTTCTGACTCTGTTGGCTCTGGGTTCACCCTTGTCCTAGGAGCGTCTACACTGTTGGCCGGGCAGAAGAGGAACCTCATGGCTCTGGCCAGGACCTGGTGGAACAAGTTCTCCATCAACTCCCTGCAGCTGCTGCAGTCCAACAAGGCCGTGTGTGGCTACCACTTGGGCTACCTGGAGGCCGAGCAGATCTCCAAGGTGGTGGTCAAGCTGCTCGCTCTGTACAAGGACGGCAAGATCAAGCCCCGAGTGGACTCCGTGTGGTCATTCGAGCAGGTCAGGGTCTTTGTGCCATCCCGCAGGGAGGGGGCCAGAGTTTGGCCAAAGCTGCCCCCTCCTCTCCCTCCTCCCCCCACCCATGTCCGAGGCCCCAAAAAGGTGCCAGTCAGCGCACAGCTAAAGTCTAGCCTGAATTTGACTCCACACCTTGTTTCACTCACTCCCTTTCACCTCAAGGGGTGGGAGGAAGGCCTCAAAGCGCTTCACAGGATTTTACTGTAAAGAATAGTGACAGTGTATTTGTAGGTAGGCGCGGCGGCCAATTTGCACAAGGCGACGTCCCTCTAAACAGCCGTGAAGTGAAGTTTTTTTTTCTCGTTTTCTCTCTCTCTCTGGGAGAATTGTCGGCCAGGACGCCAGCAGAGAAACTCTGTTCTCAGTCTGACAGCCAGTCACTACACGTCAATGACTCAGAAGCACTTTGACCTGTTGTGACAGCTGTGNTTTTTTTTGTTCAATCTGCACATTTGCCTGTTCCTTCCTACCTCAGGACTGCGTTGTCAGCTATTGCTGCAAAGTTTTCTCTCGAAAAGAGAGCGGAGGGTAAGGGGTGACCTGGTAGAGGTCTTTAAAATATTGAAAGGTTTTGATAGGATCGACACAGGGAAGATGTTTCCTCTGGTGAAGGAAACCAAAACCAGGGGCCATCAACATAAAATAGTCATTAATAGATCAAATAGGGAAGTTAGAAGAAATTTCTTCACACAGAGAGAAGTGGGACTGTGGAACATGGTACCGCAAGGAGTTGTTGAGGCCAAATAGCACAAATTTAAGGGAAAGCTATATGATAATAATAATAATAATAATAATAATAATAATAATAATCCTTGCGTTTGATATAGCGCTTTTCGCGTCTTCTAGACGTCTCAATCGTCATGTACATGAGGGAGAAAGGAATAGAAGGTTCTGCTTGAAGGCTTAGTTGAGGGGGTGCAGGAGGAGTCGCATGTGGAGTATAAACACCCGCATAGACCAGTTGGGCCGAATGGCCTGTTTCTGCGCTGTATATTCTGATGTATTCTAACGTCCAATTTGTAAATCACAACAAAAGGCCCACAGGGCAATAAACCAATGGCTCGCGGGTTAGTCCCCAGACAGTTTAGAGCGACATCATGTGGTCACCTCTCATTACTGCTTGAAGGGCCTCCCCTGGTTGACAATCCTCCCGCTCAGTTCCTGTTAGCCCTGCGGGAAAGCTTGCCGGACAGGGGCCGAGCGGGAGGATTTTCTAGGGACCCCAACACACACTCTGGGGTCCCCAAGCCTTGGGTCCTGCCAACCTCCGACATTCTCTGGCATTTCCATGTGTAGATGGGATGCATGGAGCTCTCGGTGCGATTTAGATACTCTTAAGCATAACTGGTTGGCTGCGGGGCAATTGCAGAGATGCACTCGGGATGTTTTGATGGTGCTGTGAGCTCTACCCGCTCGCTCGCTCGCTCGCGCTCTCCCTCTCGTTCTCACTGGCTGTTTCTCTCCCCTCCCCCTGTTTCAGGTCGGTGATGCCATGAGGCAAATGCAGGAACGGAAGAACATCGGCAAAGTCATCCTGGTCCCAGAGGCAAAGAAAAGTGAAGAGTAGAATCCGAGTATTCCCTCCCCATCCTCCCCCCTCCCCGCACCCACCCACCCACCCACACACACATCCCTTCCCCTGACAGGATTTAACATTGTGAATTGCCTTTAACGCTGCCTTTCTTTTGGGATCAGGGGCTGACTTGAGGGTCTGGCTACACCTTAGTGCCGTTTACGGGACGGAACCCAATTTACTGCCCTTTCCGAAGGATTCCCACCCCCGGTGATCACCTTTCTACCAACATTAACCTGCAGTAAGCTTCTATATTAAACCCTCTCCTCTCCCTCCCCACCCCCCCCCCACCCCCCACGTCGTAACTGTGTTGACGTGTAACAGGAACGATGGCGAGGACCAGTGTGCTATAACGCTAAGCTGTCCTCCACTAAACCACTATTACCCACTGATAAAGCGATGTGCTTGCTCTAACACTGTTCAGTAACTAAAGCGCTCTAAGGCTTCAAAATTCTGCCCGGCTCCCTAAAAGGACCCCGACTTGTGTGGTCGCATTCAGTGCTTCTACCTTAACTATGGGATGGTATAAAACGTGGTCCCTCGCTTATAGATGCTCCCCTCTGTCTCACACATACAAAACAATGGCATTGAGCTGAAAGTACTTCCTCCTCAATTCTACCCCGTGCGCTGGGGTTCATTCTGAGAATTACTCTCCTCGTCTTAGAAGTCTTCATTCCAGTTTGTAACTAAAGTTCCCTGTGCCTTTTCCCATGTTACTGTGAGGTGGGGTTAGATCGTTGATGTCCCATAATCTCCTTTCAGGACTAATTTAGTCTTTTAGGTTAGAGTAACCCCGTTTTTTAGTGCCATACTCCAATCGTGCATATTAAGAGGCCTCGTTAGTAACGCCTTCATTGAATGATCGCTCGGTCATTTTCACCAAAGGGAAGGAAATATCCGGACTTTACTAAAAGGGCTGGTGTCGGCCTGGCTCAGTCGGTCACGCTCTCGCCTCAGTGTCTCAAGATTGTGGGTTCAAGCCCCACATTAGGACTTTGAACTCTCGGGCTAGGCTGACGCTCCAGTACAGTGCTGGGGTTGGGGGGAAATAGAGCTACTCTGTGAGAGAGTGCCATCCTTTGGATGAGAGGCTTCGCCGCCCCCAGGTCCCATTTTGCCCTTTCAAGTAAAAATCCTGTGGCGCTACACGCAAAGAGCAGGGAGTGTCCCCCCTCCCCCCCTCTCTCGCTCTCTCCCAGTGTCCCGGCCAACAATCCTCCACAGAAAATTGCTCACTCGTTTCACGGCTGTTTTGGGACGTTGCTGTGCGCAAATCGTCTGCTGTGTTAAGCCCACAAACACACTTTACAGCCACTCCCCATGAAGTGTTTTGTGATGTTTTGACGTTCTTGGTGCTGTGTTAAAATGGAAGGTTGTGTATTTTTGTGGTGTTGGGGGGGCAGATCATTGCCAGTGTATTAAGGTGGGCTCCAGTTAACACAATCCATGTAATGTTGTTATTCCCTGAGTGGGAATTGGCGATTCATAAACTGAATATCTGCTGCATTTGCTTTCGCCGGCCGAACGAGGTGGGCAGGCGGAAGGAGACTGGAATCTTGTTTAATCCATCCGTCCGGAGGGAATGTCTCGTGCCCCACACTGCCTTATTCTGTAACGCTTCGGTTGCTGTGAGTTTTTTGTGCCAATACAACTTTGTGAAAAAAAAAAGGACCGAAGAATCCAGCTGCTTTACAATAGTTTTCCCTGCCTCGGGCAACCACCTGGCTTGGGTACCGACCGATCTCACCAGAGCTGCGGTGTGGTCTCAGACCCAGACAACAGTTTACACTTAAAGGGCCTGAATTGGGATATTCCAGGGAAGAAGTGATCCTGCGAGAGATCACGTACAAAACCACGACTCAGCTCTCTCCGTCCGTCCGCTCCTCAGTCCGAGGTCATTATTAAGCGGCAGCTTTGGTCTTACGTGTGTATTACTGTCGATAACTACAGTTCGCTGTTTACAATGGATTCTGCGATGAAGTGTTAACGTTACGCTGCTGTTCTGCAGGTGTTACCGTATGCCTTACGTGTTTGACTGATTAATAAAACGCAGATTATAAAGTGCGTGCTCGAATCACTGGGTAAGTGTCTATCTCTCACTCCCCCCCCCCCACCCCCCCCACCCCACCCCTCCGCTGTGAGCACCAAATCGAGCGGGTTCGTTTTCTGTGGCTTTATGCGACTTCCAGTCCTACAAACGTACACGTAACTTGGCTGCCCCGATCTTTCATTCACCACAAGGCTTATATCAAGGGATTTTACCTGACCTGTGTGGCAAGGGGGTCCTCTCTGATTAGCTGATACATTATCTCACCCCCCACCCCCTCAACATTGAAATAAATGTAAGAAGGTAATGTACCATTTTGTCAACAATCCTAATTTTATTTAGCAATCTGATATTAGTAAATGATCAATTTACACACATAACCGGCACAGGCCTCCACTGGCTCCCATCTTCTCACGATCTCTCCCTCTCCCTCTCTCTCCACGTGGAGTTCGGGGCCGTGGTTCACGCTTCACCTTCCAAAGTGTCATGGAATCACCTGATAGTTACCAAAAAAAAGGCTCTCGGGGAAAAAAAGAGATACGATGAGGAATGCAGCAGGGAATCGGACCGCTCCGCCCTCTAGCCCGAGGGTCCATCATTCAAGCCCGTGACTCTGCAGAGCTGCCAGTGCGGTACAGAGGTAACCGGAGTCAGGATAGCCGTCCCTGCAAGGGATAATTTTTCATTAAAATGAAAGACGTGACAATTAACCCTCAAAAAGATCAGCCTCAGCTCAGTCGGTCTCTCGCCTCTGGGTCAGAAAGTCACGGATTCAAGCTCTCAGTCACCGGCTGACACTCCAGCGCGGCGCTGGGAGGGAGGGAGGTGGGGTGGGGGGAAACGCCGCATTGCCAGAGGCGCCGTCCTTCAGAGGAGCCGTTAAATTGAAGCGTTTTGAGATGTCTGGAAGACGCGATATGGCGCTATATCAAATGCAAGGATTATTATGTTACAAACCGCCTGTGACCCTTCTTGTGGATGTTAAAATATCCCGCAAAGCTACTGGGAAAAGGGAGTTCTCCCGGTGTCCTGATCATCGCTGCAGGCAGGTAACATGTCAGGGCTGTACGTGGCTACAAACACGCGCACTGTCTGCAGCTTCTAGTTCCCAGTCTGAAACACCGAGCAGCGCGAACGAGGCTAAGGGATGCAATGCACATACCGGATTTTGCCGCCCGTGATACTCGTCTTGTGCGGAATGTTGTTCCACGTGACCTTCTCCTCCCCGGAGGGCAGGGAGATGATTTTGAAAATGAACCCCTTGTAGAAGGCCTTCGTCAGCAGCTGCAGAACTTTTCTCCCCTGCTTGTTGTTCGGCAGGAAGGCTTCAAAGCACCCACCTCTGTATGGCCGCCCTGGGTTTGGATCACATCTCTATAAGAAACAGGAGGAGCTCAGTAATGGCGAGGATTATGATGATCGTTTTAATCCCATTATCCGCCTCTGTCCCCATATTCCTTAATATTTCCCCCCCCCCCCCAGCTGCTTAACCAGTTGTTCCCTCTTGAATGTTTCTATTGACCTGAACTCGCTCGTCACTTGGGAACTCCGGACACACAGACCACAAACGCGCGCACACCGAGGAGCCTGGGTTTTTAGACCATGACATGGGGTCACTTGCCTGTTGTGTGCCATCCTGGATATTGTAGATGATCTTTAAAGTTAGTTCGTGTTCATGTCCCTCCAACGCGCTGTTGAGAATTCCATAGGACATGTTGCCGACAATCGTGCCTTCAACGGGACTCTGAGTGCACACTGGGCAAGACGGATTGACAAGGTAACAGTCGTCACACAGCCGGTGAGCACAGTCCTGTACGGGGTAACCCCTAGCAGGTTCTAACCTGCAGTTATGACAAAAAACGGCTGCCTTACTTGGCTCTTGCTCCTCGCTGCCTGTGGCGGGACCTCTGGGCACATTTTCCTGGCTGTTTTTTGAGCTCTTCCTTCCTTGAGACCTCCTCCCGCTGCTTTCGTCTCGCTGGTGGGCACTGCCTCCCTCCCGCGCCTGGTCCCTTGAGTCTTGCCGGGCATCCAGCTCCGTCCGGTGAGAACTTCCTTCTTTATCAGACCAATGGCTTTCCCTCGGCGCTTTAGAGGGTAAGTGAAACCTGTCGGGCAGGGTCTTCTTGGCCTTTTCGGACGCGTGCCTGTTCATCTTCTGTTGACTTCTCTCATCCATCTGATTCTCCAGCCCAACATCATCCTTCATTTCTTTTGGTGACATCCTCTGTTCCAAGGGAGGGGAGTCTTGCCCAGGGTCCTCCTTCCCCTTTGAATGCTTCATCTTACTCTTTACATTTGCCTCCTCTGGGTCTACTGAGGAGCTTGCATTTGTCTTGGAAGACAAGCGAGGCGCTGAGCTGAGAGCAACATCCCTCGGTAGGGCCTTGAAAGTGTCAATTATTTGGGAGCATATCTCCCGCGGACCAAGGAGGTGAACGCCGACCTCACCACTAATGAACCTGACATCTGGGAAGTGTTTCCGCAGTTGACTCCAGTGCTGATCCAGGATCGTCTTTGTGGAATCGCTGATGCCCAGGTCCGAGTACAAAAGGTACTGTTGGGTCAGACGCTCAATCAGGGACATGTAAACAGACAACAGCTCCTTTTTGGCCATTTGAACCCCAGTTCTGTCCGTTCCCGTCAGCTTCACGATCACTAATTCCCCCAGCGGCATGTCGATCATCTTGACTCCGTGTTGGATGCTGATTCTCTGAACCAGAGTCCTATGGATGTCCTTAACATACTCCCACACCATTGAGTCCACAGGGAACTCTTCTGTGATGGTGGCCATTGCAGAAACCCCCCAAGACACGTTGGTGGAACCTGCGTTGGGCGTGGAGTGGAGAAAACCTGAAAAACTATTGGTTCTTCTCAATAACCCGGCTCTGCTCGCTTGAGCTTCCGAGGTGCCGGTTGAGTGGAAAGGAGGTGCTTTGTGAGCCAAGTCTTCCAACTGGATGAGTGTACCTGCCGACGTCTCAAATGCGTATGGCTTTACAGGTCCGTGCGTCGTCTTGCTGCTTCTCGCGGCGGGTAGTGACTTGTCTCCTCTGCTCTCACTGCGTCCGGTGAACATGGCGTCATCCGCCGCCCTGTCGGGACTCTTGAGCCGGTTTAAACCCGAAGAAGATCCGATCGCCTTGAGCAGCAGGTCTGCCTCGATCTCTCTGGACGAGAGGGCGAACTCCTTTGCGCCCGCGGCTCGGTCCGGGTAGGGCGACGGGTCGGCACTGGAGATCCTGAGGCGCCGTTTGTGCAGATGGTCCGAGCCCGACGGGTGAGCCTTGGCGGATTGACCCGCGGTCAGCGGGTCGGCGCCGGAGCTCCTGAGATGCCGTTTGTGCTGCTGGTCCCCGCCTGACGGGTGAGCCTTGGCGCCTTGACCCGCGGATAAGTGGTCAACGCTCCCTGCCCTTCCGGCGCTGAAATTGGCGGCCAGCTTGTGGTCCTTCTTGACCGCGTCTGCCTTCGGGGCTGAGGCGACCGGCCTCGGCCCGAAGGGGTCGGCCGGGGATCTGCTCCCTTTCCCGCCGAGCAGCTCTTCCCTCAGGTCCTGCACGGTTTTCTTGGCCAGCGAGCAGTCGTCCCGGCTCCCGACCAGGTACAAGCGTCCGGCGTCCTGGTGCAGGTTGATCTGGGGGAAGCGCGCCTCCAGGTGGGCGACCAGCTGCCGCATCAGCTCGGGGTCGTCGGTCAGGTCGCTCTTGTCGAACTGCTCCTTGCGGAGCTGGAGCTCGAGCTCGCGGTACAGGTCGGACAGGTCCCGGTGGGCCCGGGCCAGAGCCTCGTCCTCCCGACTCTCTCCCTCCTCCTCCGCCTCCAGCTGCAAAAACAAGCTGGTCACCCCCTCGCTCTCCATGTCCACCGCCGCCACCCGGTGCCGCGACAGGATGGCCCGGTACCTGGGCTGGTAGAACCTGCCGATGTAGCGGTAAATCTCGGTGTCCATCAGCAGCACCGGGTCGCCGTCGTCGACGCCCTCGAGGTTTCTCCACCCGCTCCCCCCCCCACGCCTCAGGCTCGCGGCGGTTGGAAAGTTTGAAAAATCCGGGGAGGACGCGGAGTCGGACCGGGTCCGATCGGCCGGCGGGCGCGGTCGGCCGGCCCCCTCTCCTCTCTTTCCGGCCTGATCAGGCTGGGGTTTTGCAGCCGGCTCGCGAGCGGGTTGGCCCGGCGCAAGCGCGCTGCCGTTGGCGTCGGCGCCAAGAGCGCGGCCCACGGCCTCCCCGAGCCGCCGGATGGCCGGGAAGCTTCCCTCGGCGGTGCAGCAGCCGGCGGTCAGGTCGAAGCTGAAGCGGGCGTCTGGGTGCGCCTCCCTCAGGCGTCTCAGCAAGGCTTCCCCTCCTCCTCCTCCTCCTCCTCCTCCCGCTCCTCCTCCCGGGAGCTTGGAGTAGTCGATCACCATGATGACGCTCGGGATCACCTGACCAAAGGGAAGCCGTTCAATTCGGAGTGAGTCGACAATCGGTAATCGATAGTAATCAATAAAGTAATCGGTTCGCGTTACCCCACCACCCCCCGCGCCCCACCCATCCCTCGCCGCCAACGCGGGATCGTCAAGCGCACGCGTGGGTGGTGGGATGGGGTGGGGCGCGAGAGTCGCAGGGAGTGGGGTGGGCGTGGGGTTGTGGGGATGGGGTGGGGGGGGTGTGTGGTGGTCACCGCGGGTCAAGGCCTTCTTACCTGGTCCAGTTGGAAGTGGGCGGCCGCCCCCGCCACGGTCACCCGATGTTGGTCGCCGTTGACCGCCAGGACGTGGCTCGGCATCCGCAGAACCCGCTCGGCCACTGAGTAACGAAACGGCGGCCACCGCGGCGGCGACGACGATGACCACCACCACAAACAAACAAACAAACAAACGACGACGACAACAAGATGATTAGCGAGCGACCGCCACAGGACCAACGACGAGGCGAATCCATCCTCATGGCTCGGTCGGTCAGCGGACGAACTGACCCGCCGCCGTGTCTCGGAGTCTCCGAATCAGACCCGAGAGTTCACGCGCACCACGTTGGAGATTCAACCCTTCCCGAGGGCCATACAACAACAACAACAGCAAGAAGATCACATTTCTATAGTGCCTTTCACATCGGGAGGACGTCCCAAGTCGCTGGACAGTTGGGTTGGGACCCGAGCGGGAGGGGAGATGGTCAGGGTGAGGGGAGGGAAGGGAGGGAGCGAGGAGGGGGCAGAGAGTTGAGAGGGGAGGTGAAGGCACTGTCAAAGAGAAAGGCCTTGAGACCGGCCTTGAAGGAGGAAAGGGAGGAAGTGGCGAAGGCACTGGGGATGGAGTTCCAGAGCCTCGGGGCTGAGAGGCTGAAGGCCACCGATGGTAGGGCAGTTGGGGTGGGGGATGTGGAGCAGACCGGAGCCAGAGGAACGGAGGGTACGGGCAGGTAGGTAGAGGGATAGTAGGTCGGAGAGGTAGGAGGGAGCGAGGCCCTGAATGGCCTTGTAGGTGAGGATGAGGATCTTGAATTCGATCCTCTGGGGGATGGGGAGCCAGTGGAGGTGAGCGAGGGCGAGGGCGGGGGCGGGAGTGAGGTGGACTATGTGATTCCAAGTCCTGACGTGGGGGCTTGAACTCACAGTCTTCTGATTCAGAGGCGAGTGCGCTGACACACAATAAGGTCTCATCCGAGGGACAGAGACCGTGACAATGCTCGCTCCGTCCTGATCCCGTATTACCTTCCGCTTCCTCGAAACGAATCAGAGCAGTTGTCGTTCCGGCCAGGAAGGTGATCTCCGCGATGTCGCCCCCTCCGTTCTTGGGCCGCAGGAAGTGGATCAGGAGCTTGTCCTCCAGGATGTGCGTGGGGACATCTTCAGGCAAATTCAGCACCTGCACCGTCCTCTCCATCATGACCTGTGGGGACAAAGAGATGGGTGCGGTCGGCACCTCAAACTTTCCCGTTGAGAAGGCAACGATTTTGCGTCTTTTTCTGAATTAAGAAATCCTCCGCTGGAGTTTTGGGGGGCAGTGGGTGGGGTTGGAAGTTCCTTGCAGCTTTTGTGGAGTCTGATGGGTGTCTGAGGCCGTGCGGAAACCCATCACCATGTTTGAAAGTCTCGCAACCAAACTGAGAATTCCATGTTATCCCAACTACACACGGAAATTCTCGAGATAGATTGATGGAGTGGAAAGCCCGCGCTCTCCCTCCCTCCCTCCCTCCCTCCCTGGAGGAATGCATCCTGCTTACCCAATTCCGGAAAGTATTTAGGCCCAGGTTGGCAAGAGCCAAGCCTTGGGGGAACCCCAAGAGCGTGCACTGACCCAACTTCCAGCGCTTTGGGACGTCCTCCCGACGTGAAGGGCGCTCGATCAATGGAATCTTGTTGTTGTTGTTGTTGTTGCTGGAATCTAATCAGCTAAAACCACATGACTTTTCATTGATAGCACTGTCTGTTCTTCCCCAGTGAAGCCGGGCTGAGCTGTTAGCAGCAGTGCCCTGGAATACCCCGTGGCTTAGGAACCAGACTAGAGACCATCGCCGCCACCGCAACAACAACGACACCAAGGTCACATTTGCGTAGCGCCTTTCACGCCGGGAGGACGTCCCAAGGCGCTGGACAGAGCCCAGCATTTCACAAGGGGCTGGCTCGAGAAAAGATTCCGACATACCGTTGCCGAAACATGTCACCTTGGAGCCAGTTGAGCTCCGAGGAGAGACACCTTTTACTTCCCGCCCACAACCCCACCCCCAGGATAACAGTCAGCTAATTCAAGAGGGAAATTGCTAACTGTTTGCGGGAAGAGATGGACTATTAACATCCTCTAGGGGGGGAAGAGAAAGAGCAATATCCCTTGTAGAGAGAGAGAGAGAGAGGGGGGGAAATGGGGCAACTATCGCTCGCTTTGAGTTCAAATGGGGGCAAATCGAGACATTTTCAACAATATAATTAATGCTCAGACTATCTCAAGATGGCCTGACCCACAGAGAGACCAATGGGGGGTTGTTTGCAACCTCTTTGATCAGGTGAAATCTTTGAGGGAGGGGAGTGGGGGACAGGATAAAGGCACATGAGACCCTGGTTGTTCCTCTTGCTGCCCAGAGGTTGCAAGGAGTTGGTGGTCTCTATTTTTCTGATCGCCATTGTAAGAAAATCTGGTGGTGAAACAGAAACCAAAGGGTTTGTTCCTCAATTGGGAGTTTTTTTTTTGGTGTTGCGTTTGGTTTTTTTTTATAAAAAGAAAAAAAAAGGAGTACTTATCTTAACCCCTACCCCGCTGCTCAACCTCCCTCCTCTCCTCCTCTTCCCCCTCCCCAACACCAAAAAAAACACTTTCAGGAAGTTGCAGGAGAAGTTTGGATGAGGTCTGTTGAGGCGGGCGATGCGCGTACCCTACCTGGCCCGGGGGCCGCCAACGCCAGTCCCGTTTCCCAGGGTCGCGGCAGAGGAAAGAAAGATGAAGACAGGAAGGAGATGGATCGAAAGTGAAACTGCTAAGATCTCCCTCAGACTCGAGCCTCTGCGATCAGACCAAATGCCTGAGCATCAGTGAGAGAGAGAGAGAGGAGAGGAGAGAGAGAGAGAGACTATGTCCCATCACTGAGGGTCCAAACAGCAGTGGGGGGTGTGTTGGAGATCGAGAGGTTTGGGAAGATGGGGGTCTGGAGATTATGGCCTGGAGATCGAGGGGCTGATGGATAGGCAGATGGAGATGATGTGTTTTTTGGGGGGTGGGGGGGGTGGGGGTGTGGCTGGAAATAGAGGTTTGTGGAGATATGGGTCTAAAGATGGAAGTCCCAAATGAAGGGAAACTTAGGAGGTCTGTTCTTGGATCCTGATGGGATGAGGCTTGGTAATCACAGACACTGTGTCCCCCCCCCCCCCCCCCAGTGGATTGAGTGATGAAATGTGTTGATTTTGGAGGGATTATTAGCCCCGGAAGGTGATGCGCCAATCGACTAACCACCCGGACCCTACTGACCGCGAGGGAAACAGGCGTGCGGAGTAAGGAAACTTCACCCCGTTTCGCTCCGCCTGGGAATTCAACCCAGGACCTCTTGCTTGCGAGGCGAGCACGCTAACCGCTGCACTCCGGGACTCCACAGATACACGTGTGCGCGGCGGTGGGGGGGGGGCGGGGATAGAGATACCATCCATTTTAACCAAATAACCCCAAACCCAAAATGGCCTCCGTGTACTCAAAGCAATGAGCAGGCACCCACCCGACACAGCTCTCCACTGTCCCTGTCCTCCCCCCCCCCCCCACCCCCCAACCCCACACACCACTTAGCGTAGGCCGCCCGCGTGAAAGGCTTCGATGTGAAAGTGCGCTGACCGGATACCGTAAATTACTCCGTTGTACCAGCGAATGCATTTGCCGATCTTTATTATCCCACGAGTACGATTACTCCAAACTGCGCCTCCGTTAAAGAGCTTTCCACAATTATCGCAATGATCCCGGCATTTCGATTACAGCGCTTTTCCCGTCTTCTCGTGGTCCCAAAGCGCTTCACAGAATATACTGTAAGGTGAATTGACTATATTTGTGGGCGAAACGCGGCGGCCAACTGCTCACGGCAGCGTCACCACACAAACAGTCGTGGATTGAAGTGACCAATTTATTAATTTTCTTTTGAGGGGTTATTGCCAGGCGTGTGGGGTAAGGAAACTTGCCCAAGGTCTCGCTCTGCCGGGAAGCGAACCCAGGTCTCCCGCTTGCGAGGCAAGTGCTCTAACCATTGAACTACAGGACACCCAATTCTACAACATCTCAAAACTTTCAAAGACACAGAGGAACAGCCCGGGGGCTGCTTTAACAACAACAACAAATTACATTTGTATAATGGGGCAGAGAGGCTGAAGGCCCGACCACCAATTGTGGGCTGGGCTGGGCTGAGCTGGGCAGGGGCGATGGAGCCCGCTGAGCGGAGGGACTCATTAAACAGGTCATTGCGGAGTTAGCAGATCACAGACGTAGGGAGGAGTGAGGCCGTGGTGGGCTTTGAAAGCGCGGACGAGGATTTTGAACTCTATTCTCTGGGGGATGGGGAGCAAGCGGAGCCGGGCGAGGATGGGGGTGAGAGGGTCATGGAGCCCGGTGCGTGCCAAACACAGAAGTAATTATGAGAGGAAAACCCGATTCCTTGCTCTTCGTTCATGAAGATTTCTAAGAATATCTAAAATAACCTTATAATTCACAACAGCTTATTATTATAGTACAATAGCTGTGTAAGATTACAACGGTAACAGAGATAGAGGTTCAGTCCATCCGATGTTTATCCGCTCGCCTAGATTTGATTCCCACCAATCAATGAATCCATCAATAAATTGGGTTTGTATTCCTTTTGCCTTTCATCCTTATTGAAGCGGGCCACCGCACTCTGGCCCTGAGGCAAGTACATGAAGGTGTCCACTTCTCCGCCGTCCATGCTCGGCTTCTGGAAGTGGATCTCCAGCAGATCCTGCAATTCCTCGGGATCCATGATGTCCGGGATTTCCGTGAGCAGGACGCTTCTCTCACACACAGCGTTGGAGAGCTGAGGGGGCAGAGGAAACGTGACTCAGTTTCGACGAGCAAAAGCCCACCGCACTCACACAAAGGAAAGGTTATCCAGTCAGTCACAACACAACACTCCAGGTGAGTATCCCTGAACCCGCAACCTTCTGCTTCCGGCGGTGAGAGTACTACCAATCCCCTCCCTCACCCACACCCGGCCCCAGAAGGATAATATAGACCGTAGTTAGATATGAAAAATCATACCACCAGCCTTGGAAGGGTAAAGGATTCAGATGGGACTAACCCACCCAGAGAAGACAAGAAAGTCACCTTCACATCAACGAGTTCACCATTGATGAAGGGGGACACCCTCAGACGCATTTTCTTATCCTTCGAGTCTCTCGAGTTCCCTCGGAACTCCACTTGGTGAAACTCTTTCTTGGTCAATCTTTCAGCGACTGAAAAGGAATTGGAAATGGTGACTTTGCGACCCGCTCCCGTCCACGAGAAAAAAGGCTTAATAAAGGAATTGGACAACCACTTGCATTTATAGAGCGCCCTTGATGTGGGGTAGAGTCTCAGAGTGCTTAACAGTGGCGGAGCCTGACGCAAAGCTGGGCGGAGGGAGGTGTCCGATTCATAATAATGATCCTTGCATTTGATAGAGCGCTTTATCGTGTCTTTGAGACGTCTCAAAGTACTTCATAGAATATACTGTAAAGTGAATTGACTGTATTTTTTTTTGCGGCTGTTGGAAACACGGCAGCCAATTGCACATTTTGCCCACAAACTATACAGTCAATTCCTGGGGGACTGATGGATTGGAAAGTGTCTGTGGTCCACCAAGCCTCGGGGGGGAAAGTGAGTCATACGGCAGCAGGTGACGAGGACTTGAAGACCGTTTGAACGACCGATCGAACTTTTACAGAGGGAAAGCGCGATGGATGATTCAACCTGTCCCCGAAGCATAAAATTCCGCAGAAGGGTCGGTCTTTCTTTCTAACAATCTTACTTCCATCTTCGCAAAACGCGATCACCACATTGCCAGAATCTTCCAGAAGGTCGATGCTCTTCACCTCGCCTCCCGAATTCCTCGGGCGGCTGAAATGCAGCTCCAGCTTGTCCAGCAGCTGGTCATCAGCAAGAAGCTTGGGGATCTCGGACACGAGGATTCGTTCCTTACACACGCAGGTCTGAATCTGTGGGAACATTCCCTCCTTTGTTACACTGAACAAAATCAGGATTACTCTTAACAACTACAACAAACTCCATCAGGACTTTGAGCTCACAGTCTAGGCCGCGCTGGGGGTGGGGGTGGGGGGTGGGGGAGCGCTGTATTGGAGGTGCCAATCTTCGGGTAAGGTACTAAACTCAGATCCCGTCCGTAGCCGTTGAGGTGGACAATAAAGATCCCATGACACTGTTTGAAGAGAGAAGGGAGTTTCAAAAATCCCCGCAGATAAAACCAGTCAGTCAGTCACTTCATAGCTTTTACTGCGCGCGAGCTAGCTGCTGCGTTTGTCTACAGATTCAGTCACTACACTTTGCACTGAACCCTGCGCAACGCCTTGACGTGTTTGTGTCAAAAGCAAAAATTATTGTTATTTTCGAGGCTCCAATTGGTAGCTGCGAATGCCATACCACCACCTCGTGGCCCAGCCTGGAATTATCACACACAACGCCCCCCCCCCCCCCCCAACCACCCCCACCCCCACCACATCTTCATAACTGACGTACTTCCTTCTGACGGCGGTTGTCACTCAGCTCTACACTTACCTCAATTTGTTTAAGCATTGGCAGTTCAATGGGAAGAGCCTTGATTTTAACGTGGCAGTCCTCGATCTCAACCACGTGCTCTCCCTTGTCCACAATGGTTTTGGCAACTGCGTTTTTTTCAGGGAGGGAAACGAGAGGGGAGATAATTAAATGGCAAAACAACTGACCCAACAACAACAACAACAAGATTCCATTTATAGAGCGCCTTTCACGTCAGGAGGACGTCCTCAGGGGAGAAATGAGAGGGGAGTGAAGGCTCGGTCAAAAGGCGAAGGCACTGACCCAGAGACACGAACAGCGAGACACCAAAGCGTTGCCATTTTCTCACTGATCTTTCGGAGCTCTTTACCTTCCTTGTCCTCAAAGGTAACCAACGCACACCCCCCGCGGACTGGATAGTGGATGTTTGGCTTCACATTGAAGTCCACGTTGCAGGTTTTACCTTCCTTTGTCTTTCCATTGAACACCAAGGGTCTCTTGGGCATAGAGGAGGAAACCTGTAGTCAACAACAAACAAACAACACATTACGTTCGTACAGCGCCTTTCACATCCGGAGGATGTCCCAAGGTGTTGGACAGTCAAGGGTTTGGGTGCGAATCAGGAGATCCTTATTATTATTATTATTATTATTATTATTATTTATCCTGGTCTCAATGGACTTTTTTTTAATAAATAAAATCAAATGATGAAAGAAATATCGCCTTTCAAAAAAGCTTCAAGGCGTTTTATACCAGATTACGATCAGGACATGAATCCTTAATTTCCTCTGCGAGGTAAGTCCTCTTCCAGTGTGCATTACATTACATAACATGTAGGAGCAGGAGGAGGCCATTCGGCCCTTCGAGCCTCTGCCCCGCCATTCAATCATGGCTGATCTTCTAATCTAACTCCAGCTAATAATCTAACCCTGCCTTATCCCCATATCCCTTAATCCCTTTTGCAATAAGAAATCTATCTCAGTCTTGAATATGTTCAAAGACTGAACGTCAACAGCCCTTTGGGGTAGCGAGTTCCATACATTCACCGCCCTTTGAGTGAAGAAGTTCAGTGCGAAAGGGCTGCCTCTGATTTTAAGGTTGTGACCCCTGGTTTTAGCTTCTCCAACCAGGGGAAACCATCTCCTACTATCTACTGTATCATACCCTTTGATGATCTTATAGGCTTCTATAAGATCCCCTCTAATTCTTCTATATTCTAGAGAATATAGGCCCAAATTGGTCAGCCTATCCTCGTAACTCAACCCTTTCATCCCTGGTACTAACCGAGAAAATCTACGCTGCACCCCCTCCAAGTACATCCTTCCTTAAATAAGGAGACCAAAACTGCACACAGTATTCCAGGTGTGGTCTCACCAGGGCCCTATACAGTTGCAGCAAGACTTCCCTACTCTTATACTCTAAGAGGATTCTGACTAAAGGTGAGAGTGCTCCCAGCTGAGCCAGGCTGGTACCCGATTCCCTAATAAACTAATGGAGACCGTATATTGTGTAGTCAACCTTTGAGCGGTGTCTCCCCACCTTACCTTGCTCTGTTGCTCTAGGCCCAATCTCTCCTCCTCAAGTTTCCGTAACTTGTCCCTCAGCGCTTGTTGCTTCTCCGCCAGCTGGGTGTTCTCCAGCTCAACCTTATCAAGTTGCTTCTGTGGATGATAAGAGGTATAACCACGATGACAACATCGAATTGCATTATATGGCGCCTTTCACATCGGGAGGACGTCCCAAGGTGCTGGACGGTTAAGGACTTGCACCCAAGCTGGACGTTGGAATCAAGAGGTTTGGAGGGTGGGGGTGGGGGAAGGGATGGAATTGGGAGTGTGGCTGAATGCGCGGTCAAAGATGAAGGTCTTGAGACCGGAGACAGGGCCAGAGACCCTGTTAGTAACTGGAAGGAAGGCAAAAGTTCAGAATTCCCAACGTCGGAATGTCCACGTCGAAAGGGAATATTCCAACAACAAGAGCAGAAGAATGAATACAAAGCAGAGATGTCCTCACCTGAAACACTGCGCCCTGGTTGTCTTTTTCCAATTGGTCGGTGTCTATTATTTTCTGAAGTCGTTGAATTCGATCCGTGTATTCCTGGGTCTTCTTTTCCAGTTCGAATTTCAGTTCCTCTAAATCTATTTTGTCCTTTGAAACATCCTGGTAGTGGGCCTGATGTGGAGTATACATCACCCATTGTAATAATATAATAATAATCCTTGCATTTGATATAGCACCTTATCAAATCATCGTCGAGACATCTCAAAGCGCTTCATAGGATACACTGCAGTGTAGTGTGCATATTTCGGGCAAAACACGACACCCAGTTGTGCACATAAATTCCCACAAACATCCGTGGAGTGAGTGACTGATTTTATTTAGGGGATTGTTGGCCAGGACACTGGGGGAAGAGAGAGAAATTCCCTTCTCTTCTTGAATAGTGCCGCATCCATCTGGACAGGCAGATGGGACCTCAGTTTAACGCCTCATCTGAAGGACGGCACTTCCGACAATGCAACACCCGCCCCCCCCCAGCGCTGCGTTGGAGCGTCAGCTTAGACTATGTGATTCCAAGTCCTGATGTGGGGCTTGAACCCCCAACTTTCTGACTCAGGCGAGAGCACCACCACTGAGCCACGCCTGACAACAAGATCCTAACCCTTCATAAGATTATTATTAATTGTAATCACAGTCGGTTTTGATTATGATACAGCGCCTGTAACATCTCAGCAAGCGCTTCACAGTGAATTCTGTCAAGTGTAGTGACTGTCTAGTTGTGGGCAAACACAGCAGGTGATTTATTCCTACCTTATTCTGTTGGATTTCTTGCCTGACTGTCGACAGCTGCTGTTCGAGAGACTGGATATTTGTAAAAAGAAACACAAAACACACACTGTGACTCTAGACGCTGTCAAAGAGGATGCCCGTCTCTTGGCTCTTCTGGCTTCACTGCAATAATAAATATGTTTTTTTCTTGCCCCTTTAATTAATAAGAATAATCCTTGTACTTAATCCGGTTACAGCACGTGTTATACTGGAAAGACATCCAAAGTGCTTCACAGGATAATAATAATAATAATAATAATATAATAATAATAATAATAAACCTCGCATTTGGTATAGCGCCACATCACGTCTTCGCGACGTCTCAAAGCGTTTCACAGAATATACTGTAAAGTGAATTGACTCTATTTTGTGGGCGAAACCGTCGGCCAATTGCCCACGTTTTTATCAAACGGATTATTTACCCCCGGAAAGCAATCCGCTGATCGACCAACAAGCGGGTTTTTACTTAGCGCTGGTAAACAGACGCAGAGCAAGGAGACTTGCCTCAGGTTTCTCCCGGGCAGGGAGTCGAACCCAGGTCCTCTCGCTCGACGAGGAGTGGGCGCCAACCATTAGAGCCGCGGGACTCCATTCCGTACAGAGCAGTGGAGTCCTGTAGCTCAGTGGTTAGAGCACTCGCTTTGCAAGCGAGAGACCTGAGTTCAATTCCAGGCAGAGGGCGAAACCTTGGGCAAGTTTCCTTACTCCACACAGAGCCTAATAATAATCCTCCAAAACCCAAAACAATAATAAATGGGTCATTTTCAATCTACGACACTTTGTGGGACATTGCTGTGCGCAATCGGCCGCCGCGTTCGCCCACAAATATACAGTCAATTCACTTTACAGTGTGTTCTGTGAAGCGCTTCGGGACGTCCTCCCGACGTGAAAAGCGCTCTATGAAATGCGAGGATTATTATTATTATTATTATTATTATAGAGCAAAGACTTTTCAATCCAAAAATAAAGATGAATGTCTCACCTCTTCCATGACTGGAGATGTCTTCTTCGCTGCCCCTCTGTTAGGCCCTGTCACAGAATCAGACATATGTATCTTAAGAAAAATGTGGATTAAGTTGACTGGGGGGACATTTAAACCGCTGTGTTATTTAACCAGTGAGACCTGGGGGTGTAACACAGCATTTCCCATTATGTGGAGGAGGGTATAGAGTGACATAACGAAGACATATAAGTTATTTAAACATTAAGTAGGACATTTGCTACGATTTTAAAGCTTGAGTTTGTCACATCACTTTACCTCTCTTTAATGTGAAAAAAAAACCCTATCCACCCGGATTCTCGGGGGGAAAAAAGCAGGTGGGGGGGTGGGGGGGAGGGGGGGGGGTGTGGGGGTGGTGGGGGGGGGTGTGGGGTGTGGGGGGGGAAGGAAAATAAATAAATACCCTCACTTTATAAAGAAGATAGAAGCAAAATCCAGAGGAAGTGGAAACAGACAGAGATAACCTCTGGTACTGCGGAGTCCTTTTTGCGAAGCTTTCGCTTTCGATTCGTTGGCGATGGTTTCGCATTCACATTCGTTCAACGGCGCAAAACGATCCGAAAAGAAAAAGAATCCCTTTTTTTTTCTCGAAATGCACACAGTGCAGAGGGTTTCTGAAGTCCCACCTGAGTGCGCGATCTCCACCCGCAGCGCAGTGCCAAACGGTTCGAATCAACGCAATGGTGTCCCCATTTGCGGGTTACGCGCTCCACGCAATTCGGTGCCACTCTTCGCACTTTGTGGCTTCTTCTTCAGGAAGTTGGAGGGACGCGCATCTCCTGAAGGGAACACCACCCACACAGCCCTCACTCGGGGCCAAAGTGGCCTCAGTACTAATGACAACAGTGGTAAGAATGGATCCTCGCGTTCCATACAGCGCCGCTCACGTCTCCGAGACGCCCCGAAGCGCCTTTCGCAGGACACACCGTACACCGGTGGGCGAACGCGGCGGCCGACGGCGCACAGCACTGTCCCCCCCCACGAACAGTCGCGGATTGAAGATGGCCGATTTATTATTGTTTTGGGTTTTTTTTTTGGAGGGGTTATTATTAGGGGCTCCGTGTGGAGTAAGGAAACTGGCCCGAGGTTTGGCCCTGACTGACCCCCCCCCCCCCCGGGGATTGAACTCGGGTCTCTCGCTCGCAAAGCGAGTGCTCTAACCACTGAGCTACAGGACTCCACAAACTCCAACCCTCACCTTTCCCTCTCAGTGAAATAATAATAATCATCCTTGGGTTTGATGCGGCGCCTTCTCACGCCGTTGGGACGTCTCAAAGCGCTTCGCAGGATAGAACGGCGAGAACTTGGGTTTATACGGCGCCCCTCCACGCCGGACGGCGCCTCAAGAGCGCTTCGCGGTAACGGATCCCGGGGTCGAGCAGGGGGGAGGGGGAGGGGTGACCAAAGGCGCGGTCGAAAAGAAAGGTCTTCAGGCGAGACCTGAAAATAGGAAGAGAGGGGGCGAGGCGAAGGGAGTGAGGGAGTTCCAGAGCCTCGGGGCGTAGTGGCTGAAGACACGGCCGCCGAGGGTGGAGCGGAGGATTCGGGGGAACAAGGAGGCCAGACCCGGTGGAGTGAAGGCAACAGGCACTGCTGTGAGAAGAGGGGGTCAGAGAGGTCGGGGAGTGCAGAGATTTGAAGACAAGAGTGAGGATCTTAAAGTTGATCCTCTCATGGGACAACAAGATTTCATTTATAGAGCGCCTTTCACGTCGGGAGGATGTCCCAAGGTGCTGGACAGTTGGGTCGGGACCCAAGCGGGGGGGGGGAATGGTCAGGGTGAAGGGAGGGAGCGAGGAGGGGGTAGAGAGTCGAGAGGAGCTGAAGGTACGGTCGAAGAGAAAGGTCTTGAGACCGGCCTTGAAGGAGGAAAGGGAGGAAGCGGCAAAGGCATTGGGGGATGGAGTTCCAGAGCCTCGGGGCTGAGAGGCTCAAGGCCACCGATGGTAGGACGGTTGGGGCGGGGGATGTGGAGCAGACCGGAGCCAGAGGAACGGAGGGTACGGGCAGGTAGGTAGGGGTATGATAGCAGGTCGGAGAGGTAGGAGGGAGCGAGGCCCTGAATGGGCAGCCAGTGCAGTCTGGCAAGGACTGGGGTCATCGAGGATTACCCGATGCTGTTGTTGGGGTAATGTTGTTGTTGAAACATCTGAACGTACTTCGCAGCATTTTCTGCAAAGTGCAGTGACTGTTTGTAGGCAAAACCTGTCCGGTGTCATTGCTGACCAGCGAGCGGTGCTCAATGATAAACCTGAAGGCGCTGACTGCACTCTCCACTCTGGGGCAGAATGTTGTGGGCGCCCCCGCCCTGTGCCAGCACTGTGTCGACAGCGGCCTTTCCATCTCCAGAAAGCCTCTTAAATACCCCACAAAACAATTTGAAATAGAGACGGGAGCTTCCCCCGGCACCCTCACTCCAAGCATCTTTGAAGTAACGGTTCATTAACCCGCACGGCTGTTTATGGGTCCTTGCGTGAAACACACTAGGAATCACACTAATGTTTCTCTCTCGCGTACACCGGTGAAGAAAGTTCCCGGCAGTAAGAAGTGCAGCCACCGCACACACACACACACAGACACACAGACACAGTGAACAAATCGAACGCACAAGGCGTCTTTGAAAGGAATATTTATTGGCAGAACATTACAGATTAGAATCGGAGTTTCTGGAAAAACCATTTGTTCTTTCCCGTCTTGTACCTGTAAGTCAAAAGGGGGGGGAAAAAAAAAGTAAAATTAAAATATTTTAAACCGCGATCAGCCTGTGGACAATCGCTCCCACAACCGGCCACTCGAGCTAACACTTCACCCGCAGCGAGTACTCACGCTGCGGGGGACAGAGCAAGAGTACCAGTATACAGTGTGGACACTCCAGTACACACAGTAATAGTTCCATTACACAGCGATAGAACTATCGTGGACAGCAATCCTCCCACGTAGTGATAATAATCCTTGCATTTGACACAGTGCCTTATCATGTCTTTTGAGACATCTCTAAGCGCTTCACAGGACATTCTGTAAAGTGGGTTTGACTGTATATTTTGTGGGCGAAACGCGGCCGTCATTTGTTCCCAGCGAGGTCCCACAAACAGGCGTGGATTGAGTGACCGAATTAGTTATTTAGGATTTTTTTTTATTTTAAAAAGACGGAAACACCTGAAAGCTGATCAGAACAGACTTAAAATTAAACCCTCCCACACGTCCCCGAGCTGTGGGGTCTTTCTTTACCAGCCGACGGTTTACACCCCAGCCATCGCTCCATTCACGGGACTATAGTGACTGCGGGACTTACCTCTCCTCAAACTTAACCTTGGCTTCCCGTCTGGCTTTGCGTTTCAGAGCAGGATCCCTAAAGACATCCTTGTTTACAACGGTCTTGTCCAGAGGAATATCGACAGAGTATCTGAGGAGAGAAACATAGAACTCGATCAGCATCACAAGCATCACCCACAAAGCCAGTTTTCTGCCAGCAATAGAACAGATACACCAAAAGGCACTTTGTGTGGCCGGTCTGTTTATCCCCTCGGCCTGGGATAATTTCATTGTCGTCGTATTTCTGCAGATGCGAAGGGATATTAAGCCGTTTAACGCTCTTGGTTGTTGGTGAGAGATCAGTCGGTTTGAGTGACAGTGCTGTCCAGAGATGCATCCACCCTGCCAGCTGATGGTTTCAAATCTAGTTTAAACTCCCTGCAGTTTAATATCTAGGCCATCTCTCTCTCTCTCTCCCTCCCTAATCCTATTACGGTCCACCTGGTTGTCCTAATAAAAGAATCCCTAGCCCAAGAACACCGAGGCAATGCTCCAAATCATCCTATGGCTCAAAGTTGACCAGTGAGCGAAGCTGGGACTCTCCAGGCCTTCGTGGCTCAGTAATGACAACTAATGGCTGTGAGCTCGAACACTGAGCGCTAAGTTACCTGGTTGGCATCAGGTGATTGTAGTTATACACTTTCACAAAGGACTTGATCTTGGACCTCTTGGCCACCTTCTTCTTGCCCATCCTGGCTGTGACCTTGCGTGGGTACCTGTCGATACCAGCAACCAGGGCGTGGCTGTAAGGCCTGTCAGACGTCCCATCATCGATGTTCTGAAATACAAACGGGCGAGATTTGACTTACAACAACAACAACTTGCAGTTGTATACAGCGCCCCTCACGCAGGGGAGTGTCCCAGAGCGCTTAACGGCGATGGGGCAGTTGGGGCGGCTGTTTTGGGACGACCATCGCCGAGAGTCCTGGCGGAGGTTGCCCAGGCTGGAGCAGAGGGAGGCAGTGATGGTGTCCAGGAGAGCGAGGAGGGAGGTGGCAGAGAAGGACTGATTGGGAGTCGCGGAGGGTGAGGAGTGATCATCAAGAACTTCCCCAACTCTTTAACAAAGGCCACACTCACACTCACCCACCCACCCCACCCGCCCGCTCGCTCAGTGACTCACCTTGACGATGACCCCTTTGCGCCCAGCGTAACGGCCGGCAAGCACCAGAACAACTTTCCCGGGTTTCATAAATTTACCCATTTTCTGTAACAGATGGAAGGAAAATACACACATAATGCACAGACTGTCACTAAAGAGAGAGAGAGACGGAACAGATTTGTGAGCAATCTTCCTTTCCAAACATGCAATGCCACGGCGCAGGTCTGTTTGCACACCGACATATAACATTTGAATGTGTATTGTATATATATTTTATATGCAGTGTATACAGGAAACACACAGTATATGTAAAATAGGCAATGCACTTTCAAAACAAATCTCCGAATGGGGCTCAAAAGCAAGTGATTGCAACCTGTGGCATTTTTACACACAAATGAAATATACCGGAATAAAACCCCACACACGGTATAAAATCGCACACGTCACGTGTATGAATCGTGCCGGTGTAAAATCGCACATGAAAAATATATTTTTGAAAATGAGATGCAGATTATACACCACACCCGTATATTTTGCCCACAAATATACAGTCAGTTCACTTTGCTGTATACCCCGTGAAGCGCTTTGAGATGCCTGGAAGACGTGATGAGGCGCTATATTAAACGCAAGGATTATTTATTTATTATTATATTTACCCGGACACACACACACATAATATACCGCGACATAATACAATCCTCGCATTTCACATAGCGCTTTTTACGTCTCCGAGACGTCTTAAAGCGCTTCACAGAATACACTGTGAAGTGGAGTGACTGTATATTTTTGTCGGTGTTAATTGTGCACGGCAGTGTCCTCACAGACAGTTGTGGATCGAAGTGACCGAATTATTATTATTATTATTATGATTTTTTCCTTGAGGCGTGTGCACGGAGTAAGGAAACTTGCCCGAGGTTGGTTCGCCCTGACCGGCCAAGGCTGTGAGATGAGTACTCTAACCCCTGAGCTACAGGTCTCCACAGATATAAAGTATACCCACACGCAAACATATACACACACATATATACATATATGTGTACATACACACACACACACGCACATATATATACACACACACATTTTTTATGTACGATTTTACACCGGCACGATTCATACATGTGGCATGTGTGATTTTATACCGTGTGTGTGGTTTTATTCCGGTATATTTCATTTATGTATACACACACACACACATAGGTGTATACACACACACAGATGTAACACACACACGATATACACCTGTATGACCTGTATGACATACACACACAGCATAGACAACATAGATATCACACACAATATACAGATATAACACACACACATGTACACAGTTACAGCACACACACACACATGTACACACAGTTATAACACACACACATGTACACAGTCATAACACACACATGTACAGTTATAACACACACACATGTACACACAGTTATAACACACACACATGTACAGTCATAACACACACATGTACACACAGTTATAACACACACACATGTACACACAGTTATAACACACACACAGACACATATAACCCCCCACCACAGGTTGATAAACCAGCGCCCATTAATCGGCACAGACAGAGCAGAGCGCGTGGAGCCGCGAGTCATGTTAAGTGCAAACAGTGATTAAACCCCTCCCCCACACAGACCCCCTCTCCCCTCCCCCCACACACAGACCCCCCACCCCTCCCCCCCCACACAGACCCCCCACCCCTCCCCCCCCACACAGACCCCCCCACCCCTCCCCCCCCTCCCCGGGACCGGGAACCTGGACCGACGGGACCGGCGGAAGCGCTGTGTGGGCCTGACCGAGGCCTTGAGTCAGGCTTCATACGCCCCCCCTCCTCCCCCCCACCCCCGGGGGCCCGATCCCGCCCTCCCGCCGCGAAATAACCCCCGGGGCCCCGAGACCGGAAGCCGGGCCCCCCCTCCCGGGGCGCGGCGGCGCGGCTCGGGCCCCCCCGGGGGCGGATGGCCGGGGATGGCGGCGGGTTACCGGCTGCTGCTGCTGCTCTGATGGCCGCCGCTCGGGGTAAAGGAAGTGCGGCTCCGGCTCTCCCGCGCTTGACGTCAGCGGCGGTCGCGTCACATCCGGTCCTCTCGCCCCGCCCCCCCCCTCGGGCACGTGACTCGCAGCCCTCCCGAACCCCACTGTCTGCCCGAAGCTGATCGGTGGCGACAGCGCCGCGGGGAATCCACGGTGTCCGCTCAGTGGTGACCGGTAATGTCATCTCGTCGGCGATCAATAATGTCAGCCCAATAGTCATCAACAGTGTCATCCCCATAGTGATCAATAATGTCATCCCGATAGTGATCAATAGAGTCATCAATGATGTCATCCCAATGGTGATCAATAATGTCATCCCGATAGTGATCAATAGCGTCATCAATAATGTCATCCCGATAGTGATCAATAATGTCATCCCAATAGTGATCAATAGCGTCATCAATAATGTCATCCCAATGGTGATCAATAATGTCATCCCGATAGTGATCAATAGCGTCATCAATGATGTCATCCCAATGGTGATCAATAATGTCATCCCGATAGTGATCAATAGCGTCATCCCAATAGTGATCAATAGTGCCAGCCCGACAGTGATCAATAGTGTCAGTCCGACAGTGATTAATAGTGTCAACTCAATAGTGATCAATAGCGTCAGCACGAGAGTGATCAATAGTGTCAACTCAATAGTGATCAATAGCGTCATCAATAATGTCATCCCAATAGTGATCAATAATGTCAGCCCGAGAGTGATCAATAGCGTCATCAATAATGTCATCCCAATAGTGATCAATAGTGTCAGCATATAAAGAAAGTGTCAACCCAATAGTGATCAATAGTGTCAGGACAGTCATGATTAATAGGGGTTGATCCGGGCTATTGCGGAGAGCGCGGGGGGGGGGGGGGGGAGTGGGGTTGATCGGGGCTATTGGGAGGGGGGAGAGCGCGGGGGGGGGGGGGGGAGAGGACGGACCCGATGGGCCGAATGGCCTCCTTCTGCGCTGTGCAATCCTCCTAATGATCCTCTGTTGATGCGGACGTAGAAGTAGTCGTCTCCAACCACTCAGTGGCGTCGATGAGCTGCGTCGACCGCCCGGAGCCGCCAGCGAGAGAGCGAGAGAGAGAGAGCGCGAGAGAGAGCGCGAGAGAGAGAGAGCGCGCGGGGCGGCAGTGCAGCTTAACAGGACCGTATAAATTTCGGTGCCGTTCCCGACCCATTGCCTCTCCCAATATCGTACTCCCTTCGCCTTCCCCCCCCCCACCCCCCCCTCCCCAATCCCCTCCCCACCGCCCCAGACCCCTTTTACTTTTCCGAATGCCCCCCTTCTCCGAAAGCCGCCTGTCCCGGGGCGGGTCCTAACCCTGATAAATTTACACGGAAATACAATTTTTTTATTTTCCGCGTGAAGGGCACTACACAAACGCAAGTACTTGTCGTCGTGTTGTCGTGTTGTCGTCTTAGGAAGCGGACGTGTTTTCCAGTGTGTCCGGGAGTCTGGTTTCGTAAACAGATCGCCTCGTTCCTCCGACCTGTTGAGGCTTACGTCTCATCCAGCACCTCCCAGAGCCTCACGTGGTTCAGGAAAATTGATCCCGACTTTATTTATTTACAGCCGATTCACCCCCACCCCCCCCCCCCCCCCCACACAAGAGATGATCCACGAACATGACAGACACCAGAGAGATGACCATCGTAGCCCATTCACTGGAACCCCCGGAACCAAAAAGCGCAACTAAAAATGTTCCCGAGTCAACGGATTTGGGGAGATTTTGGTGAAACCGCGTTCGCTTGGAGTCCAATCCCTCTCACGTATTGAGCGCTCTTCCGTTACCTGCCGATGGCGATTGAATTGGCGCAGCGATAAGTGGTCTCGAATGTTATTTCCAATGATACGATCGGCACTCGTTTTCAGACAATAGCGGCCGCGTAACCAACCGCACAACAAAATCAACACCGCCCGAGTCTGATGAATATTTAAACTTCTTGGCTTACAGTTCAGGACTACTCGTCGTCTCTCTGCTTAAAAATGCGGCCTCCCCCACACCCCCCCCCCCCAGACCCCAACACACTCCAGTCTGCACTCCCCTTTGCAGTATCAACAACAAATTATTTATGCGATGCCTTTCAAATCGGGAGGATATCCCAAACTCGTTTCCCAAACGAAACGCCCTCTTTTCTTAAGGCGTTTCGTCCACCTGTCATGGCAATTATCTCAGTTGCAAATAATTCACCGACGAATCAACAGTCACTACACTTGAAACCCGCTACCCACGAAGCACTCAGAGACACCTTGATGTTTAAAAGCTCTGTGTTGTATTATTTATTCACTTCCTATCAGTCCATTCCCCTTTGCAAAGTAGATTACACTCTTTCTGTTGGGCTCTCTCTCTCTCTCTCTCTCTCTCACTCATTATTATATTCATTCATTCATTCCCTCTGGAGGTGGTGGCGGAGGTGGTGGAAACTCAATACTAACCTTGAACTGCAAGCCGAGAAGTATAAATATTCAATCGCTCTATCAGTGGTGTTGGGTTATTTTTCTTCCACAGGGATACCTCTGCCTGTGGAAGAAAAATAAAGGAACCAGTATCTTCAGGAGAGAATGCGGAGAAAAACAGATGGAAAAAGCGCCTTAAAATATATTTTATTTAACACGGTTGCACAAGGTAAACAGAGAACACCATGGAAAGTAATGTCCTTGGAACTCAGCCAACTGAACTGACTCATACCTCCAACGCTCTCAGGGGATTCAGTGTGTGTCGCACATCAGACTTTCCAGTGAGCACTCCATCCTCACGTACCTTCTCTATAGAGGCTGTCGCGAGAGGATTAGCAGAGCAGGTGATGGTGACCCCGGTCAGTCCAGTGAAACCTGCTGAATGGACTTAGTCGCAAACGTGGGAGAGAGCCGAACATGCGATGGCAACGCTCAAGCAGCAACAGTGGAAAGCACAAACAACTTACATTTATGTACAGTTCACGCAGATAGCGCCTCAAGAGCACCAATAAAACGAGCATTTAATAGAAGAAAATACCGCGGTGGAATACGGGCCTTGATGAATTCTGTACGGTGTATCACAAAGAAGTCGCAAATAAGGGAGGGAGGGGAGAGATGACCGAAGGTACAATTAAAGAGGAAGGTTAAAGAAGTGCAGACGGGAGCAGTGATTGGTGTAATGAGACTGGATTAGAGGGACTTTGTTGGGAGCACAGGAGTATTTATCCCGACGCTGAACTGTAAAGCAGCACTGCCACCGGCTCGATAAACATTGCACTCACCAGCTCTGGCATCCGAGCAAGCTGCTTGGCAGCTGAAAAGAACTGGCAGGTCGAGGAAGTCTTTGCAGTCCTCGACATGGCTGATATCGAGTGTCGGCTGGGAGAGCTCGCGCGGGCTGGGGCGGATAATCGACAGCCGGATTAATAACGTGTCGAAGTGCGTCCATTGTCATTGCGCCGAAGAAAGAAAGACCAGTGCGGGCGCAAGAGAGATGCCGGGCCTTCGAACGCTGTGCTCAACTCCACATGGGCTCCCGGTGACACTTTTATCCCGATAAGGACACGGGCCGCGTGGGCAGGAGGCCCAGACGCCACAATGGGCTGTGATACAGTTGGACTCACATCAGGGGACAGGGGACGACGCCATAAACATTTTCAACTCTGCCGAGAAGCAAGAGGTCTTCCCGGCCACCGTGCCCCGAAACCCCGGAGCACTCTCCCTCTCCTCTCCTCCCGCACCCTCAAGTCACGCCGTGAAGACGCCTCGAAGGGTTTCGCAGAATACACCGCAAAGGGGACTGACTGCGCATTGAATAGGTTACACACACTGTTTTAAGATCGTTGCCTAGATTTTATTAGTGCTAGACACACACTTCCCGGTACTTCATTAAGTTTCAAATACAGTAAGATCCACTCCATATGAATGCATGATCACACGACGATAAATCCAAAATATACATTTGTATACACAGACCTCACTCCCAAGTAAACAGACTTTAAAACTACCCCCAAAATTGGCACAATCTATATGGTCTTAAAACACAAGGCAAAGAAGACAGTATTAAGTATCCATGGACATAGGTAGAAGAAAACGTATATATTAATGTCTGTACAGAATATTCTCATCGCCTGGGGCTGGAAAGAGAGAGGAAGGTAAAAGAATTCTGTTTTCTGGTAAATATCGCTCTACAATATTTATTTTTAAGACAAAAGCAAATGACGGTTAATAACAATAATCCTCGCATTTGTTACAGCGTCTCGTCTTCCAGACGTCTCAAAGCGCTTCACAGAACATACTGTAAACCGACTGTATATTTTTGTGAGCGAAATGGTTGTTGAACACGGATGGTTTAACTGAGAAGACGCGAATGAATGCCGAGGATCACGGCGCACACTCCCATTTCATTTTTGTAACAGACTTACTGAACGCAACCGTGGATTTCCCAAGACGAAATGATGAATTACTTCATAAAAAGGTGTGCATTTATTAACGGGAACCATTCAAAAGAACTTCGACCCCCAGAGAGAACAGCTTCTTTCGATTGACTCAATGCTGGGTTCCTCTGGTGAAACTGCAGCACTTAACATTGCTCTGTCAAAGAGCCGGCGCAGACTCGATGGGCCGAATGGCCTCCTTCTGTGCCGTAACATTCTATGAATCTATGGAAAAAAAACCTATAGCCCCGGGACTGAATCCAGTCAGTCTCCAGCGAGTCACTAAAAACACCCAATCTGCATTTCAAGATTTTAAACATAAAAACAAGCAGCAACTTCTATAAATAAATTTAATAACATAGACAAAGGCGGGCAAGCCCTCAGCGACGATAGATTTGTTGAACTATATATACATTCTGATTCAGTCAGCTTTACCTTTGGAACGGATCACAGAGTTTTACTCGCTGAAGCCGCAACCCCATTAAACGCCGCCGCCGCCGCAAATCTGAAGCGCGACGTACAAAATCTAACGCAGGATTCTACCCACTTTCTGTGTGTCATTCAGAAAAAGTCGGGCGTTAACTCCAGAGTTTTGAAATCTTGTCGCTCTGTTGGTTGGATAGTGCCTGAACTTATTCAGACTATATGTAGCACGCACAGGAGATGGAACTAATGATCAATGATTAGTTATGCACTTAAACAGCGATTAAGACACATATGGTGTGCATATTAATGTGTTTATAGTGCAAATATGGGAATTATAGAACGACAGCAAATTACATTTGTGTAGCGTCTTTCACGTTGGTAGGAAGTCCTAAGACAACTCCATTTTGGGAAGGGCAGGAAATATAAATGAAAGTGGTTTGGATATCAAAATACATCTGTGCTATTTATAACTTGGGATGGACGTCTTAATACTACAGATCACAGAGACCAACAATGATCAGGTATTAATAATAATAATCCTCGCATTTGATACAGCGCCTTATCACGTCTTCGAGACGTCTCAAAGCGCTTCACGGGATACACCGTAAAGCGAATTGACTGTGTTTTTTGTGGGCAAAATGTGGCAGCCAACTGCGCACAGCAGCGTCCCCACAAACAGGGGTGGATTGAGTGTTCAAATTTTTATTATTTTTTTCTTACCGTACAACACACTTATTCCATAGACTTCAGAGAGGGCCAGGAAAGATGAGACGACCACAGCGGAATATCGAATTACTGATTTTCTTCTTAAAAAAAATTCCTGCAACACTATTCTTTACACCTAAACACCGTATATATTAAGACCTATATATATATATATAATTTTAAATAAATGTGACATTATACACAATATTTCTAACCACGGCTGAAGTCCCTGACAACAGCTGTGTATGTAGTGATTATAGTTGACAGCAGGCCCTGACGGCTAAGATTTGAGAGATCCAGTCCAGACACTAAAAGAACAAAACCCACCCACTGAACGACATGACATCTGCGTCTTTCCGTCGCTTGATTGCAGATTACAACAGTGCGCTTAGATTTCCTGAACCAGTGACCTCTTAAGCTATGCGGTACCCCCAAAGTGCAAAATCCATTTGGCTCAGGTTAGCGCAACACCATCTTGAGCGGGAAACGTGCCCGGGAAGCAAGAGATTTAGATTCACTGAAGCTACTGGGATCCGATCCTCCAAATCCGTACAAGTTTTTAAAAACAACCAACAAAAATCTGGACTACCCGGCTTGTGCCAGAACCTGGCGGGGCTGCAGTCGGCAAACCACAACTGAGTGCAACAGGCAGCCTGAGGCGTGTGCGGGGAAGAGTACTCGAAAGCTGTGTGTTTGATCTTGTTGAAAATCCATATCTGGATCTCCCACATTAAGCCCCGAGTTGCGACGGTGGATGTTCCGATGCCCGATGGCAACCCAGTGGGGCTCTGGGCCAGTTTATTTTGTCAACGGTAACTTTGGCGTGACTCAAAGCCAAGTTGCCCCTTCTGGAGGGAGGGAGGGAGAACAATCAGCCAGGTTGTTCCTGCAGCCAGATCATGAGCCTCGGAACAGAGCCCCTGATAGCCTTCTTACTGTACAGTCTGTATAGAGGGCTAGGGGTGGGGAAGAGGGAGTGGGGGGCAAGAAAAACCCTTCAAAACACAGAAACAAACGAAACAAACAAAAGGGCCGCCATTCAGCCCATCCCGATGAACATTGGAACAGGCATCGCTGCCCGAACACAGATAAAAATCTGACAGAGAAGTAACTGATTGATGGAGCGAATACACAGAACGGGTCTGGGATTCTCAGCAAATCTCTCTCTTTAGCCTCGACATTCATAGGAATCAGGAAGACCTGCCAACCAACCCCTCTGTGACCCAGATCTAGAGAGACTATAGATTTCTAGAGAGCTTATTTAAACCGTAATTTCATTGACATTCAATTGCAGGAGTTTTGGAGTCACCCAAAATAGATTCCCATTAAGTTGCGCTGAGGAATGAAGTCTTCCTTCCTACTGTTAATTTGGTAACTAAACTTCTATACAAGGCTGTGATTGCAGAGAGCAAGTGTAGGCAGGCACCGGTCTGATGTGTGACGGGTTCCAAACACTGTGATCCTGCCCGATAAGGACACCAAGAATGGAGGGAGTAATACCTAACGTTTCGCCCTGGCTCAGGAATCAAACCTGGGTCCTAGAGCGAGCGCTCTAACCACTTAAGCTACAGGAATTTCACAATAGGATATTTCCTCTCGGAATAATAATAATAAAAACAACAATAATAGAGATGTCAGTCAGTGTGGGGGGGGGGGGGGGGGGGGGGGAAGAGAGAGACGTTAAAAAGCATCTTTGATGTTCTTTAACTGCCGGACGGCGATGTCGACGGGCAGGTTGAAGTGCAGGTTGCTGAGCTGGCTCAGTATGTTCAGGGAGCTCTCGAACCCGGTGCATGCCATGTAGCTCCAGGGCTGGTAGTGACGCTGCAAGAGAGTGCCCGACTTGCAGATCAGGTTCACCCACGACACCAACCTCTGCTCGTTCAGCGCCATGCACACCAGGGCCTTGAACTCGGAGTCCGCGCTGCGCTTGTAGGGGCCGTGCTCCGTCAGGACGGTGTGCACCGCACTCAGCAGGCTCTGCTTCGGTGTGATGGAGCCCCCCCCGCCCACCGGCAGGGAGAAGGACTGCGACAGCTTGCGGGCCGGAGACTCCACGAAGGCTCGCCCGTTCCTGCTGTGGTAGTACTTGACGAAGAGCTGCCAGGGGTGTATGGTCTGGGGCGAGGTCGTGAAGGAGGGCAGGAGGCAGGCGATGGGGGCCAGCACCAAGCTCATGCCCTGAGACGAGGCGTACAGGCCGTGAGCCAGGAGCTCACGCAGGGCCACGCACAGCTCCTTGCGCACGGCCAGAGTTAGGCTGTCCTTCCCGCTGAGGCACAGGTCCTGACTGCTGATGACGTGCTCTTCCCCTCCCTGGGGACGGCTGAGCGTCAGCTGTTTCACCTTATTCACCGCCGCCTCCAGCTTCAGGAGCAGCGGAGAGTAGTCCTTGTTGGTCTCGTCTGTCTGCCACAAGCCGCGGGGAATCTGACCGGTCGCACACCCAAACTGACTGACCGCAAATATCTGTAGGACCGCCAGAGCACGGCGCATGAGGTTTAACCCAGCCTCTCTCATCCTTTCGGTTGCCTCTGAATCCGCTGCTGGAAAAAAAAGGCGTTATAAAGTTTCTCTGATGTTTCAGACAATGGGTTATAATCTGATTATAATCATCCATCGTCCACAGCACCCCCAAACGCACCATCCACAGACCCCCGCCACAAACACACCGTCCACAGAAACCCCCCAAAAAACACACCGTCCACAGACCCCAAACACATTTCAACCTTTCAACATATTCAACCCTCCTCTGTACTTTCCTTGTTACTTTGCTATTCTGATTGTGTTACATTGATATCCTCTGGTCACCCACTTCCCCTTTATTTATCTTACCAACAGCCCCCACCCATGATTTAACACTCATCTCTATTAGATCTCCTCTACACTGCTCTTGTAAACAAACTAAATCGAGTTAGACTGTTTGTGGGGGACGCTGCTGTGCGCAATTGGCTGCCGCGTTCCGCCCACAAATATACAGTCAATTCACTTCACAGCATATTCTGTGAAGAGCTTTGAGACGTCGAGAAGACGTGAAAAGCGCTATGTCAAATGCAAGGATTATTATGATTATTATAGAAGGTTAAGGTCTAACCTTGGTGGTTTGAGTAGCGTGATTTTGAAGTGGAGGCTTTGGAATCACACGAACACTTCCCGTTCTCAATCTGAGCTGTGCTTCCAACTTCATCTGCAGAAACACAAACACACGCACATAAGTTGCCACACAATTACATTGCAATGTTTAGATGCTTCATGTCTGCCTGACGTAACTCACATTTATACAGCAACGTGCGCGAGAAAATAATCTCTTCGAAACGCTTTAAAGAATGGGATTAATTAGAGCTGATTAACACTGGAAACATCCTAGAAATAATGAGACGAGTAATAATAATGCCTCCCTTTTGATTTAACGCCTTATCACGTCTTTGTGACGTCTCAAAGCGCTTCACGGAATATACTGCAGAGTGTAGTGACTGTGTATTTTGTGGGCAAAACAATATTCTGCAAACCAGCCAATCTGCAGCTGCAAAGTCGAACAAACAAGATACACGGTAGATACGCAGGTAATTACTTCAATGAAATTGCTAAGCAGGCATTTGCTAGTGAATCATTTGCGCTTCTCATTGATCTTACAAATCTGACACTTGAATATGAACCTTTTAATGATGCCCTGGGAGGGGGGAGAGAAAGGTTTCATTCTACGACATCAGTTAAAATTTCCCAGCATGAACTCAGTTCATGTTGACTCAAGATAACAATCAAAGTTACACATCACCCATCCCTGCCGACCTTCGATTTGATTGTGCTCATGTGGACAGTGCATGACATGCTCTGGAATGTTTTTTTGGCTTGGCTGTTTTTTCGTTTTTTTTTAAAAAAAAGCTAAGAAATTCAAAGCTATTCTGCGGTCAGGTAGTAGCATATAGACCAGTGTCTGTTCTTGATACGAGGAATAAGGACAAGAAAGAGAGCGAGAGACACCACAATTTTCACACGACGATGCGCACGTACATATGTGTGAATGTTTCAAACTGAAAAGTAGGTTCGTGTTGGACACTATCACCTTCCCATGAGCTACTGTCCCCAACCCCCAACAACTGTGACTTCAAACACATATTCTCACACAAGGCTGCACACGCACAGAACACTTCACCGGGGAACTGTTGTGACTGCTGAACGTACTGCACAGGCTCAGCACTTAGGAAGTGACATCACTGGGGACTTGACACTGTGGGAGTAAGAGCGGGAAGCTGGCGAGTTGGCGCCAGGAGCCAAGTCTACAAGGCTTCAGGTTACAGCAGATCCTAGGTAAACCTGTGCTTTAAATGCAGCGGCGCTCAATTCGGGAGTGTTTGAACATGGCTGCACTGTACTGTGACCTACACAGAACAAGTGCTCTGGGTCACTAAGCTGCGCGAGGCGCTGTGTATTATTATATAAATGCAGGTTGTTGTTAACCCATTATCCAAGATTTTAAAGAATTATTTTGTGTTGGAAGCGAGCACTCACTAACCCAATTCACAGCAAACTCAAGACCAGCAAGGAAGGGCCAGCCTGACTCAGTTAGCAGTACAGCATTATGACCTCCGAGTCAGAAGGCTATGGGTTGCCATGAAGTGCTTTGAGAGATTTTCACGACATGATGAAACTCCACATTAAAGGCAAGGATTAGAGATACGAGTGCAGGGTAACCCCCAGGAAGCTGTTGAACAGTTAGCCTGGCGGACACATACCTTGGAGAAAGTTGATGAACATCTCCAGGTCACGGATCTGAGTCTTGAGCTGATCGACCAGTTGCTCCTTCACTCTGGCCGGGTTGACTATCTGGGCGATGGCAGAGTCCACGCGCTGCCTGAGTTCATCTGCAGACAAGCTGCCGATATCTTCATTCAGATTCACATCCAGCTTCTTAATCAATTCATCAATGATGACCTGAAAGCACACAAGTACCATTGGGAAATGTTACAGTAAAACCCTTATCATCTCTATCCCAGCATCCCACCTGTATGTGCAGGTCCCTACACCATTCCCCCAGCTGAAACTGTAGACATACATTCAATCCGCTTACAGTATTTTGCCAATACATCTTTGTATTCAGTCACTAATAAATGTGTGCATGGCTTTCCTCCAATCAGCCATAAAACATGATGGTTTAATAAGCCATGACCGTAGTGATTTGAGCAGTTTAATAATTGCATTTGATATCGCCTTATCGTGTCTTCTGAGACCCGTCAAAGTATTTCACAGCGTACACTGTAAAGTGTATCGACTGTATTTTGTGGGCGGAACGTGGCAGCCAATTGTCACAACAGTTTCCCATAAACAGTCGTGGATTGACTATCTGGGCCAAATTATTATTTTTTCCCCCAAAGGGATTATTACCCCCGGAAAGCTGCCAATATTTCTTGCATCCCACATACAGGTTTAAGCGGCTGTGTGTATCCAGCGGAAGCATTATTAGTGCTGGTTTATGAACTTGGCAGCAACATATGGCAGAACCCATGATTTCCTAAAAGGCATCTGCTGTTTCAAACCACTGTCAGGATGCGTTTTAACAGCTGAATCATGAACCTGCCACCGAAAAAAAATCATAGACACCAGGAATTCGCAACACAGAAACTTAAAGCACAGGAGGAAAGTCATTCGACCCCTTGGAGTTCCGTAGCTCAGTGGTTAGAGCACTCGCTCGCCTCACAAGCAAGAGGACCTCAGTTCAATTCCTAGGGCAAGACGAAACGTTGGGTAAGTTTCCTTACTCCACACGCCTCTGTTTACCTACCAGTAAGTTGGAACCCGGCTGTTAGGTGGATCACTTGTCCGGGGGTAATAATCCCTTCAATTTTTAAAAAATAAAATAATTTGGTCACTCTGACTGTTTGTGGCACACTGCTGTGCGCAATAGGCTGCCGCATTTCCATAAAATATACAGTCGATTCACTTGGCTGTGAAGCACTTTGAGGCGTCTTGAAGACTTAAGACGCTATATCAAATGAAAGGATTATTATTATTACTATACCCCTGCATAAGATCAAACACTTCACTTATTAGACTGTATGGGCACTGTATTGGGACAGTTACTTGTACAGGGCTGCCTTCCCTACCCGCTGGCGTTCCAGGACAATGGACTGTGGAAGTGAGTCGTAGCTGCCTTCCTGATAAGCAAACGTTTCTAGGTCATCCAGCTGAGTCTTCAGTTGTATAATCAGTTCCCTTTGTTTCTGGCGCTGAACCTCAAGTCTTTCCAGCTTCTCCCTTTCGCTCTGAAACTCCAACACAGAAAACAAACAAGGTCAGATTAACATTTAATATTCAATAAAATCCAACGAAAAACAACTGAGAACCAAACTCATGCACACAACAAGGTTCTTTATCGAAAACATAAATTCTTATGAACAGGCTCCTTAGGGAGTCAGTGGAAGCAGAAAGTTTAGTTTGTTTCAAGAACAAGTTAGATAGATTTCTGTTTGAAAATAATCTCGGGATACAGTATATAGTTTGGGACACAACATGTCAAGCAACTGCCAGGATGGTGGAAGGCGAAATGAATGGATCTCGGTCTTCATTCGCCAGCAAATTATTATGTTCTTTGGAGTGACTTCATCCACAAGTACAGATATGAGCTCAGAACACAGATTTCAAAGATACGCTTTGTGAAATTTGCCAATGTAATAAATATATAAATGGTCTTCGAAGATTTAATCAGAGGCTGGGCATTCATGAATCTCAATTCAATTTATCATCAAAAAGGAATGTGAAAAATGTTAACTGGGAAACCTACCAAAACCCTACAAATTCAACAGTAAAAGTTCAATAAGTTCAATACTGGGTCAGCACTCAGTGATCCAAGAGTAAATTTCTCTTTGGAGAAATTCTCCCCATCTCTCTCAAGTACTTCATCCAAATGGCCACTAATACATGTATCTGGACAGGAAAGTCAACAAGCAATGAATCAATGCAGCATTGTAGACGAGCCCGAGCTTAAACTTGCCCGGACATCCACACAAACACTTCCTAAGCAGGGTCTCCTCGGAGCTGAACTGGCTCCACGCTGACATGTCCGGCAATGGGATGCCAGCATCGAAGCCCTCTGTGACGGTCTCCAGTCTGGTTCAAGAGCCAGACGGGTGCGCAGTATTCCAGCGCACTGCTGATGACAGCACAGCCCAGCCTGGCTCATTGGCAGAACCTGGAAGGACAGACCAGTCACTAGGGACAGGGAGTCATCCCACTCAGCTCATTAACCCTGCAAGCCAAAGGCCGAACGGTTAGGGTGGTCCTATCCGGACAAACAGCAGGAAAGCTTGCCAGACAACCATTTCCCAGCAGGGCTCACTAAACCGTGATCAGAATCTCTCTAACAGCGCTACCTTCACTAACTCTACCAGCTGACCCAGCCCAATATTGGCAACGAAAGAAAATCTAGCTCTGGAGACGGAACATGAAACAATACACCCATTTTGGTGCCTTTGCACTTGACTGGTTTTATTATCATATTTTACAATCATATCTCTCCTTGCACTCGATAGAGTGTTGAAAACACATGCAATCTCTCAAAGCAGTTAACGCTAACAGCAATTGCGGCAGATAACCCGAGTTGGCAACGTCTCAGAGATATAGTTCCAACACAACACGCAATCAAACTTGGCTGATTCAATTCCCATCTCTATAAACCATCGCTGCTGAGGCAATCTATTGTCCCCCCACTGCTCACCCATTTGCGATCAACTAACACAGCACACAGGGAAACCACAAACGAAGGTGCTTTCTGTTTAATTCAGCCACTGGAAACATACTCAACAACACGCCTTGAACACACACGACCTAGAAGTAGGGCAAAGGTGCAAGAACTAAGCCAAGCTGACATCCAAGTATAAAGGCGGGGTAATGAAGGCGCTTCAGTAGCTATATTTATACTGTAAAACACTCGGAAGGAAATGTTTGAATAAAGTGAACTTACCAAATCTTCCTACAAGTTAGGCATGATTAAAAGAATAGCACATTAGATATTATTTCATATTGTTAAACGATAGGTAAATGTAATTTGCATATATTATTTTTTAAGCAACATTCTTAGCCTTTCTTTCTTTCAGTTTATTTCTAATACCACACCCTAAACAATGCCATTATTCTTTTTATATTCAAAAAATAAAGTTTGGGAATCAAATGATCATTCCTCTTTCTGGACACAATTGTGAATCTGATCTGCATTTGATGCTGATAATTTTGTCTGTGGATTATTGTTAATTATATTAATGATAATAAGCCTCATTGAATGATAAGGCGCATTCAATCTAACGCCTCATCACGTCTTCGAGGCGTCTCAAAGTGCTTCACAGAATATACTGTAAAGTGAATTGACTATATTTTGTAGGCAAATTGAAGGGGGGGTTACTTAATATTTGTAAACATGATATATTGTGGTACTATTAATCACACAACCATATTTCAAGTAGTTACATTTTCTAATTGTTTGATTAGATATGGTTCATTAAACTGACTTTTGGCTTTTTTTCAAGGTTGCCATATCAAATGCAAGGATTATTATTATTATTATTTCTCTCATGCCAGTGTTTCAAACAGTTTCTGAGGCGAGGGCTGCTGTCAGGATAAAGGCCTCCTGAGACACGTCTAAACCCATCCAACAGCAAGGTTTTGAATACAAGATTTTCATTATAAAGACAGCAACTAGTAGGTGTCAGTATTTGTACTCCACATGAGCCTCTACTCCTTCTAATCCCCTTTCCTAAACCCCTCTAGTCCGAAGGTACAGCTCATCTTTCTCGTAACTAAAGATGGGGACATTTAAAACCAAACCGTTTAGTCAATTATTTGTATTATTACTTGCATTGTTCGTTATGTGCCATACGCCAACTCCAAACCCTGAACAAAACAAGTTACTTCACACAAAATAGCCGCAAAATATACGTGTCAGTGCAGGAAGGAGTCTGGCGAGCATTCCCTTGAGATTTCACTGCAACGTTTCGTGAAAGCCTCAAGTGGTTGAAGAAAACAAAGTAATTACCCAGAGATTGGTTTACACGTGCTGCAAGGGACTGTGGGTCTGTTTGGCAGTGGAAACGTCATGCTCCTTGTTTAACGCCGTCTCTCAGGCTCTAGATCTCTCCATAAAGCTCTTGCAACATGGAAATGATTGCAACAGCGTAAACAGCATCTGGATGGGTTCAGCTTTTTTTAAAAAAAAAATAATTGAACAGTCCATGTACAGCGGTTTCATCTCTACTGGGAATATTTTACTACGCCCGGATTATTCTCGCAGCCGAAAGGTATTGTGCTGAATGCACAGTGCGAAATCCTAAGGTAGGCAATTATTTGTTAGACAGTTAAGCAGATGGAGAGGAAAAGAGTTTTTCGAACAAAATTGACACCGACTTTTTCCACCTTTGTAAAAGCTGTACTGGTGTGTCGGAGTGGTCGAATGCTAACTCTGGTTGCAACAAAGGCAAAATTCGGGAAATTTGGGAAAGGGTTGGAAAGAGTGACTTGGGGTTGGTCTCGAAGCTGTATCTAAAGTCTCGCTGCAGCCAGGACATAATGTACAACATTAAAAGGGAGAGAGAAAAAACCGAAAGGTGAGAGCACAATACGAAATGCAAGTTGAGTATTTGGTTACGAAATGTGGAGCTCTTATCTTGGAAACACGATGATAAACGGCTACCACACACTCACTAAAATGCAGGGCTGATTCTGTCCCAGTGGGAGGCAAGACAACAACAGCTCCAATGAGCATTCATGTTCCACGTCTGTGCATAGCTTCCTCCCTGATGAGGTGGTTTGATATTAGATTGAAAATGATGGATGAGTTCATAAGGTCTCCAAAGTGAATTTAGCAGTGCAGCAATACAGCGTCAACGACTGCATGTAAACTCACACCCAATATAAACAGACAAGTAACTGGGGACTTTAAAGTTAAAAGTGAGGAGTTTCAAATGGATCTGGACATTTTCCTGCACTGACAGCTTACATTTCACCAAATTGGTTAAGCAAATCTTTCTACGGGTGTGGAATAGTGGGAGAACTGCCACCCCTATTAATATTACTGGGAGAGAAGTTAGATCAGGTTCCAGGAGAGCAACAGAAAGCAGGTAAGACACATTTGTACTTTCCACCCCAAATCCCATCATCCGATGAATGGGGGGGGGGGGGGGCATGTAATCACTAGTAGATGCATAAATTATCACAGTCAAGCGTAGTGACGACATATTAGGCAAAAATGACAGCCAATTTGTGCAAAACAAACACCCTCAAAATAGCCATGATGTGAATGACCAAGTATTCTCGAGGACTGTTGAGCTAAACCGAGAGAAGGATTCCCCCTCTGGTCCAGGCACCAGCCATAGCTGAACATCCCTCCCCCCCCCCCCGGCTCTGGGACAGATTGTGGGTTCAAACCCCATGTCAGGATGTCAGTTCACATAATAGAGCAGTGCATGAAATCGGCCACTGTGTTTGCCGAATGTGCAGTCACAGCTATGAATATCCAGAATCATCCAGCAATGTCTGGATAATATGCATTTGATTCAGTGCCCCATTACATCTTCGATACCTAAAGCACTTCAAAGGATTGACTGTAAAGTGTAGTGACTGTGTATTTTGTGGGGGCAAAGTCAGCAGCCGATTCACGCACTGAAAAGTTCCACAAACAACAACAAAATTACATTTGTATAGTGCCTTTCGCGCAGGGAGGACGTCCCAAGGCGCTGGACAGACAAGAGTTACAGACCCCAGCTGAGGGACGGGGAGGGTGGAGGGAGGACGGGAAGCAGGGAGATGGGGTCAGGCGGAGGGACTGCGGGATGGAGTTCCAGAGATGGGGGCAGAGTGGCAGAAGGCCCACCCGCCAACAGTGGGGCGAGGGTGGCAGGGGACGTGAAGCAGGCCGGAGACCGGCTGAAACCGCCGTGAAGCGAGGGGCCAAATTTTTCTGCCGGGGCACCAGGAGAGAGTACGTCTTCTCCTCCGCGTAGCTCAGTGGGATCGTGGGACACTCCACCTGAGCAAGACCACAAACCTCCAGGACCCGGGTCTCACGTCCCATTGGGTGGGCAGTGGGTTGGCACCCAAACCCGAGGCTGGAGCCCGGCAGTTCAGCGCGAGCCAGAGTCCTGCGTCCGAGTCCCGACGGGGCGAAACGCTGGGCAAGTCTCCTTACTCCACGCGCGCGCTCGCGCTCGCGCGCCTCTGGTTACCCGGCAGTAAGGAGGAACCCGGTCGTCAGTCGACCGTCGGGGAGATCGCTTTTCCGGGAGGTTAAAAGAAACGACGACGACGACGACGACGAAAGCAATAACAACAATAAGAATAACAATAATAATAAATCGGCCGCCTCAACCCCTCGAGCCGTTCGCGGGGGACGGGGGGTCGGGGGACCGGAGGTCACCCGCCCTCGACCCTCCGCGCCTCGGAGACGCGAGGATGGTTATTGATTACTGTTCATTGTCATCGATGATGGTGATGAGTATTATTATGGTTGTTGTTGTTGTTGTTGTTATTGTAAGGCTGGTCCGGGGGGGGGGGGGGGCCAGGCTGCCCCACCCCCACCCCCACCCAACCCCACCCCCCCACCCCCCGCCCCCAGATTCTCTCACCGGGTCCCCCAGCAGCCGCGGGTCGCCGCCCCGGGTCCCGAAGGCCTGAGGGCAGCCCTTGAAGGCGAAGTCCTCGAGCTCGCCCAGCAGCCGCTCCTTCTCCTCGCCGCCCGCCCGGACGATCTGCTTGAGGCGGAACTGGACCTGGGCGAAGTGCGAGGTGAGGGCCAGCAGCGACGAGTTGAGCAGCTCCTGCTCGCCCTCCAGCCGCACCAGCTTCTCGGCCATGACGGTCACGGCCGAGCCGGGGCTCGGGCCTAGCGGGGCGGGGGGCCCGAGACCGACCGGCGGCGGCGGCGGCGGCGACGGCTCCTCCTCGGGACTGGACACGGCGCCCACCGGGGCCCAGCGCTCCCCCGCCAGCCCCTCGCAGTCCGACAGAGACCCTTCGTCCATGTCTCTCTCTGTGTGTGTGGGTGTGTGTGAGGGTGTGTGTGTGTGAGGGGGTGAGGGGTTTGTCAGCGCGGCCGACGCTCGCTCGACGACAGCGGCCGCCGTTCGCGCTCCGGCGCTCGGCGGTTGACGCCGACGGACGTCGCCGCGCCCGCGCCCACGCCCGGCGCGAGCGCCACGTCAGCGCCCCGCCCGCGCCGCGCCGCCGTGACGTCAGCGCGCGCGCGCTGGCCACGCAGCCCCGCCCACTACCGCGTCTCCTCCCCCTCTCACGTCACTCACTCGCTCTCACTCACTCACTCACTCAGTCCTTTCCAAGTGCAACGTTGTATCCCGTGAAGCGCTTTGAGGCGCCTCAAAGGATACTCCGTCAAATGCAAGCGTTACGATGATTATTATCAACCCACCATCACCCCTCCCCCCAACACCCCATCACCCCTCCCCCCCCAACACCCTATCACCCCTCCCCCCAACACCCCATCACCCCTCCCCCCCCAACCCACCATCACCCCTCCCCCCAACACCCCATCACCCCTCCCCCCCCCAACACCCATCACCCCTCCCCAACCCACCATCACCCCTCCCCCCAACACCCCATCACCCCTCCCCCCCCAACCACCATCACCCCTCCCCCCAACACCCCATCACCCCTCCCCCCCAACCCACCATCACCCCTCCCCCCAACACCCCATCACCCCTCCCCCCCAACCCACCATCACCCCTCCCCCCAACACCCATCACCCCTCCCCCCCAACCCACCATCACCCCTCCCCCCCAACCCACCATCACCCCTCCCCCCCCAACACACCAATGCCCCCCCAACACACCATCACCCCTCCCCCCAACACACCATCACCCCTCCCCCCAACCCACCATCACCCCTCCCCCCAACACCCCATCACCCCTCCCCCCAACACACCATCACCCCTCCCCCCCCAACCCACCATCACCCCTCCCCCCCCAACACACCAATGCCCCCCCAACACCCCATCACCCCTCCCCCCAACCCACCATCACCCCTCCCCCCAACCCACCATCACCCCTCCCCCCCAACCCACCATCACCCCTCCCCCCAACACCCCATCACCCCTCCCCCCCCAACACACCAATGCCCCCCAACACACCATCACCCTCCCCCCAACCCACCATCACCCCCCACAACACACCAATGCCCCCCAGCACACCAATGCCCATCCCCCCAACACACCATCACCCCTCCAACACACCAATGCCCACCCCCCAAAACACACCATCATCCCCCCAACACACCAATGCCCACACCCCCCAACACACCATCACCCCCCCCAACACACCAATGCCCACCCCCCAAAACACATCATTCCCCCAACACGCCATCATCCCCCCAACACGCCATCATCCCCCCAACACGCCATCATCCCCCCAACACACATCATCCCCCCAACACACCAATGCCCACCCCCCAACACACATTACCTCCCAACACACCATCACCCCTCCCAACACACCAATGCCCCCCAACACACCAATGCCCCCCCGCCCGCCCCCAATACAGCAATGGGATGAGAATTAAACCGAGGTCACCGGCCATGTCTGTTCGGGTGGACTTTAGCCCGTCAGAGGCTGCTGGAATGGAGGAGGGAGCTGCTTCTGGTGGATAGGTCACATACGGGATTGTCAGGACAAAACGAGGGGAGAGGAGTGGAACCATTCACAGGGAAGTCGGGAAATTTCCGGTATATCCAGACCGCCCCTAATTGTACCTGTGTATGTGTAGTGACGATTTGCATAATAATAATACAATATAATAATCCTTGTGTAATTATATGTGTGTGTATGCGTAGTGACTGTTTGTGTAAATGTATCTGTGTAGTAACTAGTTGGGTAACTGTATGTATGTGTGTGTAGTAACTGGTTGGGTAACTGTATGTATGTGTGTAGTAACTAGTTGGGTAACTGTATGTATGTGTGTGTAGTAACTAGTCGTGTAACTAATCTGCATATGGATGTGTATATGGAAATTCTACTGACGAGGCACATTTATTGCTCTTTTGTCCCTCCAAAAAAGTTTTAAAGAAATTGTGTGACTTTTTACTTGATTCATGCTTTGGCCACACATGCAGTTTCAGAGGTGGGGGGGGGGGGGGGGGGGGTTGGTGCGTGGGATGGAAAGAAGAGGGGAGGGGGGGGGGGGAGAAAACGAAACCAATTTGAGAAGAGAGATGGGGAGGAGAGGGAGACTATTTCATAATTGAACAGGCAGACGAGGAAGTGTGTTGAGCTGTGTCTCTGGTACAGTCTGTTGTTGAGAAAGGAGAGGGAAGGAGAGGGAGAGAGAGAGGTAGGGAAGAAGAGAAAGGGAAGGAGAAAGAGGGAGGAAAGGAGATAAGAGGGAGACAGACAGACAGACAGAGAGAGAGAGAGAGAGGACAGGCAATATAAATTGCCATCAGGGTTTGGTTCAGATAACAGCCCCATGTGCCCAGAGAGAGGGAGAGGGGGTGTTCCCTACAGTGTTGACTGTGTCCCTGTGCAAAAGGGTTTGGGTTCTTAAATCATTTCAAGAAGGAATCCCCCTGGAGAGAGAGAGAGAGAGAGAGACAGGGAGAGAGAGAGAGAGAGAGAGATAGAGAGAGAGGGAGATAGAGACAGAGAGAGGGGGAGAGAGAGACAGGGAGAGAGGGAGATAGAGACAGAGAGAGAGGGAGATAGAGACAGGGAGACAGAGAGAGAGAGAGACAAGAGAGAGAGAGAGAGGGAGATAGAGACAGGGAGACAGAGAGAGAGAGAGACAAGAGAGAGATAGAGAGAGGGAGATAGAGACAGAGAGAGAAGGAGATAGAGACAGAGAGAGAGGGAGATAGAGACAGACAGAGAGAGAGAGAGAGACAGACAGACAGACAGACAGACAGACAGACAGACAGACAGAGAGAGAGAGGAATTGAGAACCGAGTTCTGTTTCGATCCAAAAAATGCATTGATTGTTCCCGTGGAACTCCGAGGGGGAGAGAGAGAGAGAGAGAGGGAGAGAGAGAGAGAGAGAGAGAGAGAGAATTTATTTTCGAATATGTTCGACCAATCGAGATGGGGAGGGGGGCAGAGAACTGGGAGGTCACGTTAAACCTCAGGCAGTGAGCAATTGAGTGGAGTGAGTGAGAGTGAGTGAGAGTGAGTAAGAGACACACAGACAGACAGACAGACGGAGTTGTGAGACACTGTGTGTAACGTTGGCAGTTGCAGGATGGAGGGGGGTCGAGGTTGGCTCCCGATGTGGGTCTCTATCTCGGTGTGGGACGAGGGCTTCTGGCTGCCACACAACGTAACCAGAGCTCAGTTGGAGAACTCCCAGAACCCGATCTACCCCCGACTCAAGGACCTGTACTTTCTGGTGCCGTGGACTTGGGCGATCTACATGTTGCGGCTGCTTTTCGAAAGGTAAAACGGGAGACGTGGGAGAGGGAGAGGATCGGAGAGAGAGAGAGAGAGAGAGAGAGAGAGAGACACACACACACACACATAGAGAGAGACAGACTGATAGAGGGAGACACACACACACACACAGAGAGAGACAGACTGATAGAGAGGGAGAGACACACACACACACATAGAGAGAGACAGACTGATAGAGAGAGAGACACACACACACACATAGAGAGAGACAGACTGATAGAGAGGGAGAGACACACACATAGAGAGAGAGAGACACAGACTGATAGAGAGGGAGAGACACACACACAGAGAGAGAGAGACACAGACTGATAGAGAGGGAGAGACACACACACACACATAGAGAGAGACAGACTGATAGAGAGGGAGAGACACACACACACACATAGAGAGAGAGACAGACTGATAGAGAGGGAGAGACACACACACACACATAGAGAGACACAGACTGATAGAGAGGGAGAGACACACACACACACATAGAGAGAGACAGACTGATAGAGAGGGAGAGACACACACACACACATAGAGAGAGAGACAGACTGATAGAGAGGGAGAGACACACACACACACATAGAGAGACACAGACTGATAGAGAGGGAGAGACACACACACACACATAGAGAGAGACAGACTGATAGAGAGGGAGAGACACACACACACACATAGAGAGAGAGACAGACTGATAGAGAGGGAGAGACACACACACACACATAGAGAGACAGACTGATAGAGAGGGAGAGACACACACACACACACAAAGAGAGACAGACTGATAGAGAGGGAGAGACACACACACACACATAGAGAGAGACAGACTGATAGAGAGGGAGAGACACACACACACACATAGAGAGAGACAGACTGATAGAGAGGGAGAGACACACACACACATAGAGAGACAGACTGATAGAGAGGGAGAGACACACACACACATAGAGAGAGACAGACTGATAGAGAGGGAGAGACACACACACACACAGAGAGAGACAGACTGATAGAGAGAGAGACACACACACACACATAGAGAGAGACAGACTGATAGAGAGAGAGAGAGACACACACACACATAGAGAGAGACACAGACTGATAGAGAGGGAGAGACACACACACATAGAGAGACAGACAGATAGAGAGGGAGAGACACACACACATACATAGAGAGAGACAGACTGATAGAGAGGGAGAGACACACACACATAGAGAGAGACAGACTGATAGAGGGAGAGAGACACACACACACACATAGAGAGAGACAGACTGATAGAGAGGGAGAGACACACACACACACATAGAGAGAGACACAGACTGATAGAGAGGGAGACACACACACAGACACACACATAGAGACAGACTGACAGAGACACACACACAGAGAGACATGGGAGAGACAGAGACTGGGAGGTAGACTTAAGAGAGGAAGACACAAACACACACAGACAGAGTGAGTCACACACACATATGTACAGATAGATACACAAGACACTGAGCCAGACAGATGAGCTTCAGTTTCCCAGACAGACAGACAGAGAAAGACACACACACACAGACAGAGAGTGTCACACACACACACTCACACACACACTGAGACAGAGCATTGCAAATTCTTAAGAAAAGCTAAATTCCCTTTTTTTTCGCCTACACTGCACTGCAAACTTTATTGGCTACGCCTAGTTCAGCAGGACGCCCCTTATTTCTTTTAACAGAAGAAATTCACCCCTCCTCAACCCCCAAACCCCACCCTCAGAGAAGAACCCCCCCCCAAAAAAAAAGAGTCAACCCCTACCCCCCCCCCCCCCCCAACCACCTCTCTCTCTCTCTCTCTCTCTCTCATGGCCAATTTCTCACCATATCTTGAAGCTTTAATCCCTGTTGATATCCAGTCAGGTCATCTCCAATTTAATTGGGTGGGTGGGGGGTGGGGGGGGGTTTAACTGGGGAGGAGGGGGAGCTAAATAATCTGTCAAATTCCACTTGCCCCCACACAGATTTCTTTGGGATTTGTGTGTCTGGGTGTGTTTGATCTCTCTTCCTCCCTCCCCCCCCCCCCCCCCCCACCATCCCACCACCCCCACCACCCCCCCCCCACCCACCGCCACCACATTTTAAAACAAAACTCAACCCCAAAAAAAAAATCATTTGCAATGTGTTTCCAGCAGACGTCGCGAGGAAAGGGTTAAAAATCAAAGCCCACATTTATTTTTAGACTTGGGGAGGGGGGGGAGGGGGTTGGGGGCGGCTTTGTGGGGAAAGCTTTAAACGTTTTCCCTTGGTATTGTCTTATGAGAAGGGTCGGGGGGGGGGGGGGGGCGCGCGAGAGTTTTTTTGGGGGGGCGGTGGTGGGAGGGGGGGGGGGGGCTTTATAGTGTGGTCAGGAGCGAAGGGGCGTCAATCCCTTCCCTTCGAAAAATGTCCTTCGCAGTAGTAATAATTCGGTCGCTCGACCCGCCGCTGTTTGCGGGACGTCGCCGGGGGCAATTGGCTGCCGCCTTTCGGCCGCAAAGCACACAGTCACTCCACTTTACGGCACATTCGGCGAAGCGCTCTGAGACGCGATCAGGCGCTGCATCAAATAGCGGGAGTATTATTATTATTAGTATTATTATTAATAAGGATCGATCTACCTGTCCCTAACGGGTGCTCAGCTGGCAATTTCGGTGGGGAGGGTGGGGAGGGTGGGGGGGTGGGGGTGGGGGGGGGGGGGGTTAGAAGGGGGGAGAGTCCTTATTAAGAGAGTCTTATTTAGAATTCAAATGCCCTACCCTATGGCGAAAGCTACCTGTTATGCTTCATTCCAGAGATTGCAAACAAAATCCCACACCCAGACACACACACACACACACACACACATACACACACATATACACACACATATACACACACACACACACACACATACACACACATATACACACACTCACACACACACACATACACACACAAATACACACACATATACACACACGCACACGCACACACACACACACACACGCACACACACACACACACACACGCGCGCGCGCTATAGTTCCTGCGTTCACTGTACCTCCGGGCGTCAAAAAAAAAATCTCTTAATTGGCGAGCTATCAACACAACCCGTGCCTGCACAGCCCGCGTTTACCTAGAAAACGTCTCGGAGTGCTTTAGCATTGCCGGGGAGGGAGGGGGAGGAGGTGGGAGGGAGAGGAGGAGGTGGGGGGGGATCAGCGGGGCAGAGTTTGTGTGTTGTTGGGGGGGGGAGTGGGGTGAGGAGGGGGTGAGGTGACCATAGGCGCTGTCGAAAAGATATTGTGAACGCGATAAGTTGTTGCTGTTATTGTATTAAGACGGGACGTGAAGGTGGATGAAAATGGAGCGAGAGGTGGGGGGAGTGGGGGGGAGGGAGGGGGTAGAGGTATGGTAGGGCAACTGCGTGGCAAAACGGGGGAGACTGGGGGCACGAGACAGAGGGCAGAGCAGGGACCAGAAATAAATTGACAGATGTTCTCCGCGGAATCCGTAGGACGCTTGACAGTGAGCGCCATTTGCAATCTCCCGCCATGTTGACTGTCGTTCCGTGTGTGTGTGTGTGTGTGTGTGTGTGTCTCCCACCCCCCCCCCCCACCTCCACCCCCTTCAGGTTTGTGGCAACACCGGTTGCCAGGGCACTGGGAGTGAACTGCAACCCCATCCAGAAGGCACAGCAGAACATTGTACTGGAGAAAGTCTTCAAAGACATTACCACGGTGAGTCAGAGAGGGCGGTGGGTGGGGGTGGGGTGGGGGGTGGGGGGGGGAGGGAGATAGGATGGAGTAGGCACCCCCCCACCCCCGGCCACCAAGAAGATTTCTTTACCTTTGGGTAAAGGGTACTTTTTTGCTTGGATCACAGTTTCTCTCCCCCCCCCCACCCCCCCCCCACCCCCCCCCACTCCCCACCCCCACCCCCCCCATCTATAAGCCACAAGCAAACACGCATTACAATGAACCTCTTTATAACTGACTTCTGCCATAACTGTTCCGCTCACAAAGTACACAGTCAATTGATTCAGTTTTACAGGGCGCCACGTGAAGCGCTTTGGGCCATCCCTCGAAGACGTGATAAGGCGCTGTATGAAACGCGAGGATTATTATCATTATTATCAGTAAAAGGCGGGGGTGGGGCGGGCGGGCGGGCGGGCTGGCGCTCCTGAGCTATCAGCGTCTGGCAGGATTCCCCGAGGGTTACCTGGTTTGGCTTGTAACCCTGGTCTGAGCGCAGGCGAGAGATGTTGCAGCGAGACGCTTGATGTCTGAGGTCTGTGCTCGTTCCTTCCCCTGCAGGAGCCCGGCAAGAAGCACCTGAGCCACTTGGCAAAGCAGCTGGACTGGGAGCCCAGGCAGGTGATGCAGTGGTTCAAGCTCCGGAGATACCAGGACCGGCCCAGCCTCCTGACCAAGTTCTGCGAGAGCATGTAATTCACACTAGCAACAAGAGATCTTCTTACCCTCCTTCTCTACCTTCCTCTCTCTGTCCCTCCCTCCCTTCCTCTCTCCCTTTCTCCTCTCCTCTTCTTCGAGACGCGCTTTTGAGTCTTCCTCCAGCTCCATAAAGCCCCCAATGCCCTCCTCTCCTCACTCATCTCCCAGATCCGCTATTCACAAACTCCAACTCATTCAAAACTGCCCCACCAGCACCAAACTCCGCACCCAACTCCTCACCCTCCCCAACACCCCAGCCTTCGCCACTGGCTTCCTGGGATGTTTCTCTGACGTGAAGGGCGCCATACAAGTGTAATTTGTTGCTGTTGTTGTTGTTGTTGTTGTGGCAGGATGTATTGATTTCAAGACCCTCACGCTCACCTAAAATCACTTGATGCCCCAGCACCTCGCAATCTCTCTGACTTGCTCCCCCCCACTCACCCCCCCCTCCGCTGGACTGGCTTGGGCCATCTGTATGGGCCTTAGCCCACTCCTCTAGGAACACAGGAACAGGAGGCCATTTAGCCCCTCAAGCCTGTTCCTCCATTCTGTAAGATCACGGCTGATCTGCAGCTCAACTCCAATTACCACCCCCCCCCCCCCGTTGCCCCACATCCCCTGATACCCTGACCTAACGAAAAATTCTGCTCCAATGTCAGTGGCTGAGAGCGGGCGGCGTTGGGAGGATAATAATAGGAGAAGCAGCGTGGACAAGAGGAATTTGACACTGACATAGTGGTCGGAGGGGTGTGGGGGGTCAGCGGGGCGGGAGGGAGTGGTCGGCGGGGTGGGGGTGACTGTCGGGCGCTCCACTGCCATTGAGACTCACTGAGACTTGCGAGAGGCTTTGCAATAAGGAGCTGTATGTGGAATTTGTTTGCTGGCCTGTGTCACTTCTCACACACACCTGCCACATTTGGTAGATACAGGGGATAAAGCCACCTCCCTCCCTCCCTCCCCCACCCCACACCTACCTCTCTCTCTCTCTCTCTCTACATATATATCTTTCTCTCTCTCTCTTTCTGGCTCGGCCTCAAACTATCCCATTGTTCAGCTCTCCGCGACCCCGTTTGACACAGTGCCTCTCACGTCGGGAGGATGCCTTCAAGAGCTTCGCGGGGCTTGCTGTGAAGTGCAGTGACTGTGCGTTTGTAGGTGGATTGGGGAGTTGGCTCTTGCCAGGGAAGAGGAAGGGTGCAAATGGCGGGGAGTGGGGAAAGAGCAGGGAATTGAGATTGGAGCAGAAAACAATGGAGGAGATTGAACCGGAGGCTTGAGGGGCTGAATGGCCTCTTCCTGTAATGTTACTGAAACACCCTCCCACTATCCCTCTGCCTTGACCCTTCCTTGCTTGCTTCCTTGCTTCCTGGCTTCCTTCCTTCCTTCCTTCCTTCCTTCCCCATCTTCAGGTTGCGCCTGAAGACCTTCCTCTTCGACCTCTCCCCACCCTCCCCAGTGTCGAGCTCCGTCACTACCAAGCACTCTGGGACGCTGCTTTGTAAATTCACGTTGTTGTTGTTGGTGGCGGCGGCGGTGGTGGGGTAGTTTTGGTATGTAACCCGAGCTGTCTACAGGCTCGTTGCCGTGTGTACCAAAGCTCTGATCTCCTCTCTTTTCAGGTGGAAGTTTGCGTTCTACCTCTGGGCCTTTGTGTTTGGCTTTTATTACCTGTCAAAGGTTAGCAAACAATTCCACTGAATTCAGGTTGCACAACTATTACAATTATCACCTCGTGGCACCTGCGCACACGCGGTGGGGGTGGGGGCGGGCGGGAGTGGGGGGGGGGGGGGTTGAGCGGGTGAGGAAGAACAACAGGAAATCATCCCAAACCTGCGCGAATTGCCCCTAAACTCCACACGATTCCCCGAAAGGAAAGCTAACGCTAAATAATAATTGTTCTTATTGTTCTGATTATTTCAAAGAATCCTTGCATTTGTAGCTCAGTGGTTGGAGCGCTCGCCTCACACGTGAGAGAGTTCTAATCCTGGCCGGGCGAAATGTTGGGCAAGTTTGTGTGGAGTAAGGAAATTTGCCTAAGGTTTCACCCCGCCCGGGAATCGATGGCCATAAGAGCAAAAGAAATGCTGGACCCAAGGACCATCTCGTTCGCCTTCCTGGCGGTCGCAAGTACACGTGCCCCAAACTCCCCACGTGCTACATCCCATAATGTTACTTCCTAAAAGAAATCTAACCTGCGTTGGAAAGAATCGACGTCTCCCTCGGGAGCCTGTTCCACAGGTCCGCTGTTCGCCCACTGACGTAGCGTTTGCGTAGATTCGTTCTGCATTCAATCGCGGGCCGTGCCCTCCGGCTCTGCCGTTCTGGACAAGTTGGAACAGCCGGTCCCGATCTCTATTACTTTGTCCCTTTAGAATCATGTCGCCTCTCAATCTGCTCTTTTCCAGCGCGAACAGACACAATTTACTTAGTTTGCTCCTCGTAGTCCAGTCCCCTCCATTCCCTCAGTCGTTTTGGTTGCCCTCCTCTGTATCTTCTCGATTTCTCCGATACGCCTTCTGTCCTGCGGCGACCAGAACTGCACGCAAGGACTCTTAAGTACGGTCTCGCCAATGATGTGTACAGTGGCAGGACGACCCCACTATTTCGGCTGCTATTGACCTGTTGGTGCATCCCAACGTCTGGTTTGCTTTACTCACCGACACAGAGCATTGTTGGGAGAGCTTCAGTTTATTGTCAATCAGGACCCCGCAGGTGCTTTTCATTTCCCACACACGTTATTTCCCTTCCATTCAAATAAATAGTCCCTTCCAGGATTTTTTTTTTTTGTCCCCGTGTGAAGTATCTTAACATTTCTCCACGCTGAATTTCGTCCGCCACTGATCCGCCCAATTCCCAAGCGCGCTCCAGTCCTCCTGCCACCTACCCCGGCCAGCTCCGCAACCTCCCACCCTCGTGGGCTCGGAGTCATCCGCCAACTTAGCCACCGTCCTGGTCCCCGGTCCTTCCTGAAAAACATTAAACAGAAGTGGTCCCAAAACAGGTCCTTGTGGAACTCCACCGGTAACATTTTCCCAGTTTGATGACCTCTCCCCGAGGTGCCACCCTCGCTCGCTCGCGAGGCGAGTGCTTCTAACTGCTGCGCTACAGTTCCTCCATTTAAATGACAGAAAGTTTTTTAAAGAAAATATTAAATCCCCCGCCCGCCCCACCGCACCCCCCCAAAAAAAAAATAGCTGGATAGAAATCTGCTGGTTTGGGGGTTGGACTGGGATGGTAACTATATTAAAAAAAAAGTTAAATCCGTTTGGAAATATTAATTCCGTGTGTATTTCCTCTCCTCTCGCAGAGTCCCTGGCTTTGGGATTCCAGGGAATGTTGGAACAAGTACCCCTTTCACGTAAGAATTCTTTCACTACCTCGACTTTATTTTGAAAAAAAAACACCAGAAAGTTATGCGATTTTTTTTTTCTAAAAAAAATCCTCGCGGTCGGTCGGAAAGTGTTTTTACTAATCATTTGTTGTTCCCGTTATTGTCAATGGACGATAATGACCCTTTGCGTCCGCTGCGGCGGCTTTCGCGTCAGCGGCGTCGGAGGGTTTTAACTGTCGAGTGTGGTGGCCGTGGGTTTTACTGCGCGTTGGAAGAATCATCGGAAAGATCAGCTTTAACGGGTAGTAGCGCGTTCGCTTCCGGGGAGGATGTGGGATCAGTTGGCACTACACGGGGCTGGTTTTCAAAGTACTTTCCTGGGATGGAGGGAGTGGCTGAGCTGGGTGGGGGCGTTGGGGCTGGGGGGTGGAGGGGGGGGAGGGAAGGGGAGCAAATAGGGCTACCTGGCCAAAGGCGCAGTTAAAGAGAAGAAGGAAGGGGGCGGTCTGGGTGAACCCTGCCCTCCCTTTGCAGGAACTCTCACTTGAAATCTACATCCATTACATGACGGAGTTCGGCTTCTACGGGTCTCTGATCTTCTCCCAGTTTTTCGACGTGAAAAGGAAGGTAAGACCGGCTCCCGCTGCCGCCGTTGGCCTCCCTCCCGCGCGGACCGGGCCAGTCCCGACAGGAGACGTTTGTGACGTCGGGGTGGTGGTGTGGGGGGGGGGGGGGAGTGGGGGGGTTGAGGCTGTTTTGTATTGCCCCCCAGGTTACCGACATTTTATCGTCGTCCCCTGAACCTCTCCCCTCCTCCCTCCTCCCGTATCTTATTCTTTCCCCGGTAAAAATTGCGGGATCTTCAACGTCCATCCCAAACGTTTGGTAAAATGGGAGGGTGGGGGCGGTCAGGGCGGGGGAGGGCGTTTCAGGGTGGAGGGATGGTGCGGGGTGGGGGAGGACCCCAATATAACGGTTATTTTTTGACGGCGGCGGCGTCTTCTTCAGGACTTTGTGGTGATGTGCATCCACCACCACGTGACCATCCTGCTGCTCACCATCGCGTACGTGGCCAATATGATTCGAGCCGGGGCCATTGTCCTTCTCCTGCACGACGCGGCTGACATCTTCTTAGAGGTGAGCGCGGAGCCTAAGTGGGGCGGGGGTGTGTGTTGGAGGAGAGAGGGGGGGGGGGGGGGGAGAGGGGGGGTATTGGGGTGGGGGGGGCTTGTCGACTGTCAATCCGCTCGTCAACTGGCCACAAAAATACACGGTCGCTTCGATAATAATACTACTACTACTAATAATTATCCTTGCACTTGACATAGCGCCTCATCACGTCTTTGAGAGAAACATCGAGGTGTAACCACGAGTCGGAAAAAATAGACTGCCCCCACCCCCACCTCCTCCTTCTCTCCAAACCCTCCCCCCCACTCCTTCTCCCCCACCCCCCCCCCCCCCACCCCGCTAACCCCTCTCCTCCTTATCTCTGCAGCTCGCTAAAATGGCAAACTACGCCAAGTGGCAGAGGCTGTGTAATACGTTCTTCCTGCTGTTCGCCGTGGTGTTCATCGTGACCCGGCTGATAATCTATCCCATCAAGTGAGTCCGTCCTCGTGTGGTCGCGCAGCGAGGGCAAGAGGACCTTCCCCCCCTAACCCCCCCCCCCCACTTTGAGGCAGCGCGTGTGACAATTCTAGCTGTCGGGTCAAAAAAAAGCCAGGCTCTCCCAACCCCCCCCCACCCCCCCACCCCACCCAACAGGTTACAGTCAGAGGGATCCACGAGGCCTGTTGGCAAAGCAACAACAACAACAAGATTCCATTGATAGAGCGCCTTTCACGTTGGGAGGACATCCCGAGGCGCTGGACATTGCTCCTGATCTGGTGGTTAGGATCAGGAGGGGTGGAGGGGCAGGGAGGGTGGGGGTGGGGGGGGTTAGGAGGGTGCCCAAAGGTACGATCGAAGAGGAGGGTCTTGAGCAGAGCTTTGAAGCGAGTGATTGCAAGCGTTTGAAGCGGCATTTTGAATCTGCCCCCCACCCCCATCGCCGCACCTTCCCCCCCCCCCCCCCCCCCCCACACACGTCTGTCTCCGTGACACGCTCTCTCTCTCTCTACGTTCCAGGAGTGTCAGGTCGGTGTTCTACGAGAGCTGGGAGATCATCGGGCCCTTCAGGATCTGGGGCTTCATCAACTTGCTGCTGCTCACCCTCCAGGTCATGCACATCTACTGGTCCTACCTCATCATCCGAATGGTCTTCAAAGCGTTTCACAAGGGAAAGGTGCAGCCCGCGCTCTCCACACCTCTCGCTCTCTCTCTCTCTCGCTCTCTCTCTCTGGGTCACACGCCCGCCAAAACTCACGCGGTCACTACACCTCGCGGCAAAATCCTTCCAAGCACCTCCAGATTTCCTCCCGCCTCACCCAAACCTGCAGATTATTATTAGTATTAGTATTATTATTAGTTTATTTTTACTAACCACGTGGTCTAAGGTGACTCTCCAGTGCAGCACTTCGCCCTCAGCAATGCACGGTCACTGCACTTCCCCGCGCATCCCGTCACGCGCTCTGAGACGTCTCGACGACGTGACCAGGCGCCGTATCAAACGCCAGGATTGTTACGGTTACCGTTCATTAACGAGACGTTTTGTTAACCACACCCGTCGGCCCAGTTCGTTGAGCGTAATCGCTGCGCTGGGGCCAAGCCCGAACGGTTGCAAATATTTCTCATGCAAATACGAGAAGGTGACGCTCTCTCTCCCTCTCTCTCTCTCTCTTTCTCTCTCTCTCAGGTGTCCAAAGATGACCGAAGTGATGTAGACAGCAGCTCAGAGGAAGAAGATCAACCGGACGCACGGAAAACACAGTGACGGTCCTTGTTTTTTTTTTTAGCGCAGTGACTCGATGGAACCAAGTACTTCTCAGGATTCAAGTGTGTCTTAAACAAAAAGAAAACAAGAGGCTTTTTTTTTTACAAAAAAAAAGCGCGAGAGAGAGAGAGCGAGAGAGAGAGAGAGAGACGGTCAAGATCGCATTTGCTCATTAGGATGTTTATTTTGTAACGTGTTCGTTTGGACAAAAAAAGGAAATGTACATTGGACTGTTTATATACCTGATCAAAACAAATTAAAATAAGATTTTTTTTTTCTAGGGCGGAATATTACACTGTAATTAAAACTCTCCCAAAGAACAATTAAGGATTTTTTTTTTTGGACCTGCTTTGCTGGAAACCTTTTTCTTCCTTTTGACTTCTGCAAATAAAACTTTACCTGTTTCGATTTTTTTTCTCTCTCTCTAAGAACAACACCTTACCTCCTCCTGCTTTTTTTTTTAACTTTTCTCGTCTCGAGACCCTCCTCTTCTTCGACTGCGCCTTCGGTCACCCTCCTACCCCCACTCCCTGCCATCCAACCCCCCCCCCCTCCTGATCCTAACCCCTGACTGTCCAGCGCCTTGGGACGTCCTCCCGACGTGAAAGGCGATGTGTAAATGTCATTTGTTTTTTTTTCCCCACCTCTTCGCTCGCTGCTCGTCTCGCAAAGTTTGCAGTACGGGGAAATTCTTACCCGGGTCCGATGGGGAGAGAGGAGGGGGATGGGATTAGAGCAGAGAGCTCCAGTGGTGGGGGGAAGCGAGCACCAGCACAGCCGCGACGGGGAGAGAGAGCAGGGAATGGGATTAGAGCAGAGAGCTCCAGTCACTATTATTTCTAAACACCAACACGCTCGCAATCTCTCCCGTGGCTCAGTCGCTGGGAATCGGTTCGATTTGCGCACACAACCAGATTCCAACCCGACGCCCAATGGATCACGGAGTGAGACGTGAAACCCTGAACTTCCTGGCAACGTTCCCAGGGTAACACATGGAAGAGAGGGAATTATCGTGAGTTCCTGGCCAAACTCCACAAAGTCACCCCCCACCCCCCCCCAAAAAGAAATGGATATTAATTGGCTGTTCTGCTCTGTGGCTTGTTTTTCACACGTTAACTACAGGGTTGCTCACCACAACAGTCACTACATTTCAAAGCTTTCACCCACGTAGTACACAGTCGATTAACTTTACAGTATATTCTGTGAAGCGCTTCGAGACGTCGCGAAGATGTGAAATAATAGCAATTTGATCGCTCGATCCGCGAGTGTTTGCGGGGGACGCTGCTGCGCGCGATTGGCTGCCGGGTTCCACCCACGAAATATACAGTCACCACCCTTTCGCAGCGCGCGTTCTGCGAAGCGCTTTGAGACGCCTCGAAGACGTGATTAGGCGCTGTGTCAAATGCCAGGATTATTATTATTATTATTATCCACTTTCGGAAGCGTCGTTCGGCTCCACGTCTCAGAGGCTCGGTGACATTTCTGGAAACGTCTGGAACTCTTCTCTCCAAAAAAAAAGTTTGGCAGAAACTTCTGTGTGTGGGGGGGGGGGGGGGGGGGTAAGTTGGTGTGAGAGACGGCCTCCGTGGCCAATAGCCTGTGGTGTGAGACAGCTGTGCTAACGGAGGGGAACCATTGTACGTTGGCAAAGGGCAGAACATGTGATGAAGTGGATGACCAGAAACCCTTCCAAAAATGGGCAAACTAAATATAGACACCAGGGACCTGCTTTTACAAGGCAGCAACTGCCTTATGCGCGACTGTTTCCTAAACGTTTGTAAACTTGGTTGAAACCTTCGGCTGAAAACTTTCTTTTCCCTTCCAGTTTTCTTCTTTTTTTCCTCTCTTTTTTTCTTTCTTTCTCTCTCTCCTCTCTCTCTCTCTCTCGCTCTGGGACTCAACCATGCCCAATGGGGAAGAAGGAGCTTGCAGGTATTTTTATACATATATATATATTATATATATAGATGTTACTGGGAGGGCTGTGTTCTAATTTAATGGGAGGTTGATGCAATAGAAACAGACACCATTGAGGCTTGAGTGACTGATGTTGGTTTAAATAAAAGTGGCCCCTCGCAAATGGGGGTGTAGTTTAAAGCTTATGTGAGCCCTTCTCACCCCCATCCTGGGCTTTGACTGACAGTGGGTGGGGTTGGGGGGGGGGGTGGTGGGGGTTGCTCAGGAGATTTTAATTCCAATGGGATTGTTGAGAGAATTCCTCCCCCCCCTTTTTACGGCAGGTTTAAGACGAAATAAAATGTCTCGTTCACTTATCTCAATCGTTCAGCTACAACTTTCACAGTCACTACGCTTCACGGCGAATCCCGTGGCGCGCTTCGGGAACGTCCTCCGGAGAGGTGAAAAGCGCTGCGGCGAACTCACGGATTATTATGACGACGACGATGAGGATTATTCGGATTATTTTAGTCATTTTAGGTTTAAAATTTCAAGGCAACGGCTTTCACTGACGACGAGGCCAAAGCTCTTACAGTTGTGAGAAGTTCTGGAAGTTTTTTTTTATATATGTATACGTATATATATAAAAGCATCGGTTTGAAGTTTGCTTCGAAGCCTAAAACAAGGATCGCCTGAGGTTTGCCTTATTTTAAACGTCCCCTTTCTTCTCTCTCTTTATTTTTATTTGCAGGAAACCCTCGGCGGCGTACGACCACAGGCAGCCGGCGAAAACCCAGTGGTACGACCGCAAAAACTACGTGTTTGTCGAGTTTCTGGTGGAAGACAGCAAAGAGGTCGACGTGAAGATTAAAAAAGATCGGCTGATATTCAGGTACAAACTGCACCGGTCGCAGCTGGTAACGGTCTGCGTCAGTGGGTATGAATAATAATAATAATAATCCTTGCGTTTGACGCAGAGCCTTGTCACGTCTTCGAGACGTCTCAGAAGTTTCAACATGATCCATTCCAAAAATAAATAAAATTTGGTCGCTCCGTCCGCGAGTGTTTGAGGGGACGCTGCTGTGCGCCATTGGCTGCCACTACGTCTTCCAGTATATGCCGCAAAGCGCTTTGAGTCGCCTCGAAGACCTGATAGGACGCTGTGTCACACGCGAGGGTTATCATTGCTGTTAAAGTGTAGTGACCGTATGTTCTGTGGGGGCGAAAGGCGGCAGCCGGCCGCGCACAGTCGTGGATTGAGGGACCGACTTGAGGAGGGATTTGTTCGCAAGTCGCTCTGAACCCCAGTGACACTCGTTCTCCTTCCTCAACAGTTGCAAAACAGAGGATAATGTGGAGCTGTACAATAACATTGAGCTGTATACAAGAGTGCAGCCCAGTGTAAGTAGTGCTCACCAGCATTGAGCCGACAGCCATCGCTATTCTTCACCGGTAACTAGTACAGCAACGACAACAACAACAACAACAGAGCTCCTCAAGTCGGGAGGACATCCCAAGGCGCTGGACAGTCAGGGTTTTGTGGACCCGAGCTGGGGGTTGGGATCAGTAGGTGGCGGAGGAGGGTGACCGAAGGCGAGGTTGAAGAGGAGGGCCTTGAGACCTGCCTTCAAGGAGGCGAGGGATGGAAGGGAGGGGAAGGGGGAGGCGGGGGGATTGTGGGATGGAGTGCCAAAGGGTTTGGGGGGGGGGCGCAGGGTGTCAGCAGGCTGGGGTGCCAGAAGCGCGAAGTTTGGGTTGGGAATCTTAGTCGCGAAAGCCTCGGTGGGACGTCCTGCCCTTTGCTCGTCCCTAAAACGCCTCTGTTATGTCTCCCCCCCCCCCGTGGACGGACCAGGATTCGAGAGAAAAGCGCTCGGATCGTTCGGTGACGCTCTTCATGAGGAAGGTGGAAGGTAAACGAGCCTGGCCGCGACTGACCAAAGAGAAGGTCAAGGTACGTTTGCCTTGGGTTGGACATGCGTGGCTCCACGGCTTGTCGGACGCCCCCACCACCCCCCCCCCCACCCCCGCCCTCTTGTTTTTACTGCGCTGCCGGAGAATTTGCGGCGATGTCCTGAGTAACCCGGTACAGTTAGGGTTCAGCAAAATTCCCAGTCCCTCCCTGTTGGTGAGTGCGTTGCTTAACGTAGCTGTTTGGCTTCTCCTTGAAGAATATCCCGTGAAGCGCTTTGAGACGTCTCGAGGACGCGATAAGGCGCCATATCAAACCCGAAGAATATTATTGTATTAATATTATTTCAATAGCCGCTAGTCATATAAAACCCAATAAATATACCCCTCCTACCCCCCACACCACCACCCCAAAACCTTGGCTCCTGCCAACCCCTATCTCTGGGATTTCCATGTGTAGGTGAGATACATGGAATTCTCAGTTGGGTTTGGAGACTCTTAAGGATGGTGACGGGTTTGCTGAGCAGAATAAAAAAGTATGCGACACAGATATTCACAAAAGTGACGTAAATGCACCCGGCTGACCCCCACCCCCCACCCCCCCCCCCACCCCAAACCCTCCCCCCCAACCCCCCCTCCCACCCCAAACAAAAATGAAGGAAGGAAGGAAGGAAGGAAGGGATGTATCAATGAATGGGCTGTAACTCCTCACACAGTTAGCCCCGACACAGGCGCCTTGTGTCTAACTCTGTGTGTGTGTCTGCGTGTGTGTGTGTGTGTGTGTGTGTCTCTGTGTGTGTGTGTACCTCTGTGTGTGTGTGTGTGTGTGTCTCTGTGTGTGTATGTGTCTCTGGCACAGCACGTCTGGCTGATGGTGAACTTTGACAACTGGAGAGACTGGAGCACCGACGATGACCAACTCCTGGACATCCAACAGTACGCGGAGGTGAGGCCAGCTCTCGCCATGCGGCGTCCTCACAACAACAACAACTTGCACTTCCGCGGCGCCCTTCACGCGGGGCAGCGCCCAGGAAACGACCTCGCAGCCCGTTCCCCTCCCCCCCACCCCACCCCGCTCCGCGTGCCTCACAACTTCCAGCTCAATCTTGTCTGTCTTCTCTTCGAGCTTCATTGTGGAGTCCCCGTGGTTAATGGTTAGTGGTTAACCCGCTCGCCTCTCAAGCGCAATGACCCCCCCCCCTCCCTGGTTCGATTCCTGGGCGGGTCAGCGCGAAACCTCTGGCAAGTTTCCTTACCCCACACGCTTCCCCCTAAGGGGCTGAGCCCCACTCGGTGTAAACTTGGCCGTTTCTGTTCCCAGATGATGAAAGACATGAAGGACAATGGCCCTCCGCCTTCGATGGACGACCTGGATGTAAGTGTGTCAGTCGCTGGGAGTGGTGACAGCTCAGTATCTCAGCTCTCAGTGGGTTCCCCCCCCACCACCACCCCCCACCCTCCCAACCCAAGGCTGCCCTCCCCAGCTCTGCGCTCCCTTCCCCAGGACACCTCCAGCTCCCAGCCCTGAGCCACACAGACGGGTAACGCCAGCAGGGAAAGCTCTAGGGCATACGGAGCAGGAGGAGGCCATTCAGCCCACCGAGCCTGCTTCGTCAGTTTCTTAGCTCTTTTGATCCCATCTCTCCATCTTTCCTCCATAGCCCTGAATATCGGCCACAAAAATACACGGTCACTCCATTTTACAGTGTGTCACGTGAAGCGCTTTGAGACGTCTCGATGACGCGATAAGGCGCTGTATCAAATGCAAGGATTATATTATTAATATTATTATTATTATTATACCCTGATTAATCCAACCTCCTTTCAAACATCCTGTTTGCTTGACGAGATCACAGGAGTGGTTTCGATGAACAATTGTCATTTGTGGGCGTGATCTTCTCCACGTTACAACAATTTGTTTTTTAACACTCGACCCCTTTCTAATTCCCCCCTTAGGACGACTGACTGCGGAGACCGAGAACCGAGGTAAGTTTCTAAGGGCTAAAGGCTAACGCCCACACAACACACAGTCACAGCGCTTTACAGCGAAATCATGTGAAGAGCTTCAAGACGTTATTATTATTATTACTCTTAATATTATTATTAATTATCATTAACTCAAAACGTCACCCAGGGTGAATAGTGCTGTCAGAGGCGAGAAATGATTTGTATCTATTCAGCCCTCGCACGGTTCAAGTGTTTGATTTGAAAGCTTGACGGGAAGGTGGGTTCGGTGATTTCTGATGGAATGTCTTCTCATCGACAGGGCCGGGCCGGAAGCCAGAGGAGGAAAGGGTCAGAAGCAAGGGAGAGACCAATGGGGAATACGAATGGCCATGAAGACATTTTCCGTGTTGCTTTGAAGAATCTATTAAACCTCCCAATACGTTTCCCGTACGAAGAGTGTGGTTTGTAGAGAAAAGTCAGGCGTGTGTGTGCGTGCGTGCATGTTTAGTTGAGTGAGGGAAGCTTTTCCGAAGGCCGAGAGGTGAGTTGAGCCCCACACAGGGGCTCGTAACCCTGATCTGTGCAGAGTTAGCGAGCAGATCCCACCAGGGGCAGGAGCGAAGGGTGCACAGTTGGTATCAGGGGGTAAAAATCAGCCTGGGTCCCAGTTTGGAACTATCTCCATCTCTGATCAGGACACGATCACTTGGCTATGATTGCGTTCACCGTTAACAATAACAGCAACAAATTACATTTGTGCAGCGCCTCACAAGATCTCCCGAGGCGCTGGAAAGGCCCAAAGGCAATAAGGAGCACTCGGGAGAGAGTTCGGGATGCGGAGAGATACCAGAGAACATCTGTGGAACCGTCTCGATTAGGAGGGAAAAGACACCAAATGCTTTCAGGGGAAATTGGGATGTATTGCGATGTATTTAAGGTGTGCTGTGGAGTGCAGAAACCCTGTGTGTTTGTTGCGTTCATTTATACCAGTGTAATAAAGAGGTTTGTATCAACTTCTGCTTATTTATTCATCCGGGGGCGGAAGCAACATCAACAGGCAGATGGATGGAAATGAATCGAAAAGAGAAGATGGCGCGAGGGGAAGGGAAGGGGGGAGAGACCGAGAGGATTAGACAAATCGCACGCTTAAGAGATCCCCAACTGTATATTTTGTGGGCGAAACGCGGCAGCCGGTGACTCACAGCAGCGTCCCCATAAACAGTCGTGGGTTGAGTGGCCACATTTTTTTTTATTGCTGCCTCAAATGCGGACCCGACAACGTAGCTCTCGGCAGACGCAGCGGTAGATGATGTGTAGTCTACTGGTAGACTAGTAGACGGGTCACACCATCTCACACAAGGCTCTGATTTAGTGGATGTGATTTAGTGTACCTTGGCTTGAACAATCAACCCAAGCCTTTGGGAGGACCTTTGACCATCTGCTGATGAAATGTTAGAGGAAGAGCCAGAGGGATCCAATGAGTGAGCAGGAGTGAGTGAGTTCCACTTCCTGGCAAACCACACCCTGTTATTCCTGTTATTGAACCCGCCATTGATTCCTTAAGCAAATAAGGATGGGCACACCTTCTTCCCAGAGACCTGGAGTACCCTAATGGTACGTAACAGCATTCAGACCCGGGAGGGGGCGAAGCCTCAGGCAAGTTTCCATACTCCACACACAAGCCTCTGTTTACCGAGTAGTAAGTTGGAACCTGATTGCTTGGCGGATCGCTTTTAGGGGTGATAATCCCCCTCTCCCCCTTCACCCGGCAGTAAACACTGTTGGAAGTTTATCTGGCACTTGGCAAACGCACGGCCACATAAAATCATTTTACACCCACGCTTTGGACTTTTATTACACAAAGAGCCGTTTATGTGGGTGTTGCTGTTATTATAAAAGACCATTTATCATACGGTGAACTCCTGATAACTTGTGGCTCCGAAAGAAGAGGGCTCAGTGACTAGTTATCAGGAGCGGGATTGAGTGACCCAATTATTATTTTTTTAAGAGATGATTGCCCCTGAAAAAGCAATCCGCCAAGCGATTGACAACTAGGTTCCTGACTTACTGCTACCAAAACAGAGGCACGTGTGCAGAGTAAGGAAACTTGCCTACGGTTTCGCCCTGACCCGCCCGGGAATCGAACCCAGGTCCTCTCGCTCTAACCATTACGCTGCTGGACTCCCCATTCGCGGGGTGGAAGAAGACCAGGGAGTAATTTCGGACATGACATGGTGCAAGCAACCGCCAGGATTTTGTTGCTTGAAAATATACTTATATCGATTTATAAATCATTAAAATAATTTGTACGCGACCCCCCCCCAACAAAACACACAACGAACTACAAAACACCCTCCGCGATCTGTGTCCAGACACAAAGCATTGCGGGGAACGGGCTCTCTACAGGACGAGCGGCCACTGAGGTGCAACTGCCAGAATGGTGGAAGGTGGTATTATTAATAATAATAATAATAATAATAATAATAATAATGCATTTGATGCAGCGCCTTATCCACGTCCCCCGCCCCATCCGCCCCACCCCTGTCGGGAGAGCCTTCAGCCACTCTGCCCCCAACCTCTGGAATTCCATCCCTCCGTCACTCCGCCTCGCCCCCTCCTTAGCCTCCTTCAAATCCCGCCTCAAGACCCTCCTCTTCGACTATGCCATCGGCCACCCCCCCTCCTTTCTTCCCCCCCCCCCATACCCCGACCCCAGCTCGGGTCCGAAACGCCGTACACTTGTCCAGCGCTTTGGGACGTCCTCGGGACTGTGTAATTTTTTTTGGTGGTGGGTGGGGTGGGGGGGAGAAGGCGGGGGTTGGGGGCGAAACGCCGGGGGGTGTGGGGGGGTGGTGGTGGGGGCGATGGACTGGATGGTCTTATTTCGTCCGGCAAATTCTTTCGCCCCCCCCCCCGCCCCCGTGATGTTTAATGTCATTTACTGCCCAAAAAGGGGGAGTTTTTGCTGTAGGGTATTTGTGGGGGGGGGGTCAGGGCAAAGGGGGGAGGGGTCAGGGCAAAGGGGGGGGTCAGGACAAAGGGGGGGCGGGGCCGTGTTGATTGACAGGCGACGGCGATACAATGTGTCCCACCCGTCGCTCCTGAGTGTCTCCCCTCCACTGCGCACGCGCGGCCAGGCCCGCAGCCCCGCCCACTCTGACCTCATTCACAAAACCGAAAGTGGCTACAAATGTGTGTGTGTGTGTGAGAGCGGCAACATGGCGTTCGCGTGTCAGAGAGAGAGCTACAGCAGAGAGGTGAGAGGCCCGGCCTCAGGGCACCCCCCCCCCACACACACACACACACACTCACACACACCCCCCCCCCCACACTCACACACACACACACACACCCACACTCACACACACACACACACACCACACACACACACCCCCCCCCCACACTCACACACACACACACACACACACCCCCCACACACCACACCCCCCACACACACACACCCTCACACACACACACCCCACACACCCACACTCACCCCCCACACACACACACACCCACACACCCCCCCCACACACACACACAGACACACCCACACACCCACACACACCCCCCCCCACACACACACACACCCACCCCCCCACACACACACACACACACCACACCCCCACCCCCCCCACACACACACACCACACCCCCCCACACACACACACACCCACACACACACACCACACCCCCCACACACACCCCCACACACCCCCCCACACACACACCCCACACACACTCACACACACACACCCCTCCCCCCACACACATACCCCCCACACACACTCACACACACCAACCCCCCACACACACCCCACACATACACCCCCCACACACATTCACACACACCCCCACACACACACACTCTCTCTCACACACACCCCACACACACCCCCACACCCAGTGTGTGGTGTGTGTGGGTGTCTGTCTGTTTGTCTCTGTTGAAAAGCTGGCACAGCCGGTCAGTGTTTTGGATCCCAACAACAACCAACTGCATTTACACACAGCGCCTTTCATGCCGGGAGGGCGTCCCAAGGCGCTGGGCGGTGAAGGGTTTTGCACCAGAGCTGGGTGGTGGTGGTGGTGGTGGTGGGAGGTGGGGTGGTGGAATAAAGAGGGGGCGGAGGGCAGGCAGGTTGGGGGTAGGAGGGTGACGGTCCAACAGGAAGCCCTTGAGACTGGCCTCGGAAGGAGGCGAGGGAGGGGTTCCGGAGGGCGAGGGCAGCGAGGGCTGAAGTGCCCCCCGAGCAGAGACGGGGCACAGGGGCTGGTAACGTTTCAGCAGGTGGCACGGGGTAGAGAGGAGCAAGACCGTGGAGGGCTTCGAAAGTGAGAAGGAGGATCTTGAACTCGATCCTCTGGGGGGGGGGGGGGATGAGGAGCCAGTGGAGCCTGGCGAGGGTTGGGGGGTGGGGGGGGGGAGAGGACGCGAGCTGGAGAGTTCTGAACCATCTGCAGCGCTTGTGGAGGGAAGAGTTGGGAAGTCCGGCGAGCAGGGAGTTAGCTTGGCCAAGCCTGGATGAGGGCCTTGGCGGCCGGAGGGTGGAGGCAGAGGAGGGAGATGTCGCAGAGTAACCGCCCCACCCTCTGGAACGCCATCCCGCAGTCCCTCCGCCTCGCTCCCTCGCCTCCTTCAAGGCCCTCCTCTTCGACCGACCGTGCCTTCGGTCACCCTCCTGCCCCCTTACCCGCCCTCCACTCCCTCCTGATGCCAACCACCAGCTCGGGTGCCGATCCCTGATCGTCCAGTCGCCTTAGGGCATCCTCCCGACGTGAAATGTAATCTGTTGTTGTTGTTGTTGTTGCCCTTTGCTCCCAGTTCACCAGCTCAGTGGTGTCCTGCACTCCGGCAAAACTGAAGACCGAGGTGAACGGGAAGAAGGAGGAGTTTGACGGCTACAATGTGATCCTCAAGGACACCATCTTATTCCCCGAGGGAGGGGGACAGGTAAATGGGGTGGGGTGGTGGAGGGGGGGGGGAATTTGCAGAGCGGAGGGACGGAGTGAGTGGGGGAAGAGCGCGAGAGAAAGAGAGAGGTTGGGGGGGGGGGGAAGGGGGTGTGGGAAGTTTACGGGAGCGACGTGATGTTCCGTTTTCCCAGCCCGATGATCGCGGGTACATCGAGGAGATCCCGGTGTTGAGGGTGACGAGGGAGGGAGGCGACGCCGTCCACTTCGTCCAGTCGCCCCTGGAGCCGTCCCATGAGGTTCACATCAAGATCGACTGGGATCGGAGGTTCGATCACATGCAGCAACACTCCGGTAAACGCGGCGCCTCACGCCCTCTGTACCCCTCGCCTTTACCGTTTACCAGCAGTCAGCGGGAACCCGGTCGTCAGTCGATTGGCGGATCGCTTTTCCGGGGGGTGGGGGGTGGGGTGGGGGGGGTAATAACCCCTTCCAAAAGAAAAAAAAAAATTTGGTCACTCAATCCACGGCTGTTTGTTTGTGGGACCTTCGCTGCCGTGCGCAGTTGGCAGAGTTTCCTTACGCCCCTGGCGTGAAAGGGCGCTACACCAATGTCATTTGTTGTCGTTTGTTTTCTCTCTCACCATCCCACCCCCACCCCCACCCCATCCCCCCCACCCCATCCCCCCACCCCATCCCCCCAACCCCATCCCCCCACCCCAGGGCAACACTTAATCTCAGCTGTGGCGGAATCCATGTTCGGTTTCGTAACGACTTCGTGGTAAGTCCGGGAGATTCTGTTGTTCTGTCTGCGAGTTTCCATCTCGCGCGTCGCTGGAGTGGGGAGGTTCCGTGAGGCTGAGGTTAAAGGGGGCCATCGGGGTGGGGGCGAGGGAACGGGGGGAGTGGGGGGTGGGGGAGGGGGGGTGCGGGGTTTCAACAACCACACATTACACTTACAAGACGCCTGCCCTTTCACATCGGGAGGATGTCCCAGTGCGCTGGGTGGACTGGACGGTCAGAGATTTGGGGGTTGGGATCAGGAGGAGGTGGGGGAATGGAGGGTGTGGGGGGGTGGGGGGGTTAGTGGGGGGGTGGGGGTGGCCGAAGGCACAGTCGAAGAGGAGGGTCTTGAGATGCGGCCTCGAAGGAGGCGAGGTAGGGAACGAGGGCAGGGCTGGTGGTGTTGTTGTTGCTGTTGCCCTCTGTCCTGCCGTTGCCCCGGGTTCTGAGCCCCTGTTGTTGCCCCCACCCCCCCCTCCGCCCCAGGGAGTTGGGCCGCCAGCGGAGTGTGATCGAGCTGGACACCAAGGCGGTGACAGCTGAGCAGGTGCAGGCGCTGGAGGCCACTGTGAACGAGCACATCAGGGCTCACCTCCCCGTCACCGTGCAGCTGGTCTCGGCCGACCATCCCCAGGCCGAGAAGGTACTCACTCGCGCCAGTCACACAGCGTCTGATCAGCTGTACCCGTCGCCGTCTGCGTCCCTCTCTGCGTCCCTCTCTGCGTCTCTCGCCGCATCTCTCGCCGTGTCTATCTCACTCTATCACTGTCTGTGTCTCTCTCTCCGTGTCTCTCTCCGTATCTCTCTCCGTGTATCACTGTCTGTGTCTCTATCTCTGTCACTGTCTGTGTCTCTCACTCCGTGTCTCTCTCCATGTCTCTCTCTGTGGGTGTCTCTCTCTGTGTGTCACTGTCTGTGTCTCTATCTCCGTCTCGCTCTCCGTGTCTCTCTCCGTCTCTCTCTCTCTCCGTGTCTTTCTCTGTGTGTGTCTCTCTCTCTGTGTCTATATCTCTGTCACTGTCTGTGTCTCTCTGTCTCTGTCACTCTGCCACAGAGAGGGAGAGAGAAAGAGTGGGAGAGAGGGAGGGGGTTGAGGTGGAGGGAATAACATAAATAAAGTAAATGATTGTCGATGGTGTGGGTGTGAAGCTGTGCGTTACCGGTCAGGTGTCTGTTGCTAACCGGAGCCCTCTTCGTCTTGTCCTGTTCCCAGTTCGGGAGCTCAGGATTACCGGGAGACCGGGCGGGGCCCATCCGGGTCATCGAGATCCCGGGAGTGGATCAGAACATGTGCTGTGGGACACACGTGTCCAACTTGAGCCACCTGCAGGTGAGCGCGGGATCCCCGACACGCGTGTGGGAAGCAATCCGGAGTGTGTCCGCTTACTCTGTAAATACACAGTGGGTGGGTGTGTGTGCATGTGTCTGTGTGGGGTGTGTGTGTGTGTGTGTATGTGGGGTGGGTGTGAGCGTGTGTCTGTGGGGTGGGTGTGAGCGTGTGTCTGTGGGGTGTGTGTGTGTGTCTGTGTGGGGTGGGTGTGTGCGTGTGTGGGGTGGGCGTGTGCGCGTGTGTCTGTGTGGGGTGGTGGGTGGGTTGGGGGAGGTGGGTGCAGGAGTTGGAAAGGAAGGGGCGAGCGATTGTGGCTCCATCGCAGGAGCGAGGGATTTGGGAATTAAATGGCGTCGGGAAGAAACGGCAGAGAAACCGGGACCATCTGCCCCGACATAACAGACTCGCAGGAACAGGCTCGCGGGCTGGATGGCCTCGGCCCGCTCCTAGTTATTCCTCCTCACCGCCCACTCGGCGCCTCTGCCTGACCCTCAGGTCATTAAGTTGCTGGGGACGGACAAAGGGAAAAAGAACAAAACCAACCTGATTTTCCTGGTCGGCAACCGAGTCCTGAGCTACATGGACAAATGCTTAGCAACCGAGAGAGCGCTAACTTCGCTCCTCAAGTGAGTGACCCTCTACCACCCCCTCCGTCTCTCCCCCCCCCCCACCCCATCCCATCGGCCCCCCCCCCCACCCGGCACCCCTGTCGATGTGGAGTCCTCGCAAGTGGGAGGACCTGAGTTTGATTCCCGGGCAGGGCGGGGCAGGGCAGGGCGAAACTTTGGGCGAGTTTCCTTACTCCGCGCACACGGGCGCCTCTGTGTGCCTCGCAGTCGATCGGCGGATCGCTTTTCCGGGGGTGGTAATCCCTTCCCAGAAAAATAATCATTTGGTCGCTCAAGCCGCGGGGGTCGGGGGGGGGGGGGGGTGGACGGACGCCGCTGTGCGCAATGGGCAAAAATACTACGCAGCCGCTTCACTTCCCAATGTATCCCGTGAGGCGCTTTGAGACGTCGCGACGACGCGGTGAGGCGCTGGTGCAAAGGCAGCGATTATTATTGTTATTATCGGACAGGAACGGCCCGAATGAGCACGTGCAAGGGGTGGACAAGCTGCAGAAATCAGTCAAGCTCCTGCACAAGGTGAGGCGGTGTCGATGGGATCTGGGCGTTGATTAAACCTTTGGCGTTGGTGTCGGCCTTGCCTGCAGGCACACAGTCACTACACTTCGCGGCGAGATCCTCCCGACGCGAAGGGCGAGGATCAATGCGAGATCTGGAACAGCCCCCCCCTCACCTCCACACCCCTTCGTACCTCCGTGACCTCCTCCCTCCTCTCCTCACTCGCTGCCGCCACCCCCCCCCCGCTTCTCCTGCCACCACCGTCCTCTCCCGCCCGCCCCCACCCACCACGCTCGGGGTGAGGGTGGTGGGTGGGGGGGGGGGGGGGGAGGGGGCTGCTGTTTATTCCTCGCTGACCCCTTTACTCTCATTCCTTCGGCCGCTGCAGAACAGCGTGAGCATGCTCAGGGACCTGGCCATCATGACGGCCAACACCGTCAAGAGTGACCCGAACAAGGGCAAGATCTTTGTATTACACAGGTCAGTAATGTCACTGCTCACTTCCCAACACTTCCCTCCCCTCCCTCCCTCCCTCGATCACTCCCTCCCTCCCTCCCTCGATCACTCCCTCCCTTCCTCCCTCACTCCCTCCGTAAGCTGCAACTTGTGTCCTTTCCCGCACCAAGACCCGTCTCAAGAACCTCCTCTTCGACTTCGCCTTCGGTCACCCTCCCACCGCCCCAACTCCCCACCCTCCATCCCCCTCATCTGATCCCAACCCCCCGCCCCCGCTCTCCCCCCCCCCCCACAGTTGCGGGGTTGGGATCGGGAGATCTCGGTGTCGTTGCTCTGATGTTTCTCTGTGATTTTAGGAAGGAGGGCGACAGTGAATTTATGAACATTCTCGCGAACGAACTCGTGGCTGAGGTGAGGACCATGTCACGAACACAACAACTTGCCTTTTACGCAGGGCCCCCCCCCCGCCACACCCCCCACACCCCTCACCCCTGGCAGCGTCCCAGAGCCGGGGAGGGGAGGGCGGGGGGTGCAAGTCGGAGGGATAGAGGAAGAGTTTCGGGGCGTATTGGCTGAAAGTGCGGCTGCTGATGGTGGACCGGAGGGATTCTGGGCACCTGACAGTGTGAAGGTAGTGACTGCGATTGCCGGTTGGGGTCCTGGCTCTCTGACCACTGACCCCGCTCTCTCTCTCTCTCGCTCTCTTCCCCCCCCCTCCCCCCCCCGCAGGTGGAGCTGCTGTTCCTGACGGTGGGCGAGGAGAAGGGATCGGGGCTCTTCCTGTTGGCCGGTCGGCCGGAGGCGGTGGAAACTCTCGGACCGAAGTAAGGACACGTTCACTCAGTCGGTGGGAGAGGGGGTGGTGGGGGGAAGGGGGTCATCCAAGCCATCACCTGAACCAGGCTGGTGGCCGGGTGTGAAGGGGATGGAGAGGGAGTAAAACCCACACAAAACCCCCTGAATATCTGCAACGTGATCTTATAAGCATTGTTCATCATGGTGGGCACCCCCTTCTCTTTAACACCCCCTCCTCCCCGCCAAACCACGCCACAGGGAACACGATGGGGGGGTCAAAGCACGAACGGAAACATGTCCTCAAGAAAGGGAGTGCTGTGAGGTGTGGGTGCGCGTTGATGGGTGGGTGCGTGTTGGTGGGCGGGTGCGCGTTGGTGGGTGGTGCGTGTCGGTGGGTGTGTGTTGGGCGCCTGTTGGTGGGCGCTTCTCTGGGGGTGCGTTGGCGTGTGCGTGTGAGTGCGTGATTGCGGTCAGCAGGCTCCCGGCCCCCGGGTGACCCTCTGTTGCGGTGTTCGGCCACAGAGCGCTGCTGTTACTGGACGGTAAAGGCGCCGGGAAGAATGGCCGATACCAGGGCAAAGCCAACAAGATGGGCAAACGACCCGAGGTGGAGGCTTTGCTGCGGAAACACCTGGAGACCCCGGACACGAAGGAGGAATAGAGTCCGGAACAGACAGACAGACAGACACACACTGTAAAACAGGTTAACGTGCAATCTGGGCTAAATAGCCCACGTCCTAACCCATGCAGCCTCCCCTAGTGAGCGTTAAAGACATGACGGGTGATTCCACTGAAACTGCTCACGCTTCAATACTGACTTGAGGGCCAGCCGCGCCTGATTTACCCACGGTTAGCCCAACCCGCATTTTAGCCCAACCCCGTGCGCGTATCAACCCGCTTGTACGACCTCTTCTGTTTATTGCTGCCGCTGTTGTTATCGTCGTTTAATGCTCTGCTCCCTTCACAGTGTGGTCAACGTCAGGCTTTTACACGTTGACAGGATATTTATTATTTTCTCTACTTTTAACGCTGTTATTTTTAGCCGCCGTCGTACTTTCCGACGCGTGTTTACTGTGTCGTCAGATCTGGTTAAAATTGTTGTGAAATTAAAGTTCGGTTTGACTTTTCTCCTGAGTGAGGGGCTCTCTGTGTTCCTTTCCCCCCCCCCCCCACCCCCCCCACCCACCCCCCACGGGTCCCACGTGCCCTTTTCAGCACCGGGGTTTGAACACGGTGGTTCGAGCCCTCGCCTCGCAGGCGGGAGGACCCGGGTTCGATCCCCGGGTGTTGGGCGAAAACCTTCGGCAAGTTTCCTTCCTTCCTCCACACACGCGCACACACGTGCACACGCACACACACACACACGCACGCACTCACGCGCGCGCCTCTGTTTACCCGGTAGTAAGTAGGAACCCCGGTTGTTAGTGGATTTCGAGTATCGCTTTCTGGGGGTAATAATCCCTTCCCCTTAAAAAAAAAATCGGTCACTCAATCCACGGCCGCTTGTGGTGGACAACACCGCCGGGCGCAATTGGCTGCCGTGTTTCGCCCACAAAATACGCGGTCGCTGCGCTTTACAGCGCATCCGTTGCATCTCCGGGACGTGATGAGGCGCTGTGCCCAAATGTAAGGATTATTCTCGCTGTCAAAAAGCTGGTTAAACCGGGCGATACTTACCCTCCTCGCCCCTCTTTACCAGCCATCGGATCGGACGTGAAGACCTTACTCTCCGGCCGCGAACCGACTCCCCTCTCCCCCCCCCCCCCCCCCCCCCCACCCCACCCCCTGAGCTCGGTTTCGTGTTCCGCCAACAGTTGAGCAAGTGGTAGCAGTCACTCTGATGGCCAGAAGATGGCACCAGTCACGGACTCTGCAGCGAGTGTCTCAGTGTCCAGACCTCAAACTCATTGAACTGAACTGACCGCTTGGGTTCCACCCGCGCTCGCTCTCGCTCCCTCTCCCTCTCTCGTCGGGGGGTCAACCGATTCGTCGGGGAGGGCTTACGGGCTCACAATCCGGGCTGACGCTCAACGCTGGTGGGGGGGGAGGGTGGGGGGGTTCTTAGACGTTGCCCCCAACGCCTAAGAGTTTGGGTCAATAACGTGACCTTCTGTCAAATGCAAACGAGGGAGAGGGGTGGACGGGGAGAGGAGACAGCAAACACCAGGGTTAATAAATAACATTTGTACCTTACACAGGAATTGACCTACGACCTGTGCCCCCACCCCCACCCACCCCCCCCCCCACCCCCCATCCCACCCTCCGCACCGTAAACACCCCTACTCTGGAACAGCCTATCAGTGAGTGTGTGACCACAGCGCCAAACTAAATTAAATACCCCTTCTTATCACGTCTCCTGACATCGCGTCTTACCCCCCCATTCCCCCTCCTGATGTTGACCTCTCTTCCCCCCCACTTCAGTTAATGATCAGCCACATTGTCTGATTGTGGCTAAAACCTCCCGTCTCAAGCTCCGCACACCCACTCACCCCCTGCCACACACACACACATATATATATAGGAACTGGAGGAGGCCATTCAGCCCCTCAAGCCCGTTCCGCCTCTGGAACCTCCCTTCCCCACCCCCCACCCCCCACCACCCCTGTCCTCCCTCCAGTTCCCTCTCCCGTTGTTAAAGGTGGACACTCAGGATCCAGTGGGAGAGAAATTCGGAGTTCGGGGAAAGCATTGCTCTCGAGGGAGCGACACAAGACCCGATGGGCCGAACGGCCTCCTTCTGTGCTGTAAATTCCTACGGTCCCATATTAAATCTCCCCTCTCCCCTCTCCCGCAGTCTCTGTCTCCCCCACCCCCCACCCACCCCACCCCCTCCCCCCACACACCTTGGGAATACACATGGCCACAGACGTAAACATGATTAGTTTGTCACACATTAACCTCCCGCCCGTAATCTGTGAATTTCACCAAAATAACAAGAACAATTGCAAGATGGGAGGGAGGGGTGAAGGAGGTGGGGGGTGGGGGTGGCGACATGAGACAAGGCTCGGTCACCTATGGTGGGTTGGGGGCCAGAACGTGTATCAGGTCTGGGTTTAAGGCCCATCTCAAGACCTTTCACTTTGGTCGCGACTTTGGTCGTCCTCCCACTCCCACTTGCCCTCCGCCCCTCCTGATCCCAACCCCGAGCTTTGGTCCCAACCCTTGACTGTCCCGGCGCTTTGTAAATGTCATTTGTTGTTGATCTCCCCACCCCACCCCCCCCTCCGCACGTAACACAGTCACTCCACTTTACAGTGTATCCTGTGAAGCGCTTTGAGACGTCTCGAAGACGTGTCCAATGCGAGGATTTGTTATTATAATTAGTGCTGTTGCTGCACAGAGCGGAAAGAGGGAAGTCGGAGGTTGATGGGAGATGATGGTGAACCATCCCTGGGTGGGGGGGGGGTGGGCCTTGTAAATCCCCCTGTAGAAGCCGGGGTCCGGCCCGGTGCTCGCTCTCCGCACTTCACCGTGTCTCTCGGCCTCTCTGCGGTCGGTGTCCTGTGAGCAGTTGGCGATGGCTGTCTCGGGAGCTCAGGGGTTAGTGTGTGTGAGGCCACGGCTGTTTTGCTGCCTGGCGTTATCTGGGCTGTTTGCAACCAACGATCGGTAATCTCTGAGCAAACCCCGGGGTCCGAACGGAGTCATCGCCCTCCTCCGTCAAACCACGTCACTGGGACGGACCGAGAGCGAAATCCTAACGCACGTCCTGACCCCACAAGGCCGGGGTTTGTGACAAGACGCAGCCATGTTCCCTAACTGGCTCCCGCTGGCCCCCCCAGTCACGTCACTGCCCTGTGTGTCAGACGATTGGAGAGATCGCTCGCCCTGGGAAATAATCCCTCCCGAGAAAGAAAAAAAATAACGGGTCACTCAATCCACGGGGGTTCGAGGGACGCTGCCGTGCGCAATTGGCTGCCACGAAATGCACAGTCACTCCACTTTACGGTATATTCTGCGAAGGCACTTTGAGACGTCTGAGTCCAGAGCCTTGAATCGCGCTGTACAAATGTCATTTTTTGCTGTGGTTATATAATGATAATAATAATAATAACAATAGCAATCCCGGCCTTCGATGCAGCGCCTCATCACGTCTCCGAGACGTCTCAAAGCGCCTCACGGGATACGCTGCGACGGGGAGCGGCTGCGTGTCTTTGTGGGCGGGCGAAACCCGGCAGCGTCCCCACAAACTGTCGCGGACTGAGTGACCACAAATATTACTTAATGATTACGTTATTTATTTGTTTGTTTGTTTGTTTGTTTGTTTATTTCCCCCCCCCCCCCACCCCAAACCTCCCCCTCCCCCCACCAACCCTCTCCCCGGCCAACTCAGGGTTTATTCCGCGGACGAGAGCTTCTCACTGTTTCCGTTATCAGCTCGAGCCTCGTCTCAAAACCCAGCGAGAAAAACCAGGTCAATGCCGTGGCCGGCACAGGGCCGCGTCTGTGTCCCGCACAGCCCCGGGGACAGGGAGCCGGAGATGTCCCGCTCCAGTCGGGGCGCGCGGGGGCAATTATTCTGCTGTAACCTGGGGCGGAATCCACTCACTGTTATTCCCAACGTACACCCGGTAAGCGGCAATAATTGCTCTCCCCCCTCCCTCGGGCCCCGCAGCTCTCGCTCTCTCTCTCGCTCTCGCGCTCTCTGATTTAATAATAATAATAATAATAATAAGTCCTTGCTTTCGATACAGCTCCTCATCGCGTCTTCGAACGCTTCACGGAATACACGGTGAAGGGAATTGACTGTGTATTTTGTGGGTCGAAGCGCGGCAGCCAATCGCGCGGAGCAGCGAAACAGTCGTGGTTCGAGCGACCAAATTATTATTATTATTATTATTATTTTGAAGGGATAATTTTCTTTTTATCATAAAGAATATAATAATAATAATAATAATGATGATGAGAGCGATCCCCTTACATTTGATGCGGGTGCCTTTCCGGTTGGGAGGGCGTCTCAAAGCGCTTCTGCGAAGCGTAGTGACTGTGTATTTTGTGGGCGAAACCCGGCAGCCAATTCGCTCCCAGCCACGTCCCCACGACCCCACCCCCAGCCTCGAAGCGGACGACTGATTTTAGAAGGTGAATCGTTGGCCGAGAGAGAGAGAGAGAGAAAGAGAGAGCTCAGCGTCTGACAGATAAACTGAACGGCTAAATCATTTTCTGCTGCATCGTCGCTAAAACGCCCCGAGTCACTTTCCTCCCCTCCGCATTCCCCCCCACACCCCCCCACCCACCTCCCCTCCCCCCACCCCCCCCCACCGCCTCCCCCCACCGCCCCGAGTCGGTGTCTGTTTTTCTCTCTCTGGTTATCCATTAGAAGTCTCTCCGCAAAGGAGGTTTATTAAACGTTAACTGGGTTTGAGGCTCCAGACCATTCGACCCCGACCCCCCCCCCACCCCAGGTACCCTCCTGTGTCCCCGCCTTCGCCTCTCCTCTCCTCCGGTCATCGCTCGGTGACGGACCCTTAGTTTTAACCCCGCGCGTTATTCGCTGCTCCAACACCACCACCACAACTTCACGCGGGAAGGGGACGAGGGTTCCCGGAGCGATTAACAGCGGCGGCTATTCAACCGGCCGCGCGCAAGTGAAACTGCCCCGTTTCACCCACAAACACACACAGTCACTACGCTTTACGTTGTACCCCGTGAAGTGCTTTGAGACGTCTCGAAGGGCGCGCCGAGGCGGCATGTTGTCATGATCTGTTAAAGGCTGCAGAGAGAGAGAGAGAGAGGGAGAGAGAGAGAGATGTGTCCGTTAGTCCGGGCTGTGTCTCGCTGTCGGGCACGTGGGTCGATGAAGGGAATCCCGTGGCTGTAAAAAAGGCCGTCATAATTATTAAAGCGATTAAAAACCAGGCGCTCAGTCACTCGGGCCCATGAATGCAGCACGTGCAGCCTTTCCCTGGACTTTAGCCTCTCCTCGGCTTCAACGTTAGAAACCGTCTGCAGTTTAAGTTTTCCTGTAACGGTGACGATGTTTTCTCACAGCGCCCAACGTCGGGGTGGGGTGGGGGGTGGGGGGTGGGGGGGCGAGTGGGGGAGAACCGAATGGCGTTTGACACAGCTCCTCATCACGTCGTGGTCGAAACGCCTCGAAGCGCTTCACGGGATACACCGTAAAGCGCGGTGACTGCGCATTTCGTGGGCGAAGCGCGGCAGCCGACGGCGCACAGCGGAGTCCCCCCCACGAACGCTCGTGGATTGAGTGCCCGAATTACTGTTATTGCTATCATCATAATATTTTTTAAGGGGTTATGACTTTTACTTTATTACTTTGCTGCAGCAAAGCTCCCCCACCCCCCCCCCCACCCCCACACCCCCACACCCCGTCAACAACTCTGGGGGTAACATAAGGCAACAACAGAGTGTTTACAAGTTTGAGCTGTTGATTTTCCTGTCCCGAGTAACTGAGTTACAGAGTTTCACAAGCTCTTAATTAACACTCACTCGAAAACACCGATAACAAAAATGATGAATAAACAAAGCCGAAAGAGGCAGCAAAACTAAAACATCTCCGGCCGGGAATCGCCGACCGATCGTCTTCTCTCATCACAGCCCCCGAGACAAAGTGGTGCTCTGATTAAAGACGAAAAGCAATTTAACCTTTCGCCGAAATAACCTCGTTAGAGGGCGGGGAGGGTGGGGGGCGTTTAAACAACAGCAACAACAACAAAAGAAACCGCATTGCAAACACACACACACTCGCAGGCGCTGAGAAAAGCGGAAAAACAAAAACGCACAGAAGCAGATTTTGTAACCCGGTGTAGTCAGGAACTTTGTCTGACGATGTTACGGCTGTTTTTATTAACCCGATCAATAGATGGAGTGATTCCGTTTGTTTTCTTGTCAGTCGTAGGAGGATTCCATCAAAGCTGCGTCAGTTGGCGTAATGTGCTTTGCACGTGTTTTTTTTTTTTTTTTCTCAGTCAAGTTTGCTCAGTCCAAAGATCACGGTTTGCGCAGGTGTCTGTTGCCTGTGAGGGTATATAACGGACCCGGAGAGCTCGAGGCAAGAGTAGGAAACACACAGCGAGGAGAGGAGAGGAGACGAGAGGGACAGAGGCAGAGCGAGTGACAGATAGAGACAGACGGAGACAGACGCGGAGAGAGAGACAGAGACAGAGCGAGAGGCGGATAGAGACAGACGGAGACAGACGCGCGGAGAGAGACAGAGACAGAGCGAGAGGCGGATAGAGACAGACGGAGACAGACGCGGAGAAGGAGAGACAGAGACAGACACAGGGAGACAGAGAGAGACAGACAGACAGAGGAGAACATCACAGCGAGACAGAGACAGAGAGAGAGACACACACACACACACACACACAGAGAGAGGGGGAGACCTACCTCGGTGTAGATGGACGCTGGAATGGACCTGCTACACAGCTCTGGGGTGGACTTGGTGCAGTATCTACAGGTGAACTACAAGGATTCTCAGGGCTGGTTCACCTTCATCTCGTTCGTGGCTGACCTGAGGAACACCTTCTTCGTTTTCTTCCCCATCTGGTTCCACGTGTGCGAGGCCGTGGGGGTCAAGCTGATCTGGGTGGCCGTGATCGGGGACTGGCTCAACCTCATCTTCAAATGGTGAGTTTCCCAACCGGTGTCCGATCTGTCTAATGGTTGACAGTCTGCGATGGAGGGGGGGGGGGAGACGTGGGATGGGGGACAGGTCCACGCAAAACAGCCAAGGCGCGCACGGCGACGACTCCATCCACCGGGACGCCGCCGGGCGCCATCGGCTGCCGGGTTTCGCCCACCAAACGCGCGGTCACTACACTCGACAGTGTATCCCGTGAAGCGCTTCGAAAGGTTGGGTGCGAGTTGAGTTATTTTTGACCAAACGTGTGCGTTTCACACATGCGGTGTCGTCAATCCCTCGGACACATCTCACTGACTCTCTGCACCCCTCCCCCCCGATCCCACCCCACCCTCCCCCAACCCCCCCCCTCCCCCGCTCCCCCCCTCCCCTCACACTAGTGCTTTCTTTAACCCCTGATATGCCGCAGTCGTGAGGAGCCCTGTGCTGGAGACCATTGGCTTCTGACCCAATGGATCCAGCGTCGTTTCCGAGTTAACAGCCACAATGTCGTTGACTGATGGGTCCATTTGGCCAGGACTCTGGGAGGACAGACAGACAGACAGACAGACAGACAGACAGACAGACAGACAGACAGACAGACAGACAGACAGACAGACAGACAGACAGACAGACAGACAGACAGACAGACAGACAGACAGACAGACAGACAGACAGACAGACAGACAGACAGACAGACAGACAGACAGACAGCATTTGTGAGCGCTCAGTTCAGTGCAGGATTAGCACAATAGGTTAAAACACCGTCCACAACTTTTACCTCCTTTCACAAGGTTTATCATCAGCGATTTATAGCAATATAATAATAATAATAATAATGATAATAATAATAATAATAATCCTGCCTATAATGTTTAGGACATCTGAAAGCTCTTTAAAGGATTTTAATAATAATTAATAATAATCCTTGCATTTGGCATAGCGCCTTATCTCACCTCAATGGCGTATATAATAATAATATTATATGTAATACACACACACACATATATAGATAACATGCTATATCAAATGCAAGGATTATTATTATTATTCAACAAGAGCTCTGATGCTGTCTCTCAGTCACATACCTGGCATTAATAGGCAGGAATATTATATCATCATTAGTATTAGATGATCCTAAACACACTGACAGACACACACACACACACACACACACACACACACAGACACACACACACACGCACACGCGTACCCACACACAGAGCGATCAATGCTGTGACAATGACCTGCCCTTTGGGGTTGTTCTGTGCAGGATTCTGTTCGGACAGAGACCCTACTGGTGGGTGCACGAAACCTCTTACTACGCGGGCTCCCCCGTACCTGACCTGGAGCAATTTCCCATCACCTGCGAGACAGGACCAGGTAGGTACCTGAGCTCGGAGACCAGGAGGGTCGTGACCGGCAGGAAATCTGGGTTGGGTTTGGCTCTCGTGGTTTAAGCGCTCCGAGACGCTGCCCTGTGTGAAAGGCACTGTATTGTTGTTGTTGGCGTACCTCAAGACCCTACTCTCCTACCCCACCCCCCCCCCACCCCCACCCTCCCTGCCTCCCCCACCCTCTTCCTTCCTGATCACGGTTCGGGGGGGGGGGGTGGCGGAGGTAATAATCCTTTGATTAATATAGTAATAATTTGGTCGCTGAATCTGCGGCGGTTTGCGGGGGACGATTGGCTGCCGGGTTTCGCCCACAAACTGCGCCCGCGTCGGTTCACTTTACGGCAGTGTGTCCTGCGAAGACGTGAGAAGGCGCGCTATTAAACGCAAGGATCATTACAACTATTATATTGCCCTGGTCGGGTCCGAGTCCCTCGCTGTCCAGTGCCTTGGGACGTCCTTCCGACTGGGAAGGCGCTGTGTAAAGCCGTGCAAAAACATGTACGTCGTTGTTGTTGGTGTCGTTGTTGTTGTTGTTGTTGACCTGACGCCGCGCCCGTGTTACAGGAAGCCCCTCGGGTCACGCTATGGGGTCAGCGGGCATCTGGTACGTGATGGTGACAGCGGTCCTGACCTTTGCCCTCCGCAACAAGGAGCATCGCATCCAGAGCTGGTCAGTGTCCTGCTCCCTGTGAACGGTCACTTCGCCGCGTGAGAGCACCAACCGTTCAGGAGAACGGAGGGATGAATGGTCGGAGGGATGGATGGAGGGAGGGAGGGCCCTCCTGATTGGCTCGCGTCAGCGCCTCCGCACCTCAGGCGCTGACAGCGTCAGCATCCAAGGCCGCACTCTCCACCTCTCAAAGCCATCAGGAACCTCGGGGTTCTGTCCGACCCTGAGCTGTCCTTTCTCCCTCATATCCGCACCACAACCGGCACCGCCTTCCATCACCTCCGGAATATCGCCAGACTACGGCACTACCTCACCCCTCACGCGGCTGAAACTCTGGTCCACGCCTTTGTCACCTCAAGGCCGGACTATGGGAACTCTCTCCTCGCCGGCCTTCCCGGCCCTCCCTCCACACTGCAGGTCATTCAGAACTCTGCAGCTCGTGTGCTGTCCCGCACCAGACACCGCGACCACATCACTCCCACCCTCGCCCTCACNCCCCTCCACTGGCTCCCCATCCCCCAGAGGATCAAATTCAAGATCCTCATCCTCACCTACAAGGCCATTCACGGCCTCGCTCCCTCCTACCTCTCTAACCTACCATCCCCCTACCTACCTGCCTGTACCCTCCGTTCCTCTGGCTCCGGTCTGCTCCACATCCCCCGCCCCAACCGCCCTACCATCGGTGGCCTTCAGCCTCTCAGCCCCGAGGCTCTGGAACTCCATCCCTCAGTGCCTTCGCCGCCTCCTCCCTTTCCTCCTTCAAGGCCGGTCTCAAGACCTTTCTCTTTGACGGTGCCTTCAGCTCCCCTCTCGACTCTCTACCCCTTCCTCGCTCCCTCCCTCCCCTCACCCTGACCATTTCCCCCCCAATGCTCGGGTCCCGACCCAACTGTACAGCGCCTTGGGACGTCCTCCCGACGTGAAAGGCGCTTTATAAATGAAATCTTGTTGCTGTTGTTGAGGGGAGGGAGAGGGGGAGGGAGAGGGGGAGGGAGAGAGAGAGGGAGGGAGGGAAGAATAAAGGGATGAAAAGATACACACCTATTTGGAGATTATGGATTATAAGGGATTTACAGAAAAGACAGTAAACGGGGATGGAAGGATTTGCCGGGGTCCAATAAACCGGTGGAACAGGCTTCAGGGGCTGAACGGCATCCTCCTGTGCCTACAATCTCTCCTCCGGGAGAGGAGCTTTCGGCTCCGGGTTTGGTCCGGATGTAAACTGGGTGTAACGGGCGGAGTCCCTATTCGGGGCGGATTGTCAGGCCTCGAGCTTTAGGGGTGAGCGACATGGAAGTGGTGGGGGTAACCTTGTGCTGCTCTGTGTGTGACAGGTTCCTGCGAGCGGGGCTGTGGGGAGCCTTTTGGATCATGCAGATCAGCGTCTGTGCCTCCAGGGTCTTTGTGGCCACTCACTTTCCCCATCAGGTCTTCATGGGGGTCATCTCAGGTCAGTGCCTAAGCCCAAACCCCCCCCCCCCTCCCTCTCTCTCTCCCTCCCTCCCCGCCCCCTGCACCCCCCACCCAGGGCTCGCTCCATTACCCCGTTCACCCACAAAACTCACAAGAGCCGACATGAAAGACGCCGTGTGTTGCGTCAAACCCGAGGGGTGGTGGGGGGTGGGGGTGAGGGGGGGGGGCTTGTAGTTGTTTGGAGCCCAAACGAGAGGATCCCGGGTTCGATTCCCGAACGTTGGGCACGTTTCCTCGCTCCGAGTGCCTCCGTTCACCGGTCGGTCGTCAGTCGACTGGCGGATCGCGATTCCGGGGCAAATGATCTCTCTTTATTAAAAAAAATAATAATGATAATCGGGTCTCTGTCGGGCGCTTTTTAGACGTTATCGAAGACGCGATGAGGCCGGCGCTGTATCAAATACAGGGATTATTAATTATTATTATTACTATTATTATTAATAATGTATTGACTCATTGCTGTTGTTGCCTTTGTGCTCAGGGATGGTGGTGGCCGAGGCTTTCGGTCGCATCAACGGGATCTACAACGCCACGCTGGCCAGATACCTGAAGGTCACCCTGTTTCTCTTCTTCTTCGCTCTGGGCTTCTACCTGCTGCTCCTGGTGCTGGGTGTGGACTTGCTGTGGTCAGTGGAGAAGGCCAAGCGCTGGTGCGCCAGGGACGAGTGGGTCCACATGGACACGACGCCCTTCGCCGGGCTGGTCAGGAACCTGGGAGCCTTCTTCGGCCTCGGTCTGGCCCTCAACTCGCCCATGTACGCAGAGAGCTGCGGGGGCAAGAGGGGGCGTCAGCCGGCCTTCAGGCTGGGCTGCATCGGGGCCTCCCTCCTCCTCCTCCACCTGTTCGACTCGGTCAAGCCGCCCACCCATGCCGAGCTGCCCTTCTACCTCCTCTCCTTCTGCAAGAGCGCGGCTGTGCCTCTGGCCTCGGCCGCCATCATCCCCTACTGCCTCTCCCACCTCGTGTCCTCTCCGCACAACGCCAAGGGCCTGTAAGCGAGAAAACGCCAGGCTCCTGGGGGAGGGGAGGGTAAAGCACCGGCAGGGGACAGGGGACGGGAATCCTTCCTTCCAGCAATCGATCTGCCTTTCATGTGCCGGCAACCAGAATCCAACTGAATAGAGACGACATTCCCAAACTGTGGTGGGATCTCCTGCTCTGCCTGGTGACCTCCTGTTCTGTCGTCCTGGGACAATTTGTTGTCGTCGTTGTTGTAGTTGTCTGTGCGCCACGTGACCTGCTCGCTGACCTGTGTAAATGGCGGGCGTCCGTCCATCCGTCCGTCCATCGTAATTCTGATCGTGTTCCAGGTTCCTCTCTCTCTCTCTCTCTCTCTCTCTCCCTCTCGCACTCGCGCTCGCTCCTGATCTTCCTGAGAATCCGAGTCAACATCATCCGGATAACAGCCGCCTGGGCTCCCCTCCCTTTGCCGGGTGGCCATTATTGTCTCCTTCCCGACAATTGCACAGTCACTACACTCAGTCCGTCAGCGATGGACCTGGGAGGCGCTCGGAGCCGGTGTGAGCGTCGAGGACCGTGTCTGTCGACGTTGCCAATCACCCAAGTCTTCCCTCCAGCGAGATGTCCAGAGGAGGAGGTTGACCGAGGAGCCTTCTGCGCAGATTGTCCAGTAGTCAGAGTGCGGACACCCAGAGTGACACCCAATGTGTGACAATGTGACACCCACACACCTGCCAGGTACAGGGCACGGTTCGAATCCCCATCGACACCCGCCCCCCCCCCCCACCCCCCCACACAACACCCACCCACCCTCCCACCCTCCCACCCCACCCCTCCCCTCCCCTCGCCCCACAAACACACACAGACAACGCACCCGCTCTGGGAACTTGGGGCCGGAGGGTATTTATTTTACATTGTTGCTCCATCGAGAAGATCGATCAGCTTTAACCAATTGCAATTGTAAATTTGTTGTTATGTTTGAAGAGTTCTTGTCGTAAATAAATAGCTGTGAAGTTACTCCTCGGACTCCTGTCTCACTGCGTTTCCATCTTGCGCTCTTACCGGGTTTAACCGTACTTTATTTTTGATTAATTTTAATGTCCCACGTCCCACGCCTCCTCCTCACCGCAGTGCTTTGCTGCGCGCAACTTGCTGTCTGCCTCCTTCGCTCATAAAATGCAAGGAACGATTATTATCGTTACTATTAGAATTATTATTATTATAATAAAACGCACGGTCAGTGCACTTTACCACCAACGCAGTCCATTCCGTGAAGCCCTTTGGGTGGCCCTCCAGAAGGGAAAGCCGCTGAATCAAATGGAAGGACTGTTATTAAAACTACCCGAACGCACCTCCTTCGGTAATTTGGTGACAATCTTATATTTCTACCCATTTACCCAGTGACTCTGGCTGACTCCATTACATTTGATCGAGCACATCTCTCCCTTCGACCCCGCTTTTTGGCCATTGCTTCCCCCTGAACCCACCCCCCCCGCACCCCCCCACCCCCCACACACACACCAGCCCCACAACTCATTCCCTTACGAATCCCAATAGACATTAAACCCATCTCGTCGAAGCGATAGCCGGACCGAGGAGCCGGACCGGCCTGAGAGTGTGGTTCTTTGGCTTGAAATGAAGGAACGCGCGGCCGGTCCGCTCCGCCTGAGAGCGGATCCGGCGGCGGAGTGAGCACCGTTGTGGTTATTAACGATCGTAATGATGAATTCTATGCTTTTTAAAACAGCGTCGCAAAATGGCAGGTGAGGAGAGGGCTGTGAGGCTGTAGTTGGACTGACCTGCAGAGAGAGGGTGGTATAATACACCGGCTGGAGAAATAGCCTGGCGTTCGATAGCTGTTCGCGAGAGAGAAAAAAACACAGCTCTGAATCACTCGGAGACGCACCCAAACCAGGGACGGAGACAGCAGTTGGCATGACTCGCCGTTACCTCCCGCTGCTACAGCCTGGGACGTCCTCTCAACGGGAAAGGCTCCGCACCCACGGAATTTCCCTGTTGTCCCTCACAGCGCTGTGTAAATGCGGTCACTCAACCCACAACTGTGTGTGTGTGTGTGTGCGTGCGCGCGTGTGTGTGTGTGGTGGCCGGGGGGGGGGGTGTTGGGGGGTGGGGGGGACGCCGCTGTGCGCAATTAGCTGCCGCCTTTCGCTCACACAGAATACACAGAAGTCCCTTCACTTTACCGTATGCTCTGGGAAGCGCTTTGAGACGGCTCGACAGCCTGGCGAGGCGCCGTACCGAATGCCAGGATCATTATTGTATAATAATATAATATTATAATATAATGATACAACAATAATAACGACAGTATATTGATTGTAAACACAAGATGTTGTCGCTGTTGTTTTTTTTTAATTACGGCCGAAGGTGATCATTATCAAACACAGTGACTATGATACATTCTCGTGAGACGTTTGGAGTATAGACAATATCTCACTGATTACTCTTAGCAACGATCCCTCATTCAAGACAATTCAGTGCTCAGTCATCCGTCACAACTTATCTGACCACCAGTTAACTAGGAGCGTGTGTGGTGTGTGTGTGTGCGGGGGGGGGGGGGGGTGTGTGTGTTTGTATGGGTGTGGATGTGTGCGTGTGGGTGCGGGTGGTTGTGTGCGCGTGTGATGTGTGTCCGGGTGTGTGTGCTCGTGTTTGTGAGTGCGGGTGTGTGTGTGCTCGTGTTTGTGAGTGTGTGTGTGCTCGTGTTTGTGAGTGTGGGTGTGTGTTTGTGTGCTCGTGTTTGTGAGCGTGTGTGTGTGTGTGTGCGTGTGTGTGCGTGTGTGTGTGTGTGTGTTTGTGCGTGAGTTTGCGCTCGGTCACTCAATCCACGACTGTTTGCGGGACGCGTGCAAATTGGCTGCTGCGTTTCGCCCCCAAAGTAAACCGTGTATCCTGTGAAGCCCTTTGAAATGTCTCGAGGACGTGATGAGGCGTTATATCAAAAGCAAAGATTATTATTATTATTATTATTAATAATAAAATATCTGAAACTGAAACTCTTTCACAAGACTAAGATTGGCTTTAAACATAGTGGTTGGGAAACACAGTTTGTCAGACATGTTTCTCCATGTGGTTACCTGAGTGAGTGAGTGAGTGAGTGAGTGAGTGTGTGAGTGAATGAGTGAGTGAGTGAGTGTGTCAGTCAGTGAGTGAGTAAGTGAGTGAGTGTGTCAGTGAGTGAGTGAGTGTCTGAGTGAGTGAGTGAGTGAGTGAGTGTGTCAGTGAGTGAGTGAGTGAGTGTGTGAGTGAGTGAGTGAGTGTGTCAGTAATTGAGTGAGTGAGTGAGTGAGTGTGTGAGTGATTGTGTGAGTGAGTATGTGAGTGTGTGAGTGAGTGTGTGAGTGAGTATGTGAGTGTGTGAGTGAGTGAGTGAGTGAGTGAATAAATGAGTGGTGCAGTGCAGTAACCATCCACTGAGCTGCAATAGTGAGGCTCCCTCTCCCACCCCCATCCCCCCCCCCCACCCCACGACCACCCCACTCCCCCCACCCGCCCTCTCCCACGCCCCCACTCACCCGGCTCGGGAGCCCGGGCAGCGATGGGAAGCGCTTCGCGATGCCCCCCCTGTGTGGGAAACACTGTGTATGTACATTTGGTCGGATTCTGGCGATGTTTGGTGATGTGGTGTCGCTGTTTTTTGTCCATCCACTGAGCGACTGTATCTACAAAACCAGAGAGAGTCAGAGGGTGAAGTTGGCCACAATTCGTAACTACTGCCACCCCCCCCCCCCACCACCACCACCCACCCCACCCCCCGACGTAAGTGTGCAGGGCTATGGGGTTAGAGCGGGCGGTGGGGGGTGGGGGGGGGGCTGGGAGGGGGAATGGGACTAGTTGGTGGCTCTTTCAAAGAGTCAGCACGGGCTCGATGGGCCAAATGGCCTCCTTCTGTGCTGTAAGACTCTCTGATTCGACGATTCTACACCCTGATGTACTCTCCGGGAACGTGCTGGTCACTTGGCAATGGAAAGGTTTGGGTTTTTTTCCTCAACATGACATAGACCTCCCCCCTTACCCCCCCCCCCCCCCCCCCCACACCGCCCCCTCCACCACCCACACAGACGTACACACACAACTCTCACGGTTAATCCTCCGTCTGTCCGTAGGTGAAAAGCGGGAAAGGCTGGACGCAGCTGGCCATTTTAGGCAGGCAGGCCATGGGATTGGTCTTGCAGTGGTCTTCTTGCTCTTTGCTGGCCGATTCGATGTACACGGAGTCCATGGAGAAGATGGAGGGATCCTGTTTGAAGTAGTTGACGGGCTGGAGGAGGAAGCCCACCTCGCTGCCGACGGTGGCTGTGTTGGGAACGTCCTCGGAATGCGGGATGTGCAGAAAGCCGGCCGTCACCCACGCCACCAGGTCCTTTTGAACAGGGAACAAATCGGCCTCGATGTTACGTCGGGTGTGGGAGGGAGAGATGCTGAAAAAAAAAACGCGTCACCTTGGAGGAGAGCTGGCCCCAAGGTGACATGTTTGGCAACGGAATGTGGGAATTGAGCCCTCTACCTGTGACGGCCTCGGTTGCCCTTGGAAGGGTCCGACCAGTCACTGGGGGCAGGGAATCCTCTCACTCGGCTCCTGTTAACCCAGCAGCCAAAGCCCTAAAGGGTTGGATGGTCCGAGCTGGACAAGCAGCGGGAGAGCTTGGCCAGACAGCGCTATCAATGGCCAAGCTACGTGTGGGTTTAGCCGGGTAGACTCTGGGATCCCACCACCACCCCCCACCTCCCCCCCCCAAGCCTTGGCTCTCGCCCAACCTGCGGCTAATAATTTTCGGAATTAGGCCGGCAGGACACCACCCATTTGAGACGTAAGCGGGAGTTGGAATCGGGAGTTTGGCTCCGCATTGTATATTATACGATACTGTTACCTGGTTTTTGATGGTTTCGTTGTTGATGAAGCCGGCAAAGTAAACGGCGGGATTCCAGGGGTCGTTCTGGTTGAACATGCTACTGCTCGTCCTCTCCCCCTCCTTGTGCTGGGTCACAGCCAACTGGTACCTGATCACCAGACACGACGACAACGACAACACATGACGTTTACACGGCGCCCTTCACGTCAGGAGGCGCTGGACAGTCGGGGATTTGGACCCGAGCCGGGGGCTGGGATCAGGAAGGGTTGGAGGACAGGGAGGGAGGGGGTGGGGGGGGGGGGGAAGGGTAGGGGGCGAAACCGCAGGTGCGGTCGATGAGGAGGGTCTTGAAACTTTCTTTAGGTCCCAGGCCTCACTTCCTGTTGCCCTCCATACCTCCCCCTCCGTTCCCCTTCCCCACCCACCCACCAACCTCCACCCCCACGCCCCTGCCTCTGGACTCGGACATAAGAAGGTAAGAACTTGCTGGCGGAAGAAGACCGAGGTCCATCTGGTTCGCCTTCCACCATCCCTGGCAGTCGCTCGCACATGTCTTGTCCCCAGACTGTACGCCGTCGCCCCAGATATTACTTTCCAGCAGAAATCGATCTCATTTGCTCTTGAAAGAATCGACACTTTCCGTCCACGATTACTACTCGCTCACAGAAATGCAGCCCCCCCACTCCACCAGCCCCCCCCCCCCGCCCCCATCCCCACCCCTACTCCCCCGCTGCCACCGCCCCAACCCCAACGTACCTGTGCCAGGAAATTCCTTTCTCCTGCGGATCCTCCGGGGGCAAATTATCGGGGGTGTAGCTGACAACCCGGATCCTGTAGCCTCGCGGGTGACCCCACTCATTGTTGCTGTTCAGGTTGATGAAGCTGAGGTATTTGGGTGTCTTCTGCCCCACCTTGAAAGCCGCCTGGTCCTCGGTCTCCAGGACCTGCCGGTTGATGGTGGGCATAAACTCCTCCACGTCGGGATTGAGAGGGTTCTTCTGCTTCTCGTACACCACGTCTTTGGTCTCGAAACAGTTCTGGGTCCCTTTAGGGAAGGAACGACAGCGATTAGAGACCCCTAAACTGGCGTCCGCCGAGAGAACCGTGGGGAAGCATTGCCAAAATGATAACCCTCGGGTAGCGCACGGCGCCTCTTCGCGTTCTTCGAGACGCCTCAAAGCGCCTCACGGGACGTAGCGTCAAGCGAACCGACTTGTGTATTTTGTGGGCGAAACGCGGCGGCCGATTGCGCACAGCAGCGTGTCTCCCCCCCAACACAAAATGATTAAGCGCTCCTAATAATAATAATAATAATATTAATAAATATCCCACAGAGCCGCACTGCGGCACGAGCACATTTCAAAGCGCTTCACGCGATTTATTTTTTTTTACTGCGAAAGTGGCTGTGCGTTGCGTAGGCAATCGCGGCAGCCAATCGGCTGCCCATTCTTTTGCCCCCCCCGCCCGCCCGCCCGCCCGCCCCCCCACCCCGTACACAGTCACTGCACTTCACAATATATCCTGTGAAGCGCTTTGAGACGTCTCGACGACGTGACGAGGTGCCGTATCAATCGCGAGGATTCTTATGATGATTATTCTTAATATTAGTATTATTTTCGTTGACTGCGCGCGAGCAGAAAGGGTAAGAGCGGGTTGGGACGGAGTGTGGGGGGGGGGCGGGCGGGCGGGGTGGGGGGGGGGCGCGGGGGGGGGGAGTGAGGTGAGGAATCAACAAGATTCAGTCTCTTCATTCCAACTAATTCTCCTCTTGCAGCTGCGAAGGTCATGTTATTTGCTCTTTCTCAGAACTGACTGTTCATCATTAGGGACCGCAGGGCACGACCCGAAGTATATATAAAGTGAGCGAACACGCAGAGGCAAAGGGGGGGAAAGGGGGGAGAGGGAGGGGGCGGAGGCTTCGCAGACTGCGGTTCGATTCACAAACAAGTCTTTCATCCCTCCCCCCCCCCACCCCCCCAACCCCGTTCCGTTCCGTCCCAGAGGGTCTCAATCTGCTTTGCAAATCAAGACTGTGTTCCTTCTGGACTTTCAATGCTCCCGCGATAGGACTGCGGGGATACAAGAAGCCATTTGACTATAATTGTTGGCAGATTGTGAGTCAGGACTGAATTCCTCCAAAGCTTTTTGGCTCTGTGGCTTTTCTCTATTTAGGTTTGGGAGTCCGCGGTGAGCTTCAACAGCGCCGTAGCGTAGTGGTTAGAGGACCCGGGTTCGAATCCCGGGCAGGGAGGACCTTTAATAATAATAATAATAATCCTCGCATTTGATATAGCGCTTTTCACGTCGGGAGGACGTCCCAAAGCGCTTCACAGAATGCTGACTCACAATCTGTAAAGTGAATGGACTGTATATTTGTGGGCGAACGCGGCAGCCAATTGCGCACAGCAATGTCCCACAAACAGTGGTGGATTGAAAATGACCAATTTTTCTTATTGTTTAGGCAAGTTTCCTTACACAGACACACACACGCAACACACACCTCTGTTTATCTAGCGGTAAGTCGGAACCTGGTTGTTAATCGATTAGGAGATCGCTCTACCCCACCCCCGACCCCACCGCCCCCCACAACCCGCAACCACCAAAAATAAAATTTGTTACTCAATCCATGACTGTCTCAATGATATAATAAGGCGTTGTATCGAGTGCAAAGATTATTATTAAACTTTCAACATTCACCGGCCCGACAGCCACCTACCCTCCACGTCCAGATCAACCTTGAAATGTAAAAAGTGAGTGTGGATATTCCCTAAAATGTTCTCCTCGATCCTGGTTCCGTACTTCAGCCCGTCTTTGGAGTAGAACGTGGTCTGTGCGTATCCTGTGGCTTGCACCTTGGTCTCCAACACCCCGTTCTGGTAGAATATGAAATCAAACACGTAGTCATAATTGCCAATGGTTGATATCGATCTGAGGACCAGGGCGCTGTTGCTTAGCCCTCCGTACGAGAGGGGAGGAAACCAGCTGGAAGTGTGGCGTCTGAGAGGCTTCCCGAAGTTTTGCTCAAAGACACAAATGGAATTCCTTACAGTTTGGGGTTCCTCAGAGTCTAGAAAATGGTGGGTGTCTATGTAGGTGGCAACATAGGGACAGTCCACTCCCATAACCAGTTCGTTCGTCAATCTCCCAATTCCATAGGCAGTGTCGAGGAACTTTGTCCTCATGATGGATGGTGTGATACCTCCATACACGCTGGTGAGATCTTGGATACTCAGCTCATAGACTATCCTTTTCCCTTGGAACTCGATATTGAATAACTGCAAACCAGACTCCACGTTCTGCCTGAAGGCAAAATTCCAACCCAAATAGTTGACCCAATTCTCCTCATAATGATACCTGATACCCTCGGGCTCATATTGCATTGGGGGCAGGACTTTTCTAGTTTCTCCTCGAGGTTTAAGGGAAGCATAATTGGGCTCATCCTGCTTTCTGTGCAGCATTATCTTCTTCACACGCCCGTTGCTGTAATCATCGGCCAAATGCTCCAGGCTATCGAAGTACTGGCCGTTGTAATAGACCTTCTTGACTTTCCAATCAGAGCTGTTCTTGCTGCTGTGGTCCATCAACACCTCAAAGGGCACCGGATGCATAAACAACCCACCGATGTTCCTGAGGAACGGGAACCAGGTTTCTCTGTCCCCAGACTTGAAGCCCCGAGGGGCAGAATCCAATGGCAACAAGCCCTTCGCATCAACACCGAAGCTCTCCTTCAGGACCTGAGCTACTTTGCCCAAACCCATCTTGAAGAATATCTCCACATATTCAGAAGTTGGGAGCGGTCTGGAATTAAAGTTCACCCCCTGGTATTTCTGGGAGGTCACGTCTTTGTGGTAGGTAGGTTTTAAAAGGTTCCCTACAATGTATTCTGTTACATTGGGTTCAGCCTGGCCTCCAAACACAACCACAGCTCGAGCCTTCCTCGGAGGCTTGCTCCCTTGACCGTTGAGAAACCTCAACACCTCCCCTTTGGGGGGCACTTGCAGTTCGATGAGGTAAATGAAATTATCGCTGGGCAGTGCCTTGTTACAGCTCACCAGTTTCACCTCAAGGTGAGACTTGAGGTATTCCAGCACGCTGGTCATCTCCTCTGGGCTGAGGTCCCCAAAGAGCCAGGGTAGGGTATTCCTTTGCTGCTCAATTTCCTGATGAATCTTGTCGTTTAGCACCACCACCGGGCAGGTAGGGGACCTGGCCAAACCCACCGCCAGGATCCAATTCAGGGCGATGATGGCAACGACAGCCAGTGCCAGGAACGTCAATAAGACCTTCACATTCATGGCTCACACAACAACTGCAGCATTTGAGACCTATTGTCCTAAACCCACTCACTCACTCACTCACTCATTCACTCACTCACTCACTCACTCACTCACTCACTCACTTACTCACTCACTCACTCATTCACTTACTTACTCACTCACTTACTCACTCATTCACTCACTCACTCACTGGCTTTACGGAGTCAAAAGGAACGCAACTTCACGCAGACTTTGTTTCTAATGAACCACTCCCCTTTGGTCAGAGCATTGAGGCTTTGCTTTGCTCAGGTCCCCAGAGATCCTTCAGACACAGCTGAGACTTTAACTGTTTGTTAACACCATCTATGGAGTTTCTTAAAATCCTCCCTTAGAGGCACAGAGGAGAGTCGTGACGTAATTCAGTTGGATAACGGATCTTCTACCTCCCTGTGATCTTCGGGGATCTCGTTTAATGACTCTCTCGCCCCCGCTTCAAGCACAGTTAAGCCACGATTCCTCTGAGACGGAGGTGAGAGGTGACTGTAGGGCACGGTCAATGAGGAAGGTCTCCAGACCCGACTTAAAGATGGGGAGGGAAGGGAGCAAGGCGGAGAGGGTTCTAGAGTTTCGGGGGGTAGTGGCCGAAAGCGCAGCCACCGATGGTGGAGTGGAGGGTGCGAGGGACATGCAGCAGGACGGAGTCAGTCGGGCGGAGGCAGCGGGTAGAGGGTTGGGGAGGTTCAACTTAACATATAATGGAGGCTAGTGATGGAGGCGTGACCTGGAGCTCATTCCACGAGCCAACAACCCGAGTAAAACCTCTAAGCCAACGGCAAGCGAGAACGCCGAAATGTTCAGGCGACTTCACTTGTTTGTATTAAGAATATTGCAAGCCAATAATTAATCTCCTCATCTCTCGTTGAGGGCTGACAGCTGTTTTAAACGCAGAGGGACAGCGCATAAATCGTAGGCTTTAATGCTCGTGTTGGATGCAGGGCCTTATCACGTCGTCGAGATGTCTCAGAGCGCGACAAGTGGAGCGACTGTGTATTTTGTGGGCGAAACGCGACAGCCAGTTTGTGCACAGCAGCGTCACCGCAAACAGTCGTGGGGCAATGAACCAAACGTATTTGGGGGATTGTTGGCCAGGACTCCGGGAAGGAGAAGCTCCGTTTTCTTTTCGATTAGGGCCACCTGAACAGGCAGATGGTTTAACGTCTCATCCAAAGAACAGCACCTGGGACACTAGAACACCCCCCACCCCACTCCGCCACGCCAAGCATTGCATTGGAGCATCAGCCTAGACTACGTGACACCAAGTCCCGAGGTGGAGCTTGAACCCACAACCTTCTGACTCAGAATGATTCGGGGAGTGGGGCAAAATGGCTGGAAGATTGGCTCTCATTTGGGATTTGACACGACGCAAGGTTACACGGCAAATACAGCCACAATTTGTTGACGTGACTCATTAGTTGTGAATTAATCCATCATGCAAACCTACCGTTTAGGTCCAAATCAACCTTGAAGTGTAAAAAAAAAAGTGAGTGTGGACATTCCCCCAAAATGTTCCCCTCGATCTTGGCTCCGTGCGCCAGGTCATCTCGGAGGCTTGCTCTCCTGATGGTCGAGAAACCAAAGGGCCAGGGTAGGGTAGTCCCTTTGCTGCTCAATCAAATCTGTGTGGGATGGCCACCGGGCAGAGTTGGGTCTTTGCTCAAACCCATCACCAGGATCCAATTGAGGGCGACCACGGTAACTTCACGTTCATGGCTCACACAGCAACTGGAGCATTTGAAACTTTACGTCTTAGTGTCCTGAACCCGTCCACTCACCCACTCACCCCCTCAGTCACTGGTTTTATGGGACCCAAGGAACACAACTTCTCAGAGCACTCTGTTTCCAACAAACCCCTTCCTCTTCGGTCAAGAGCCTTGAGTCTTTGCTTTGCTCGGCTCACAGAGCCACTCCAGACACAGCCGAGACTTTTAACCGTTTGCTAACACCGGCTACGGTTAGTCGGGTTAGTTTTTATTTTAATTCTCCTGTCTCAGTGGCACGGAAGAGGTAGTGATATTATTCAGTTCAATAAAGCCCCCACTGTGAACTTCAGGGACCCGTGATAACGGGACCAGCCTGGCAATTCCATGTTCTTTCGTCAGAACAGCAGTTCAACTCAATTAGCTAAATATGGAAGTAAGCCAAAGCCTGGAATGTGTTACGCGCTGGAAATTCAAGCATTCCTCTGACCGACTTTAACTATTTGTTCCTGGGAACTTCGGTTCATCTCGTTGAGGGCTGACAGCTCTTTGAAACGCAGCGTAAAGCCAACAAAACACTTTTGGGAGCGTAGGTAGTGGGATAGTGCCTAAATCCTTGGCTTTAATCCATCTTCGAGACGTCTCAAAGGGCTTCAAGGGATGCACTGTAAGGTGGAGTGACTGCAACGGAGCGTCGTCTTAGACTATGCGGTACCAAGTCCTAAGGTGGGGCTCGAACCCACAACCTTCTGACTCAGAGGCCAGAGAGAGCGAGAGAGTGCTACCACTCATCCGGGTTGACACACAGGGATTCAGGGAGTGGGGCAGGAGGGCGGAAAGCTTACCTCTCATTGGGATTCAGGGCTATTCTAACTTACGCGGCAAATACATCTCCGGTATCATGACCTACACTCATTAGTTGTGAATTAATTCGAGCCATTGGGCTGTGAGCGCTGAATCAATCAGTTCAGCCCACACCAGTGTTTGTGTGCGAGTTCCCGCGGATGGTTGGGCAACAAGTAGAATTTTGCTGAGGTTCAGTGTGTGTAAAGGGGAGTTTTCCTCACGTGGTTGTCTAATACAGCTGCCGCCATCCATGTCTAAACATGTCTCCAACGCTAAGACGTTTCCCCTCCGGTAGCAATAAGGTCCGGAAGAGATAGCTCCCTTTTCACAGTATGGAAGTTATTCCACTGCTGACAACAGCAAAACAAGACAAAAAACAGCCGCAAACTCCCAAGCCTCCGGGATCTTAAGGGCCGTTATATACAACAATAATCATAATAATAATAATAATAATCCTTATCAACTCTTCGAGCCGTCCCAGAGCGCTTCACGGGAAGTGAATCGACAGTGTATTTTGTGGGCGAACTAATGTAAATGTGAGTGGTTGTTGCTGTTATCACGGACCAGATACGGAGATTACGCGGTTTCCGTAACCCAGAGAAGTTTCTGAGCTTCCGAACCGCTGAAGAGAGGAACTGGAGACTTTACTTAAAACTACCGCTTGTGATTCTTTTTTTGAACGCAGGGGGAAAGAGGAGAGAAAAGAGAAGACGGACGCGGTGCTCTCACCACCGTCCCCAAAGGGCCACGGAGTGAACGACTGATTTCGGTCGGGGTGGGAAGCCGGGAAGGAACAGCATCTCTGCTGCCTGGCGCTAATTGGCTGCCGCTTCACGCACACACACACAGTCACTACACTTTACAGCATTCCCTGCCTCGAGACACCCTCCCTGATCTGAGGATGCAAACGCGCAGGGACTAGCACCGGACTGTTCCCGATCACAGTGAAGGTCTCTCCACCCCACTACCCTCGCCCCCTCCAGCTCAAAAATACGAAGGGCGGCGACCACTTGTTGACCCCCATAAAACAACTTGCACCCCCCCCCACGCAGGGCAAACAGACCGAAGCGGCTTCACACGGAGCCACAGCTTGCGTCGAAGCAACTGCACAATGTCACATCTGTTGAGTGTTCTGGTGACGTTATGCTGTTGAACAGCGCTGAGCACAACAGCAACACCCCCACCCCCACCCCCCACTTCCCGCCCCACCGTTCCCCCACCTCCCCTTCCCCTGCCAAGTCTCGCTGGTACAAACCACGAGGGAGCTTTCTCGTGCCAATTTTCCTCCCCCCCCTTCAAATAATTGCTGGCCTTCTCACCGTGTGGTCCGTATGGTTATCATTCCCTTCCCAAACACACCAGGGAAACAAAGATACCGTACAAGGGAAGACCCTTCAGCTCCCAAGCCCTCCGGGAGGCCCCGAGCCCCGGCCCGAGGGGCGCGGCGCGAGTGCAAGCTGTCGATGTCGTCGTTATCGCTGACCAGACACGAATGGAGTTGGCGTGGAGGGCTGTGTGTTGTGCAAACACTGGAGCTTTGTGTAAACTGCCAACCTCTTGCTTACGTTAACCCGAATGTATTGCGCAGTTTCAACCTTGTCGCCTGCACCCCCCCCCCCCCCCCCCACCCCGTCCCATCACTCATCCCGGCCCCCCCACAGCCTCACTCTGTGGCTCTGCTTAGAAAGTTCATGGGTCGGGACAACTGAGGAAACCAACTGCGATCGAAAACTCTGTAGCGGTCTTTTGATACCCCGCGTCCGTGCCATGACCCAGTCCCACATTACCGACCTCTGCCACTGCCTCTCTATCCCTGATTCCCCCCCGCCCCCACACTCCCACCACGGAGGATCGAGCTCAAGACCCTCGTCCTCACCTTTAAAGCCCTCCACCGTCTTGCTCCTCCCTGGCCTCGGCTCAAACGTCTCCCCAGCCTGCCCGCTCTTCTCTTCTCTGCTCGGCGGGCACTCACCTGCTCCATTGCCCCCCACGCACAGCCCTCCCTGAGATCAGCAGTCGGTTTCTTTCCCTTTCCCCTCACCCGCTTTCTTGCCTCTTTCGGGGCCAGTCTCAAGACCTTCCTGTTTGACGGACCGTGCCTTCGGTCACCCTTCAAACCTCCCCCCCGCCCCCTGACTCGGGGGCAAACCCTTCACGGCCCAGCCAGCGCCGTGGGACATCCTCCCCACGCGAAAGGTGCCGCGCAAATGTAATTCGTTGTTGTTGTCGATGTCCCACACGCGCGCCACACATTTCCGACTGCTTGGAACACAATGGGTGGGTGGGGTGGGGGGGGGAAAGGGGGTAGGAGAGAGGGCTGAAGGCAAGGGATTGTGGCCCCAAAGGGTTAATAAGACACCAATTCCGTTCAAGTATGAGCGGAATCTCCAGCTGCTCTGGAAGGAAGACTGTCAAACGTCGGCTGCTTTGGGATAATGTGAAAGCCCCAAAAGAGGCCCCTCTGCTCGACCAGGAGGTGGTGGTGGGGGGGGGGGGGGGAAGAGAGTGGGGCTGAGGGGGTGGGGGAGGGGAGAGAGGAATTCGAAGTGCAACAGGGCAGCGTTCAGCAGAGCACCGACGTGCGATTCCATCGCTTGACATTACCCTTCACGGAGCAGCGCTCAGCAGCGGCGGAGTCTGGCACCGAGCCGGGTGGAGTGGGTGGTGGTGGTGGGGGGGCAAGGGGAGGGTGGGGAGGGTGGGGGGGGTGGTGTGCGAGGCGACCAAAAGCACCATCAAAAAGGAAGGTCTTCAGGTGGGATTTGAAAGGAGGGAGGGAGGGAGGAGGAGGGATTGAGGGAGAGAGTTCCAACCAAGTGGCTCAGTCCCCCCGACAGCCGCCCACTGGGATCTGCAGCACGTCCGAGATTCCAGCCCTCTCCCGTATCCCCCCCCACCCCCGGACGCATCCGTGTTTCATCTTACAACCCGTCGACTTTTTTTTTGGGGGGGGGGGCTTCAAACGGTCACGTAACCGGGCTGGCGGTTTGAGGCGGAGCTTTGGCCGCGTCGGGGACGTCTCGAAAGCCTTCCGCGGAGAGCGCGCGGCCAAGCGCAGACTTTGCGCGGCCGAAACGCGGCGGCAGATCTCGGGCAGAGTCGCGGATCGAATTAGAACTGTTCTCACGAGAGAGTCTCGCTCTCGCCATCCTCCGGCCCACAAGCTCCTCACAGTGGTCGCTTGTAGTTATTTATTTTTGGAGGGTTTATTACCCCCCACCACCCCCCCAGAAAAGCGATCCACCTTAGCAGCCGGGTTTCCTGCTTAACGCCGGGTAAAGACGGGGTGCGCGCGGAGTGAGGAAACTCGCCCAAGGTTGCGCGCTGCCTGGGAATCAAACCCCGGAGTCCTCTCGCTCGCTCGCTCGAGAGTTAACCACCGAGCGACATGACCACCCACACGTTATTACGTCCGCGGTCCCGCACGGTCTCCTCGTCCCTACCGCGCGCCGGTCCCGACGAGGATCTCGAGCTCAGCTCTTGACGAGCGCGATCACGGTTTCCGAAACACACGCACACGAAAACACGCGTAGGAAGAACATTTTATTGGTGGTGTTTTTTTTTTTCTTGGAACCTTTATTCACGGTCGGAACACCGCGCTCGCTGGCAGTCGAGACGATTTGTCCGTGTGGGTCTCTCTCTCTCTCTCTCTCTTTTTTTAAAATTAATCAATCAATCAATTAATTAATTCAAAAACACCCACACGGCACACGCGCACTTAAACATTAATTCATTCTTTTTTTAATTAACGAGTCCGGGGCCACTGAACACAGGTTTCAAAACCTCTGTGGTAGGGGAGAAAAAAAAAAGAGATGGCAAATAATAATTAAAAAAAAACACTGGTTGGGGAAAAACTGGATGGCGGGAAGAGGGAGAGGGGGGGCGCGGGGTGTGGGGGGTGGGGGAGGGAGGGAGGGTGCGCGAGGAGAGAGAAGGACGGGTGGAGGGTTTTTTCCTCTTTAAAACAGAAGAGGCGACACAACACACGCGCACACACCACGCAACAGGTGAAACGACGCAATAAAAAAACTCAAGGTGGGAAACACATGAGAAAAATCACCACTTTGGTATCTTAATGGAAGGGGGGGAGCGGGTGGGGAGAGGGAAGGGGGGGGGTGTTTGAACAGGTTTAAGAGCGATAACACGGAGCTTATCTGGGACCTGTAACTTCATTTAAATCCCACCGGCAGGTAGGGGAGGACACGCCGTAAAAAGGCCTAGGCGGAAAAAAACCCGCATTACTTTATAGAACGCTATTCAAACGAGACGAACGGAAATGATCCGCCACTAACAGACTGCGTGGGGGGGGGGGGGTGGGGGGAGAGGAGGGGTGGGGGGGGGGGGGTTCGGGGCAGTGGGTTAGGGGACGAGGGGGAGAGTTTACACTGCGGGAGAGCGCGAGATATAAAGCGCGTCTTCACGCGGATTTCTTTTCTCTTTATATAAAAAGAACTCGCTCGCGGCTGAGGACAAAAGCAGCTCTGAACGGAGAGTGGAGAGTTTGCTGAGAGGGAGGGAGGGAGGGACAGAGGGAGGGAGGGACGGACGGAGGGAGGGACGGAGGGAGGGAGGGATGGAGGGAGGAAAGAGTTTCACACCTCTACCTTTCACAGACCACAGAGAGGAGGAAAGAAAGAGACGCCCGACACACAAACACACACAAAAAATATCCGCCCCTCTCGTCGGGTCAAAAACCTCTCGCCCGAAAATCGCGAGAGACCTGAGATCAATCCCAGGCAGAGGGCGAAACCTCGGGCAAGTTTCCTTACTCCACACAGAGCCTAATAATAATCCCTCCCAAACCAAACAACAATAATTGGTCATTTTCAATCTACGACTGTTTGTGGGACATTGCTGTGCGCAATCGGCCGCCGCGTTCGCCCACAAATATACAGTCCATTCACTTTACAGTGTGTTCTGTGAAGCGCTTTGGGACGTCCTCCCGACGTGAAAAGCGCTATATCAAATGCGAGGATTATTATAAAGGCTGGCGGGCGGATGGCTAGGGTGGGGGTGGGGGGTGGGGTGGGGGGGGAAGAGAACGCTATTTTCCCCCCCCACTCCCTACACACAAACACACACACGCACAGCGCAAAACACACACCACCTTTTGGAAGCGCGCGCGTAAAAAAAAAAAAAAAAAACTGTCTCCAGACACAACCCTTGGCCGCCAGCACCGCACGTCGCCGTAAGCTTGCGTCGAGGCAAAAAGCGGGGAAAAACCCAAACCAAAGCTCCTGAGGATTATTGTTATTATTATTATTATTTTTTTTAAAAAAAAATCTATACACCACGCACAGGTACAAGGTGAACCGGAGGAGGAGGAGGAGGAGGAGAAGAAAAAAAATACTCCTGCAATACTTCACTGAAACGCCGCTAAATTTCTGTGCTTTTTCCTTCCTTTGAACCCCGAATCCTTTTCCTTTTCTCAAGCACGGACTTACTTTTTCCCCACGCCGCAAAGCAAGGCAATGGTGGTCTTCTATTTACGGAGGGAGGTGGAGAGTGAGAGGATTTTTTTTTTTTTCGGGGGGTGGGTAAGGGGTGGGGGTGGGGTTGGGGGGTGGGTGGGACGTGTGTGGGGGGTTAGGGGGAGGGAGAGGGGTTTACAGAGACGGGTTTGCAAAGTATCCGATCGCTAATACAGTGCCTCCGAGTTGCTGTTTCTTGGCCTCTTGATTTTCTCGATGTTTTTCAAAATCATGTCATGTAGCGTCACCTGTCGAGTGAGAGCGAGAGGGGGAAAAGGCGACCGTTAAAAAAAAAAAGAGGAATATTAGGAACAGGACTGTCGACTGAGCGAGAAGGGAAAAGGCGACCGTTAAAAGAAAAGAAAGAGGAATATTAGGAACAGGAGGAGGCCATTCAGGGCCCCTCGAGCCTGTTCCGCCGCTCTATCAGATTATGGCTGGTCTGTACCTCAACTCCAATTACCTGACCTTGCCCCGTGTAATAATAATAATAATAATCCTCGCGTTTGACCCCAGCGCCTCATCACGTGCTTCGAGACGTCTCAAAGCGCTTCGCAGAACACGCCGCGAAGTGAATCGACTGTGTATTTTATAGGCGAAACACTTTATATATCCTCTATTTATGTATATATATGTATATGTGTGTGTGTGTGTGTGTGTGTGTGAAATATCTCGATACCCTGACTTAAAAAACCTGTCCTCCTCAGTCTCGAGATTCCGAATGGATCCAGCCATAATCCACAGCCTTTCGGGGGGGGGGGGCAAGGAGAGCGTTCCCGATCCCCACCGGTCTTTGGGAACAGGTTGGAGCAGAGCAAGACCCAAACTCTAACCCAACTCGCGGAGTAACCGTGTCGTGGTTGCTCTTATCTGCCACTGGCAGAAAATCCGCTGTGTTGTGCCCTTTCAGATTTCTGACGGATAATTTAAGGGAAAAAAAGGCTATTTTGAATCGAGTTTTCCCCCTTTCTCTCTCTCTCCCCCCACCTCACTCACCCCAACATGAACCACCAACTTCCGGGTCATCAGATCGCTGCGGATGGATGTCGCTTCCTGCAAGCGATTGAATTAGCTACGACTTGTTGACAGCCCCCACCCCTCCCGGCCCCCACCGTCTCCCGAGACCCTGCCCCGCGTGCGCGAAGTGGGCGCTGTGCGAGTCCAAGTCGTCGGGTTCGACGGGGCTCGAGGTGTAGAGGAACCGAGAGATACTTACATACTGGTTCCTCAACTCAGAGACGATTAGTCGCAGGCTAATGTATTCCTTTTCGTCGATTTCAGACACCGTACGGCGGTAATCCTCCTGGGGGGGGGAGGTGGGGGGGGGGGGGGGAGAGAGAGAGAGAGAGAGAGAGAGAGAGAGAGAAGCGGGTAAATGGCTGCTCCCGATGGGAAGTTTACAACTTCATGATCCCTCTCCAAACGTCTCCCAGAGAAGTTCCCTCACGTGCACAGCAACGACTGGGGCAGTGGTTGGGTGGTGTGGGGGGGGGTTTGGATGATCGCGATAACGGTAAGAGAATGATTGATTTTATTGGGGTGGGGGGGGGGGAGAGAATAGAAAAAGAGAGTAAAAATAGGAAAAAAAAGAAGGGAGAATAGTGTTAACCAGAACACTGGGAGAAAAGGAACTCCCTTGGGTTTTCGACTCGCGCCACGGAATCGTTGTGACGTCCGCCCGAACAGGCAAGACGGGGAACACGGCTTAAAGCACACGCTGGAGAAGTCCTTGAGGTGCACTTTGTTTTTTGGGGGGGGGGGGTGGGTGGGGAGAGGATAAACAGAGGGGAATACAGAACCCCCTCCAACACCGCAGACCGTGAGGGTAACCTGTAACACCCGAAGGCTAATGCGCTGCATTTGTGCATCGAATGTACTCACCACGTGTGGGTATTTAGCCACCTTGGACACCAGCTTTGCTCTTGTGATGTAGTATCTGGTGGGACAGAGAGGGAGGGAGGGAGGGAGGGAGGGAGTGAGGGAGGGAGGGAGGGAGAGAGAGGGAGAGAAATAGAGGAAGAGACAAATAGAGAGAGTTGAGAACGGTTAGTGTCACGTACACGAGCGGAGAAAATTCTTTCACTCGGATGTCTGCTCACTCCCACCAGCACGGTTTCCTCTTTAAAGCCCCCCCCACCCCACCCTCTGATACAGCAATAGCCTCGTAAGCACCTCACCCCGGGGGGGGTGTGGGGGTTGGGGGCTGGGGGGGTGTGGGGAGAAGAGATTTGCTGTCGAGTGCAGTGACTGTGCACGTGTAGCATTTTTAAAAACATTTCACAGCCACGACGTTTCAGCTGTTTGACCGCGACTATGACCTGCTCCACTGCAGCTCAGTAATTCCCCCCTCACCCCCGCGCCCCACCATATACCCCCCAACCCCCCCCACCACCGCGCCACCACGCAGAAATGCTCTGCAACACACCTGGAGATCTGGTCGAGGTATGAAGCTGCTTCACTCTCTACCGTGCGTAGCTCTGCCACAGTCTCTTCCTGCGGGTAGCGATGTGGGGGGGTTGGAGGGGGGGGGGGGCAGGGGAGGGAGAGAGGGAAAGGAGGAGGGGAAAAGCAAGGATTGGTGAGAGAAATCAGCACCGCTTTGAAATAAATGAATATTAAGGTGAAAGCTCCATTAGACTAAGAGACTGAGAGAGAGAGAGAAAGAGAAAGAGAGAGAAAGAGAGAGAGAACTCGGTACCAGTTGATCATTTGAAGTTGATAGAGACAGTGTCTGAACCTCAACACTTCCTCCTGGTCTGAGCCCTAACAGTAAATGGCGTAATTCTTTTAGGAACAACAACAACAAGATGACATGTGTATAGCGCCTTTCACGTCGGGAGGACCTCCCAAGGCACTGGACAGTGTACAGCATTTCAGACCCGAGCTGGGATCGGGGGGGGGGGGGGGGGGAGAAGGGAGGGGGTGGGGTGGCCGATGACATGGTGGAAGAGGACGGTCTTGAGGTGGGACTTGAAGGAGGCTAAGGAGGGGGCGAGGCGGCGGAGTGATCGGGGGATGGAATTCCAGAGGTTGGCGGGCGGGTCGGGGGACGTGGAGCAGCCAGAGCCGGCTCAGCGGAGGGAGCGGGCGGGTTGGTAGGGGCTTAGGAGGCCGCAGAGGTAGGAAGGCACGTTTGGGGAGACAGTACATGAATCATTTGAGACGTGACATACAGGAAATGGGGAGTATGGCTGGGGACATTGGGAGAAAACCAGGAAACTTTGGATCGAAGCTTCCCAGGGTGTTGTGGACTAATCCGTATAGAATTGTTGCTACCAACATCTCCATCGTTGCAGCGAGCGACTACCAAGACACTAGAAGGCCAATTGGATGGACCTCAGGCCTCCTTTTTTTTGTCTACGCAGTAATAATAATAGTAATAATGATCTGGAGGTGATGGCATTTGGTACAGCGTCTCATCAGGTCTCAAAGCCCTTCGCAGGAAACGCTGCGAAACGCAGTGACTGCGTGCAACTGTAGGCGACACAACTGCCCGCAGCCGCTTCCCACGGGAACGTCCCCGACCTGGGGGTTCGAGCCCGCAAACCTTTGGTCACCCGAGCAGCCTTGTACCTGGATAGAAACTCCAAAGTTGTTGCCATCCTCTATTCGGGGGATCAGGAGCTGCACCCACATCTTAACCTGAAAAACAACAAACCCTGGCGTTAGCGACAGAGAAACGGTAACGCAACATCTATTATTATTATTAATGATTATTAGTAATAAATAATCGCCACCATCCTCGCATTCGGTCCAGCGCCTGGATCAGGTTGGCCGGACGTCTCAAAGCGCCTCACGGGAATCACTGTGAAATAATAATAAGAGTACTGGCATTTGATACAGCGCCTGATCGCTCTGAGACGTCTCGAAGACGCGATAAGGAGCAATATTACAAAGGCAAGGACTCCCCCCGCGCGGGTGAGCGTCTCAGAGGGGTTTGACGGCGTGGGGGGTGCCCGGGTGAGAGACAAGACGTGACTCACTGTGTTGCACTTCTCCATCAGGGTGCGGATCTCTGGCTTGATCTTCTCGATCATCTCCACCAGCTGCTGGTTACTCTTCAACATCCCGTTCGGCATCACAAAGACCTTGGTGCCTGCGACGGGGGGAGACAAGACGGGAACGATAAGATAGGGTCCCTCGCCCCACGTCGCCGTCCGCAGGTTTGGCCGCAAAACACGGTCACTACGCTTTACATCAAACCCCCCGCCGGTTTTGCGCTTGTTCCGCCTCCACGCGCAGCACAGTGCCTCTGTTTCTTTCTTTCTCCCTTCCTTCCTTCCTTCCTTCCTTCCTCTCTCTCTCTCTCAACGAGAATTCACTCATTGGACCGACTGTAAAAGCGTAGTGACTGTGTTTCTAGGACAACATCCCACAAACAATTTTATTTGGGGGGTGGGGTGTCAGCCAGGACACCGGGAGAGGGAGAGAGAGAGGGAAACTACCTTCTCTGTTTGAATAGCACCACTGGAATCTTTAACAGGCGGACGGGGAGTGAGGTTTAACGTCTCGTCTGAAGGACGGTGTCTCCGATGGCGTGAGACGGCACTACATCAAATGCAACGATTATAATAATGATAATAATAATAATCCTGGCATTTGATATCGCGCCTCAGCACGTCTTGAGACGTCTCGAAGCTCTTCGCAGGACACACCGTCAAGCGAACCCACTGCACGTTTTGTGGGCGAAACGCGGCAGCCAATCGGGCACAGCAGCGCCCTCTCCCCCCACAAACAGTCGTGGGTCGAGTGACCACATTAATAATAATAATAATAATAATTCTTGCATTTGATATAGCGCTTTTCACGTCGGGAGGACGTCCCAAAGCGCTTCACAGAACACACTGTAAAGTGAATTGACTGTATATTTGTGGGCGAACGCGGCGGCCAATTGCGCACAGCAATGTCCCACAAACAGTCGTGGATTGAAAATGACCAATTTATTATTGTTGTTGGTTTTGGAGGGATTATTATTAGGCTCTGTGTGGAGTAAGGAAACTTGCCCGAGGTTTCGCCCTGCCTGGAATTGAACTCAGGTCTCTCACTTGCAAAGCGAGTGCTCTAACCACTGAGCTACAGGACTCCACATTATCGTTGTATAAAGCGAAGTGGGACCGTTGTGTGTTACCTGAGCAATTACTCTCATTGTCTTCCAGTTTCCTCTTCTTTGCGTTATGCTGAAACGAGTGAATAAAATATTTCTTACAGTACAAAGCAGCCCCGAACATACAGGAAAACACAGGCTGAGCAACTTTAACTGAGCCGGACACTTTCAGCGCATCTAAGAAGATAGGAACAGGTGGAGGCCATTCAGCCCATCAAGTCTGTTCTGCCATAGAGTGAATCCCACGAGACCTTTTACTCATTTCCCTGCAGATCCCTTAATGCCCTTAACCCCCCCCCCCCCCCCACTAATTGCGCACAGCAGTGTGGATTGAGCGACCAAATCATTATAATTTCTTTTTAAAAGAACTTTGAAGGGATTATTAGCCCCGGAAAAGCAATCCATCAATCGACTAACAACCGGGTTCCTCCTGACTGTTCGGTAAACGGAGGCGCGCACTCGCGTGTGGGGTAAGAAATTTGCCTAAGGTTTCGCCCTGACCCGCCCGGGAATCGACCCCAGGTCCCCTCGCTCGCTCAGCGTGCGCTCCATCCGACCCCCGCACTTCCCGGCTACTCACCGCGCTGTCCAACCCATCGTGGCTGTTGGAGAGGACGATGGGCTCGGGCACAGGCAGGTTCAGGTCCGAGTGAATGGTCGCCAAGTCTTGGATATTCAGCAGCGGCTCCTGAAGCAACGGGAGGTTCCACAGCGGGTTAGCGCACGGAATCATCCTCGGGTTTAACCCGGCAAATAAGAGCGCCCGCGGCGCCCCTTGCAAGAACGTAAGAGCTTGCTAGGTCCAAGGTCCACCCCGTTGGGTCTTCCACCATCCTGGCAGTCGCTTGCACTACAACAACTGTCCCCAAACTATATACTGCACTGTATCCCCCGGATATCATCTCCTCACAGGAATCTGTCTCATTTGTTCTTGAAAGCTTGTAGTCTGGGATCTCTTCGAATCCCATCGCTCACCAGCCTCCCACTCACCCTCCCCACCATCAGCGGGCTGGTGAGCCCTCAGCCTTTCTGACCCCCTTCCACCCTCCGAATCTCCAACCCGGAGCCAACCCCCACACACCCCCACGCCCCCCCCCCCCCTTTTGATACAGTTCTTGTTAAATATAGCAAACTCCTCCTCAGGCACAGCCCCTCCCCCGCCCTGCGTCTCCCTCCGTTAAACCTTGTCCGGTTTAAATATTTAAACTTAAAACTTAGCGGGATATCTGGCTGGCGTTGCCGACTCGATACCTTCAGGAAGCAATCCAATTCCAACAACTTCTTCGGGAAGAAACTGGCAACCAAGTCTTCAGCCTGGAACGCAAGAGGAATCCGATCAGGAAGAGCAAAAAAATAATAATAACTCACGCGCGAAACATCCCAACAAACACACAACGCAGCTCAACCTCCAAACTCACTGGTAAATGCCAAGCAACACTACAGCCCCCACCCTACCCCCCAACCCCCCCATCCCCACCACCCACCCCACCCCACCCACGGTGTAGCGGGCAGAGCCGCTGCTTACAGCACCAGGGACAGTTCGGTTCGGGTCCCGGTTGGCGAGCGCCGCGAGCTGATCTTTTTGTTTCCCTGCCCAGCCGCGTGTCGGACACCCGGTGGAACCCCTCGGCACCGAAGCCGAACCCGCGGATATACCCGTGCGCGCGCGGTACACACGCACGTCTGTCTGGGTGCGGCACGGGACACGTTTAAGGCTCGGGTTAACAACCCGTCGCGGTAAGTGCCCGGACACAAAAGGAGAGTGGATGTTGTGTACTTACTTCACTGGTGATTCGCTCCCTGAAAGCATCGACCTGGACAGAGAAAGAGGGGGAAAACATACGGCGTTTGGGCCTCGCGTGAAGGGACAGTTCGGAAAGCAGGAACGACACAGATAACAAGGTCGGCGCGGCTCCGGGGTAAAGCCCGGACCGAGCTCCGAGACGTTCCGACGACGGCGAAGGCGAGGCGCTGGGTCGGGCGCAAAGGGCTGTCGCAACGAGTAAAGCGAATCAGCCGCAGCGTTGAGACGTCTCGGCCCGAATGTCTCACCAGCTCCCAGGGCGGGAAGCGTTCAATACCGACCCAGGGACATGGCGCTTGGAAGGGGTTGGGTGTGGGGGGAGTGTGGGAAAGAGCAGAGAATGGGAACTGTCACACACGCCACACACACCCCCCCCCACCCCCCCCCACTCCCCGTTTCGGGTCCAAATCCCCGAATGTCCGAGACGGAGAGGGGAGTGGATGGATGTGGGCTGCAAAGCTGTACTGAAAGCATTGCTTTTCCCCTTTCCCTTCCTCTCTCCCCCCCCCACCCCACCCGCTCTCTCTTCCCTCCCCTCCAACTCTCAGCCCCACAACCAACCCCCCCCCCCCCCCTCCGCCCTTACCCCATCCTCCCAGGAAGGAAAAACCACAGAACAACACTTTATAGCCAAATCCACTTCGCGCTGTGAACACCATCCAACAGAGCAAGTACCCCCCCCCCACCCCCCCAATCTGGGCCCGGCTCGCTCACTAAACCCCCTTCCAGACACAGAGAGAGACAAAGACAGACAGACAGACAGACAGACAGACAGACAGACAGACAGAGGCAGACAGACAGACAGAGAGAGAGACACAGACAGAGAGTGAGAGAGACAGACAGACAGAGAGAGAGATAGAGACAGACAGAGAGAGAGAGAAAGACACACAGGAGACAGACAGACAGACAGAGACAGAAAAGAGAGACAGATAGACAGAGAGAGAGACAAACAGAGAGCGAGACAGAGAGACAGACAGAGAGAGAGAGAGAAAGAGAGAGACAAAGACAGAGAGAGAGAGACAGACAGAGAGAGAGAGAGAGAAAGAGAGAGACAAAGACAGAGACAGACAGAGAGAGGTATTTAATGCCCGGCGGCCCCCATTGTGGGGGAGGGAAAGGCCCCATCAAATCGTCTCCAGACCCGGAGGAAACCATTCGCCGCGACCCGGGGATGTGGATCCCCATCAGCGTCAAACCCCCCCCGTGTGTGACACCACCATCAACAACGCGGATTAAACGGATTTGTGATCAAATCTCAGCCACAGAGCTGAGAGCAATAACACTTCTATATATATATATATATATATATATGGGGGGGGAGGAGGGGGGAGAGTGATGGAGAGAAGACGGGGGGGACGGGGGGGGGTGAGTGATGGAGAGAAGACGGGGGGGGGGGGTGAGTGATGGAGAGAAGACGGGGGGGGGGGGTGAGTGATGGAGAGAAGACGGGGGACGGTGGGGGGGAAAGAGACTCAATGAAGAGATACAGAGATAAAGAAATAAAGAACAGAAAGCGGTGGCACATGTCGAACTGTCGGTGCTTCGGGCTGAGAGCACATGGGCTGCGGGGGGGGGGGGGAGGAAGGGATGGGGGGGTATGAGATGGGGGGTATGAGATGGGGGGTATGAGATGGGGGGGGTTTGAGATGGGGGGGTATGAGATGGGGGGGAATGAGATGGGGGGGAATGAGATGGGGGGAATGAGATGGGGGGGGTATGGGATGGGGGGTATGGGATGGGGGGGGTATGGGATGGGGGGGGGTATGGGATGGGGGGGTATGGGATGGGGGGTATGGGATGGGGGGGGTTGAGTGGGAGTAAAGGGAAGAGTTTGTGATATTAAGAGAAAGAATTGTTTAGATATTTTTGTCCTTATGGAAACAATGATGGAAATGAATGAAATGTCAAGAAAGAGGGAGGGGGGATGATAGAGGGGGGGAGGGGGGATGATAGAGGGGGGGAGGGGGGATGATAGAGGGGGGAGGGGGGGATGATAGAGGGGGGAGGGGGATGATAGAGGGGGGGGGAAGTGAGAGAAAGGGGGGAGAGAAGAAAGAAAGAAGAGATGGGGAGAGATGGAGCGAAAGAAGGGGGAGTGTGGGTGTGAGGAGGGGGTGTGATGGGGGGTGGGGAGGGAGTGTGGGGTGGGGAGTGTGGGAGGGGGTGTGTGTTTGTGGGGTGTGGGGGGGTATGTGGGGGGTGTGTGCGGGGGAGGAGTGTGTGTATGTGGGGGGGGTATGTGGGGGGTGTGTGCGGGGGAGGAGTGTGTGTATGTGGGGGGGTATGGGGGGGTGGTGTGGGGGTGTGTGTGGGGGGAGGCAGTGTGTGGGATGTGTGTGTGTGTGTGTGGGGTGGGTGTGTGGGGGGGGTATGTGGGGTGTTTATGGGGTGTGTGGGGTGTATATGGTGTGTGCGTGTGGGGGGGTATATGGGTGTGTGTGGGGGTGTGTATGGGGTTGTGGGGGGTATATGGGGGGTGTATGTGGGGGGGTTTGGGGGTATATGGGGGGTGTGGGGGGGTGTATGTGGGGGTGTGTGTGTGGGTGTATATGGGGGGGTATGTGGAGGTGGGTGTGGAGGGGGGGTGGGGGGGTGTATGTGTGTTTGGGGGTGTGGGGGGGTGTATGTGTGTGTGGGTGTATGGGGGGGTATGTGGAGATATGTGTGTATGGGGGGGTGTGGGTGTGTATGGGGGGGGGTGTGGGGTGTGTATGGGGGGTGTGGGTGTGTATGGGGGGGGTGTGGGGGTGTGTGTATGGGGGGTATGTGGGGGGGGTGTGGGTGTGTATGGGGGGGTTTGGGGGTGTGTATGGGGGGGTGTGGGGTGTGTGTATGGGGGGGTTATGTGGGGGGGTGTGGGTGTGTATGGGGGGGGTGTGGGGGTGTGTATGGGGGGTGGGGGTGTGGGGGGGTATATGGGGGGGTGTGGGGGGGGTATATGGGGGGGTGTGGGGGGGTGTGGAGGGGGGTGTGTGGGGGTATATGGGGGGGGGGTGTGGGGGGCTATATGGGGGGGTACCTTGGTCCGCAGCTCACTGTCCAGTTTGAGGAGTCCTGACGACATGGTGGGACGGGGCTGTGGCGCGCGGGAGCGGAGTGCCGGTGGTGGGGGGGGACCGGAAGTGGCGTCACCGCCTCACACCCCATTGGCCGCCGGCGGTCGCCATTTGTTGCCATTTGTGTTTTGTTGCCGCAAAACCCGGAAACGCCGTCAGAGGTTCTCCCCATCGCTCTGTCTGTGTGTCTGTCTGACCCCCTCACACTCTCTGTCTGTGTGTCTGTCTGTGTGTCTGACCCCCTCACACTCTCTGTGTGTGTCTGACCCCCTCACACTCTCTGTCTGTGTCTGTCTGACCCCCTCACACTCTCTGTCTGTGTCTGTCTGACCCCTCACACTCTCTGTCTGTGTCTGTCTGACCCCCTCACACTCTCTGTCTGTGTCTGTCTGACCCCCTCACACTCTCTGTCTGTGTGTCTGTCTGTGTGTCTGACCCCCTCACACTCCGTCTGTTCTGCCCCCTCACACTCTCTGTCTGACCCCCTCACACTCTGTCTGTCTGACCCCCTCACACTCTCTGTCTGTCTGTCTGACCCCCTCACACTCTCTGTCTGTCTGTCTGACCCCCTCACACTCTCTGTCTGTCTGACCCCCTCACACTGTCTGTCTGACCCCCTCACACTCTGTCTGTCTGACCCCCTCACACTCTCTGTCTGTCTGTGTCTGTCTGACCCCCTCACACTCGCTGTCTGTCTGACCCCAACCCCCACACTCTCTGTCTGTCTGTCTGTCTGACCCCCCCACCCTCACACTCTTTCTCTGTCTGTCTGACCCCCACCCTCTCTGTCTGTCTGTCTCTGACCCTCACACTCTCTCTGTCAGTCTGACCCCCACCCTCACCCTCTCTGTCTGTCTGTCTGTCTGACCCCCACCCCCTCCCACAGACACACTGGGATGGGCTGAACACTCGAAGCGGTTTTACCTTAAACCACAGGTAAGGCACTACAACACCTAACCCCAGACATTCAAATAAGATAGATATATATATCACCCCCCACCCCCACCCTCACCACCTTGTCTTTCTGTTTGTCTCTGTGCCCCCACCCCCCCAACAACAACAACACCACCACAAATCACGCATTGGTTTATGTCCTGATCGAAAACTCTGAATAGTTTGGGAGGGGAGTGGAGTGTGGGCTGGTGGGGGGGTTGAGGAAAGGAAGTTGTAGTTAAGTGTTGTGTAGTGACACAGAGCGCTGCTGTGATCACATCATGTCCTCTCCCTCTAACGCCTTCCCCCGGTGGTTGTCTTTGATTCCTATTTAAAACGTAATAAGTAATCTTTTTTTTCCGGATGCTCTGTGTGTGAGTGAGTGAGTGTGTGTGTGAGTGTGAGAGTGTATATGTGAGTGTGTGTGAGTGAGTGAGTGAGGAGGGAAGCTGGTGAGTGAATGTGTGGATGTGCTGCTGTGTTTTGGTCGAATGGAACTTGTTTTTGTTGATTAATCAGGAAGTTCAAATGTTAGGACGGTTTAGGAATCCTGTGTGTGTGTGTGTGTGTGTGTGTGGTTAGGAGGGGTGTGGGGGGAAGTACAGCTTGATGTTCTTAATGACCTTTTCTCACTCTTTTCTCCCTCCCCCCCCCCACCCTCCCGAGTCTTGTCATTTACGGAAACGGCTACCGAGGGAGACGGTGGAAGCAAAACGTGTTGATTCTCTTAAGAAATAATATCTCGGGATGCAATACACATATATATATATATATATATATATAGTTCGGGACATCACATGTGCAAGCGACTGCCAGGACGGTGTCGGGTGAACTGGACGGAACACGGCCCCCTTTCGTCTAGCAAATTCCTTATGCCCTTATTTACCGTGTTGCAGATATGGAGGGCTCGAAGTCATCAAGCTCCACCATGCAGGTGAGCTTTGTGTGCCAGCGCTGCAGCCAGCCCCTGAAGTTGGACACTTCCTTCAATGTGCTGGATAAAGTCACCATTCAGGAGCTCACAGGTAGGAAGGTCACCGCCAGACTCTTGACGCCAGTTGGGTCAGAGACCAAGCAAAAAGTTCGAGCAACTTAATTACTGTGTTTTGAAACGGAAGGAGTATTACTGCGACGTGTTGCAGGAGTCCAGTGAACTTTCTTTCCGCTGAATCTCCCTCTTGTAACGTAAAAAGTGTCATAACGTAAAAGGGGCATAGAGTACAAGAGTCAGGAGGTTATGGTTAACCAATATAAACCACTGGTTAGGCCTCAGTTAGAATACTGCGCCCAGTCCTATATAGGAAGGTTGTTAAGGCATTGGAAAGGGTACAGAGGAGATTTACGAGGATGGGACCAGGAATGAGGGACCGTGATGATGAGGAAAGGCTGGAGAGGCCGCGATTATTCTCATTGGAGCAGAGAAGGTTACGAGGAGACCTGATAAGGTCTTCAAAATCATAAGAGGATTTGACAGGTTAGAAAGGGACAAACTGTGTCCACTGGTGGGTGTGTCGGTGACTCGAGGTCACAGATTCAAAATAGTCTCTAAAAGAAGCCGAGGGGAGGGGAGAAGAAATGTTGTCACGCAGCGAGTTGCTCGAATCTGGAACGCATCGCCTGAAAGGGCGGTCGAGGCCGATTCGATAACAACTTTTAAAAACGCGGTGGACGGGTATTTGAGGAGGACGGGTTTGCGGGATTATGGGGAAAGGGCCGGGGAGTGGGACTGACATCAATTACTCTATTCAGAGAGCCGGCACAGACTCGATGGGCCGAATGGCCTCTTTTTGCGCTGTACGGCTCTACGATAACTTTTCCCTTTTATATATAAACAATTAATATGGTGCCTTTCACATCAAGAGGACGTCTCGTCTGTCACACAATATACTGTACAGTTTAGCGGCTGTGCGTTTTGTAGGCGAGCACGGCAGCCGAGCTGTGCACAGCAACGTCTTGCAAACGGCCGTGAAGTGAACGACTCGTTTTGTTTGCACGTTCTCCTTGTGATTATACGGCGAAGTGGCAAAACAGGGTGGAACAGATTATCTGGTAAACTGAAATGATCGCACTGCGAACATAAGATACTGCATAATATCTACAAGTACCTCAAGTAAGAGGTGGGTGCAAAAGTGAAGCTGGCTTATCAGAAATAAGGACTGAGAACTGCAGCCAAAGATCACAACAAGGTTATCTCTTATCTTTTCAGCCCCTCTAGTCATGGTGACGCCTGTAAAACCAGAGGACGTTCGGGCAGAGGAGGGCAACTTGCCTGAGGTAAGAACTCACCCGGTCCCTGTATTTTGTAGGCACGTGTTTTAAATAAACGCCGGAGTGTTTGCTGCTGAAACTCTTTCCGACTTGAAACCGTTTTCTTCCTCCCCACCAGGAATTGTGCTTGGAGAACAGGCAGGACGTGTCTCGGAAGTATATCCCCCCGGCTCGGTAAAGAGATAATTTCATTGATTTTGTTACTGTGACATTCAGTGGCTTATTGTACGCTGGGCTTTTAGCTATTCGACCAGCGCTGGTGGTGGTGGTAGGGGTTGGGCAGTGTTGGTAACTGTGCTCTGGCAGTTGGCCTATGGATGATTCTCAAACCTGCACAGTTGGGGGAGGGAAGAGTTCAGTACTTCCTCACAAGGAGAAAGGCAGTGTTCATGTTCACTGTTTCTTGGGTCCAGCAGAACTATAACCGCACCTTGAATCTCCTTCCACGAGGCAAAGAGTGAACAAAATAATAATAATAATAATCTTTGCATTTGATACAGCACCTCCCGCGGGAAAATGTAACTTTCTCCCATAATTATCAACAGCAACAAAATGTAATCCATTATATTTCCTCTTTAAAAAAAATTATATTTTCTCCCGTGATTATCAACAACAACAAATTACACTTGTATAGTATACCCTTCCGGTCGGGAGGACGTCTCGGGGCACTGAATTAGAATTTACTCCCGATCTTCCCTCACCTTTCTAATTAATTTATGGAATTATTCGGGAATGCCTGACTTGGCAACAGCTTTGAATTTTGAAGCATAAAGGTTGCGTTAACAGGTAATATTTTCCTCTGAAACGTTAACCTTGGTCTGTTCAGATTAAAAATGAGTCTATTGATCACCAAACTCAAGTTAGAGGAGCTATGGTGAGAATCTAGTTAAATCTCTTCCCCGCTTCCCCCCCACCCCACACACACACACACACACACCAGGGAATGGAATGCTGTAGCTTCAAACCACTGCACTGCGGAGGTTCGTTACCAACAAATATTTACCACTTATTTTATGTTCTTTTGCAGGATGTTGTCCACGGAAAGTGCCAACAGCTTCACGCTAATTGGCGAGGCTTCTGATGGCGGCACCATGGAAAACCTTAGCCGAAGGCTGAAGGTTAGTCTGACTGATTAACTGACTGTATATTTTGGTCTGATGCAGCTGTGCAGCCGGCATTTCACTCTCTAATGAGCATCTAATGGGATGTTACTCGGGAAAAGACTAAATTGTGAACAGCATTTAGTCTCAGGTGGAAAGATAGGCCATAGTAATCCTTCCATTTGGTGGAGCGCCTTATCACGCTGGAAGGACAACTCAAAGCGCTTCCTTGGATTTACTGTGAAGTGCAGTGACTGTATTATGCGGCAGCACCAATGCACACCGCAATGTCCCACCAGCAGCCATGGAGTGAGTGACCAATTTTACTTGGGGGGGGTGGGAACTGTTCGAATAGCGCCTTGGGATCTTTAACGTCCACCTGGAAAGGCAGACGGGGGCAGAGAGGTTTAACGTCTCATCCGAAGGACAAATTGGGTAGGCCTTTGTTCCTTTTTTTCTCCCCAGGTACCACTGTCGTTTGATCACCATTCAGCCCTCTCACTCCCCAACACACACTGATGTTATTCCGCCTGCGTTTTACTTGTAGGTAACCAGCGATCTGTTTGACATCATGTCTGGGCAGACGGACGTGGATCACCCTCTGTGTGAGGAATGCACAGACATGCTGCTCGATCAACTGGACCAACAGCTGAACGTCACAGAGAACGAGTGTCAGAACTACAAGTAGGTTATTTGCTTACAGCAACCAATAGGGCACCCCCCCCGCCCCCCGGTAAGAGGACAGATTCATTTTTGACCATGCTTACGGTCACCTCTTCCCTCTCCCCCCCGCGCCCCCAGCTCAGCATCGGGCTCTGCCCCGTTAAACCTTGTCACGTCGTTGAGACGTCTCAAAGCGCTTCTCAAAATATAATGTGTATTTTTGTAGGCGAAACGCGGCAGCCAATTGCTCACAGTCGTGGATTGAGTGAGCAAATTTCTTTGGAGGGATTTTTAGCCCCAGAAAGCGATCTGCCAATCAACTAACAACCGGGTTCCTACTTACTTCTAAGTAAACAGGCGTGTGTGCGGAGTAAGGAAAGTTGCCGAAGATTTTGCCCTGATCTGCCTGGGAATCGAACCTAGGTCCTCCCTCTTGCAAGGCGGGCGCTCTAACCACTAAGCTACGGGAACCCATTGGCAAGAGGTGCCAAGGCAAAGTTACACCTGGACATTTTTTTTTGGGGGGTGTCATTGAATTATTGTTTAGACACTTGCTCTCAAAGTGAGTTGTGCATTGCCGCTGCAGAAACTGTCTGGAAATACTCGAGCAAATGAACGAGGAAGACGAGGAGAAGCTGCTGGAGGAGCTGAAAGATCTCACATCGGAGGAGGACCATCTCATCCAGGACCTGGAGGATGTGGAGGTCAAGCGGAAAAAGGTGTCTGACGAGCTGTCCAAGGTCAGAGGAGAGACCGACAGACTCAATCAAGAGGAAGCCCAGTAAGTAGATGGTTTCAAGGCGCTGGACAGTCAGGGATTTGTACCCGAGCGGCGGGGGGGGATCAGGAGGGGTGGAGGGCAGAGAGTAGGAGAGTGACCGAAAGCGCGGTCGAAGAGGAGGGACTTCAGACGTGGCCTTGAAGGAGGCGAGGGAGGGAGCGAGGCAAAGAGACCGTGTGTGGATTTTGTGGGCGAAACGCTAAAACATTAATACCCAAGGAAAGCTGTTGCTTAAAGTGACCCATTTCACACCGACCGAGCGGATTAGCTCAACTCTTTGTATTTACCTCCCCCCGCCACCACCCTCCAAAAGGTACCAGAAGGAATATTCGGAATTTAAGAGGCAGCAACTGGAGCTCGATGATGAGTTGAAGAGTGTTGAGAATCAGATGCGATATGCTCAGGTCCAGCTAGATAAACTGAAGAAAACCAACGTGTTCAATGCTACGTTCCACATCTGGTGAGCACCGGCCTCGTTTATCTGTGGCTTGAGTTTCTGCCCCTGACATTTGTTTGGTTTCATTTGTTTGTGGTCCCTTTCAAAATTGATGACATGCAAACCATCCTGTCCCCGTACTGTGTATTTGTTTAAGTGGGAGGCGAAAAATCTGTCTTAAAATGCATATCTGTGCGATGAGAATAAATATTTATAAATTGGCATTTCGCCCACAAAATAGACAGAGAATTCACATTACAGTATATCCTGTGAAGCAATTTGAGACTTCTCAACACCGTGATAAGATGCTATAGCAAATGCAAGGATTTATCATTATAGTTTAGTAATGTAAAGCCGCACAAGGAAACACTAAAGCAACGCCACCGTTCATGGGAACAACAGGCCACGTTACAATACTATATAAATAGTATTTCAAGAGGATAACAAAAACGTAAGGTCAGTGTATCTATAAATAGGCACGTCTTAGTCACTTAGTTGTGATCAGCTACGACAAAGAGGATATTATGTGGCTGTGAAGGATCTCAGAACAATAATCCAATTTATGGGTTGAGGCTATTTCCTAAACTTTGTGCTGTCCGTTCAGCAAATGTACCAATAGATCGGATAAACTTACCACTGATAAAATGGGGCAAAATGGGTAATTTGGTTTAATGCCAAGTGATGGTGGTTAACACTGGATATCAAATTTATATTGTCCGGTGAATAGATTATAGATTCAACATCCTCTCTTATGCACCACTTGTGTTGCAAAGTGTATCGCGGGATATGGGGCCAGTGTGGGTAATTGGAGTTGAGGTATAGATCAGCCATGATCTTATAGAATGGAGGAACAGGCTCGAGGGGCTGAATGGCCTCCTCCTGTTCCCGTGAGGCGCTTTGAGACGTCTCGAAGACGTGATAAGGCGCTACGTCAAATGCAAGGTTCATTATTGTAACATTTGTACAATTCTGTGAAATTTCCGTGCAATCCGGACTGAAACGATCACTGTTGAACGATGCAAACTCCAGGCATAGCGGGCAGTTTGGAACGATCAATAACTTTCGGCTGGGGCGCCTGCCGAGCCTCCCTGTGGAGTGGAACGAGATTAACGCAGCCTGGGGACAGACCGTGCTGCTGTTACACGCGCTGGCCAACAAGATGGGCCTGAAGTTTCAACGGTACGTATCAGCCTCGCTGCTGCACTTCCAACAGGTTCATGATTATCGGTACGCAACCTAGGCGTCGGGTTCGACCCACGGCTGTCCTTCCATCCCCACATCCGGTCCCTGACCAGGACAGGACCGCCTTCCTCCTCCTCCGCCGCCACATTGCCAGCCTCCGACCGTAGCTTATCCCAGACACAGCCGAAGGCGAGGTCGAAGAGGAGGGTCTTGAGACGTGGCCTTGAAGGGGGCAAGGGAGGGGGCGAGCGAGGCAAAGCAAGAGACAGTGGAAGAAGGGGGAAGCTAAAACCTATCCTTGTCAAGGAGATGGATAAAAACTCGGCGTTTGAAATGAAATCTCTCTGTATTACAGGTACCATCTTGTCCCTTACGGAAACCACTCATACTTGGAATCACTTGCAGACAGAGCGAAGGTCAGTATTTTCAATGGTTTAACAACCCTGGTTGTATAGTTGTGTGTGTGTGTGTTTTCTCCTTAAAACAAATGGGTTGATCCAGTTCTTTATAATCAGATGCGGGGATTATTATTATATTTAAATAAGTTTTGTGTCTTTTCATGTTGTAGGAGCTGCCCTTGTACTGCTCTGGAGGCCTGAGGTTTTTCTGGGATAACAAGTTTGATCACGCCATGGTGGCATTTCTGGACTGTGTTCAGCAGTTTAAAGAAGAGGTGGAACGAGGAGACACAGGTTTCTGCCTCCCTTACAGGTACCAACGTCGCTTTGCTTAAACCAAACCAGTTTTCTTATTCGAATTCAAAAGCAGCTGACGTGGGGCTGAATACCTTAGAGGCTGAGCGTACAGAGTTTATTTTTAAAATGAAATAAAAATGTTAAAAGTCTTACATTAGCTCGTGCAATCTTTTTATAAACGTGAACGTTTAGTGTCAATCCATAATGCTTGGCGTGAGAATAGAGGTCCAATTCACTTTACGGTATATTCTGTGAAGCGCTTTGAGACTTCTCGCAGACCTGATAAGGCGCTGTATCAAATGCAAGGATTAATAATAATAATTTGGGGTCATTATTTAGTAGGGTACCTCAATCCTGCTAAATAATCTCCGCAAAAGAATTATTTACAGCTATGGTTTTCTAGTCGATATTGAACAACAACAACTTGGATCTACAACAACTGCCATAATCTGCCGCCCGTTGGCAGGTAAATGCGAGTCGTTCACTGACAGGACCTGTTTGTGTTGATTTGGTTCCGTAGAATGGACGTGGAGAAGGGAAAGATTGAAGACACGGGAGGAAGCGGTGGCTCCTACTCCATCAAAACCCAATTCAACTCGGAAGAACAATGGACGAAGGCGCTCAAATTCATGCTAACCAACCTGAAGTGGGGCTTGGCTTGGGTGTCCTCCCAGTTCTACAATAAGTGACAAGGAGACGACTGTACAGTGTTTCTCTCTCTCCCGTCCCCCTTGCCCCCTTCCCCACCGAGTTCCCCCATGTCTTTTTGTTCACAGTTTTACTGCCCCGTTTGAGAAGACTCCCACGGGTCTGAGCAGAATTTTCTCTCGAGCTTTGGGTCCCTTTACTGTTGGGAATATTGGTCATGGTTGTGCTCCCCGCTGTACAAAATGGTAAAGAAGGCCTTCTCTCTGGTGTATTTCAGTGTAACGGTGTCAAACAAACACCGTTTCTCATTGCTGTTGGGAAGGTTAACCTGCAGTTGAGCTGGAGTACACTACAGAGGGTCAGAGTACGTTACAGTGGCTGACAAGAAAAACATGAAGCAGTTCAGTTGATTCAGTGAATGGACAATTTCAAGAGCTTTACCATTATAAGCACCACAGAAAGCAAGTATTATTATTATTATGGGGTTTTGTAATTAAGAACATATACACACACACACAGTTTCTTACACAAATTCACTCTGAAATCGCGGTTGTGTATTGGTTTGTAAATGATGATTTAAAAATGATCGCAGATGTGTAAATGATCTAATAATTCAAGTACTTGATGCAGTGTGTTGCTGCGATGTTGGTGCACTGATGAAATGTTTTTTAAAAAAAATGATTGTATGATAAACGTGTTCAGTACTTCACATTGCTGTGTACAAATAAAATAAAACGCAATAGCTATCAAAATAAAACGTTGCTGAACGGCATTACGTTTATCTGATGTGACTTTGTGTCTGCTCGATGTTCAGGAGTACTTAAAGATGAGCTGCCCTGATCAGCCTCGTTTTCCACGTACAGTAAACAGCAACAAGGGTCACCTCTTTACCTGCCACTAATTTTAATCACCGGAGCTCACTAGCTTGAGCTCCATGCGATTTGTGTTGGTGCTACTTCTAGTTGTGGGCACACAAAGCTTCACGAACGGCAGCGATAGAATCATTTAGCCTGTCGTTACCCCATTCTGTGCTGGCTCCCCTCTGAAGCTTTCTACTCCAATCCAATTTCCCTCGTTACGCATTCATTGTGTTTATATCTTTATGCTCGGGTATGTATCTAATTCCCTTTGCACTGACTCAGCTTTGATAGAGGGTAATATGTCCTACATCCTAATAACGTGGATGTAAATCAAACACTTGCAGTAATGATCTTCAGTTTAAGCCTTTTTTTAACCAATTCAAATTTGTCAAAAATGCAGCTTTTCCCCTAACCTTTTTAGGCTTGAAATATATAATACTGTACATTGGGGGGGTACACTGCTGTGTACAAATTGGCTGCCACGTTTGCTTACCAAACACAAATCGCTTTATAATAAGTTCATGCGAAACTTCTGAAAGACGTGAAAAGTGCTATATCAAACGCAAGGCTTGTTATTAATATATTGCTCCATTAATACATCTTACAATTCATAGAGAAACTGCAAAAATTAATACTGAAAATCATGAATTTTGAATTGCAATGTTTTAATAACGAGTATTTTTATAGTAATTAAGTGGACGTGACTTAAGTAGCGGGATATCATATCTATGTACAATAGGATACAATTTTGTTTTACTTAGTTGTTTAAACACTACAGTAAATATGCCCAGCGAGGTAGTCTTAAGTGCTGTAGATTGGTATCTGTTAGATCACTACAATCCTGGTTACGCCTCCAGCAAACTTGTGGTGGAAGTTATTGTGCGTAGCTCGCTCCTGCGAGTATCTGCCTTAATATAACTTGAGAAAACTCAGAGATGCTCTCTTCGGTCACCCCACTAATGGAGGCCAACTGCTCCATGACCTTTAAAGAAACAATATCTCTGTCAGAAATAATCCCCTGCTACTATCCTGCACTAAAAACAGTGAAAAAGACCTCTGTTGACCCCAAAACCCTCCGTCCAGAGTCGTTTTATGTTGTGCTTGTTTGCTTACCTTGTCCCAAGGTGTGTAGTTCAGTATGAATGCGCTTGCTCCAATGACACCAACAGCGAGAAGCATACAGTCTTCTTTTACAGACACAAATTTGGCTCTAAAACAATGTAAAGAGACAACCTTATCTCCTTAACAACGTAAAGTCAAACCACCGGGAACAAATACCTGGGCACACCGAGATAGGGGGGTGAGGGGGGTGGGGAGAGAGGGGGAGGACTGACGACAACAGAGAAACTTTAAACTTAAAGGTCTTAAAATCTACCGGAACCAACAAATAAATTGAACATTCTGCAAAATCTGTAACTGTCTTAAGTTTGGGTTTGGAATTTTCGAAAGGAAAGAGTAGGAATAAAAGTTAAGACTGATATTGACCTTGAACACAGACTAGGTTTGAGATTATGTGTGTTCCATGTAAAAAAATACTTGCTTTTGGAGATCGCTGGGGGAGGAATTCTCGATGGCAATCTTTAGTAGGTTTTCGTAGATGGTGTTTCTCGTGAGGTAAACATATTTCAGCACTGTCAAGGAGATACTGTGCAGGTATTTCACTGGGACAGATGGATCATTGTACCCTGGAAACAGCATTGAAGCGATACTATATTCAGATAATTTCACTTCCAGATAATAATAATAATCCTTGCATTCTATATAGCGCCTTATCATGTCTTCGAGACGTCTCAAAGATACAGTGACTGCACTTGACTGTAAAATCCCCTGAAGCCATTTGAGACATCGACGACGTGATGGTGCATCAAATGCAAGGATTATTATTATTATTATTATTATGGCATCAAGCTTCTAAACAACAAACATTGTGGTCCGATATCTAAGTGTGTGATCCAATTAGTATAAACGTCCAAGTTGAAATGATAACATCACGACATTGTTTTTAAAACGATCTGTTAGTTTTTTTTCTGTTAGAAGGAAGCAGCGTGGATTAACTGGCAGCCGGAGGCTTTTGTAACCTACCCATGACTTCCAGCAAGGTCTCGGTGTGAGTGAAGGGCGAGGGAATGTTCACTTCAAAGCTCAGCGTCTTGAGGATGAGAAGCTCCGAGTTGAGAATATCTTCCTTTTTATAGGAATAACCCAGAGACTGCAGGAACTTCAGGGCGATAGCATTATTGACAATCTGTGCGGAGAGGGAGAGAGATGGAGACCATTAAACCACATATTAAAAAACACCCCCCCCACCCCCTCACAATCTCTCCCCTCTCCCTTTCCGTGCTGTTGCAATATTACACTGCTGCCGCATTTCGCCCGCAAAATATACAGTCGATTCACTTCTTTGAAGCGCTTTGAGACGACTCGAAGACATGATAAGGCTCTGTGTCAAATCGCAAGGATTATTATTATTATCATCATCATATCTTTACCTGATAATGGAACGAGAGCTTGCTCGCTATCTGAACGCAAGACATGATCCGCAGAATGAAATGATCGCGCATTTTGACCTGCAACAAACCCCAACCGCACTGTTCCAATTTTCTTTTGTCGGAATCTCGCTGCGGGGACGAACGGAGCTTTTCGATGTATCGGATCATGAACCTGCGGATCACGAAACCGAAATCCCGTCAGCCTCGTGCGAAAGGAAAACTTTCGGGAGGAAAAGATTTCGATTTAAGACCATGTCACGAAGAGCTTTCCCCTCGATTTATTTCCGTCAATGCTCGAGGAAGATTAGGTTCCATCCGAATCATAAACGCGCTGAGAATTTGCCAACACAATACACGGGTAAATTCTCTGTGGCTGTATGTCCTGTGCAGCGCTTTGAGATGTCTCGAGAAATGTGATAAGGTGCTATATCAAGGATTATTATTATAACAATCCCTTGAGACACTAGCCTGGTATTTGCTGGTCCTCAAGACGCTAAACATTCCTTACTGAGCTCAGAACTGCATAGAATCTACAGCACCGAGGCAGTGTAAGGGGGTGTAAGGTTCTGGGACGCTACCCCACGTGAAGGGCGCTATATAAATGCAAGTTGTTGCTGTTGGTGTGGATTGGGTGATCGGCCAGTGGCTTTGAGCAGTTCGTGTACCTTTCCAGGATCTCCACTGCCTGATATCTGGTGAACGGGTGGAGCTCCAGTTGGTCGCAAAGGAGGAAAATGAACTCTGTGAAGTTGTTAAAAGAAACAGACAAGTTACTCAGTGCTCTATGTTGCTGTGCTTTCTGTACTCTATGTTGTGCTGAAGGCTGTGCTCTGTGTTGGGGGCTGTGCTCTGTGCTGGGGCCTCTGTGCTGGGGGTTATGGGCTCTGTGCTGGGGGTTGGGGGCTCTGTGCTGGGGGTTACGGGCTCTGTGAATAATATATAATAAATAATAATACAAGATCTCTTATCAGTGTCACTCACTCTGAAGTCTATCCTTAATATCCCCCCCCCAACCCCCACAGCCCAACCAGCACAGCCCCAACCAGCCAGCCCCAACCCAGCACACCCAACCCCAGCACAGCCCTCACACACCCACCCCCCCACCCCCCCCAACACCCCAACAGCCCCCCAACCCCCCCCAACCCCCCCCAACACCCCCCCCCACACACCCCCCACCCCACAACACACCCCAACCCCAGCACAGCCCCCCACACACCACCCCCACCAGCACCCCCCCAACCAGCACAGCCCCCAACCCCCCACCCAGACACCCCCCAACCCCCAGCCAGCCCAACCCCAACCCCCCAGCCAACAGCCCCCCCCCCACACCCCCCCAACCCACCAACACCCCCACCAGACACCCCCCCCAACAGCCCCCCCCAACCCACCCCCAACCCCCCCCAGCACAGCCCCCCCCCACACACCCCCACCCCAACACCCCCCAACAGCCCCCCCAACACCCCCCCAACACCCCCCACCAACACCCCCACACCCCCACCAACACCCCCCACACACCCCCAACCCCCCAACACCCCCCCACCCAACACCCCCTCCAACACACCCCCTCCAACACCCCCCCAACACCCCCCCCCAACACCCCCCAACACACCCCCCAACACCCCCTCCAACACACCCCAACACCCCCCACCAACCCCCCCAACACCCCACCAACACCCCCCACAAACCCCCCAACACCCCCCCCCAACACCCCCCCAACACCCCACCCAACACCCCCAACCACAAACACCCCCACAACCCCCCACCAACAACCCCCACCCAACACCCCCAACACACCACCAACCCCCCCACCCCCCCAACACCCCTCCAACACCCCCCCCCCACCCCCTCCCCATGGAACGACACAGCCGCGTCGCCGCGCGAGTTGCGATACGCTGCGTGTCCGCGCGGGTGGGAGTGGCGCTGTGACCTCCGCAGAGAGAGAGAGGCACAGCCCCGACCCCC